GGGTGCATAAATTGAGACAAAGGCAATATCTCTTTTTTCTATCTGAACTTTTGAAACAGATACTCTGCCTTTGTTATCAGCCCACGAATCCAACAGCCTGAAACGCAAGTTGCGCTGGCATAAAATTGCCACACCTTTAGATTTATTCACAGCTGAGGAAGAGGCTATGACACGGTAATAGCGATTAGAAATCCGATTAATATCCTTCTTTACCAGATGGGTCTCCTGTAAAAAGGCTACATTTACTCTTTGTTTGCGTAAAAAATCTAGTATAGCAACACGTTTCACTGGATTATTAAGGCCCCTAACATTAAGGGTAAGAATATTTAGCTTGACACCATCAACCATTTATGGAATACTGAAAAAGTAGATAAGGGCAAATAAATTTGAGAAAACAGACTATGTAGGGAGCAAGATAAAAAGTGAAGATAAGCATTAAACTCTGGTCCAGGCCAAAATAAGATAAAATTCAAAATGTATAAAAACATAAATAAAAAAAGGAGAAGATTGGATTTACCCATGTCTATCCTCCTTTAAGAGCTAAAAAAGGAGCTAGGAATTGTATGAATTACAAAAAACACCAAACAAGAGAGAGAGAGAGAAAAAAAAGTAATTACACAATAACCTAGCTAATGAAAACACCAAAGCTTCACAAACAAAGATTTAAACATAGGAAAACTCTCCCAATTATAATATTTAAAACACCCATCAAATAAATAAGTTCGTGTGACTGTTGATCAACCAGAAAGGGAATAAGGTAATAAAGAAGTTTACGCACTAACAATACCGTCTAAACACGTTTTGGCATCTGTAGGGTCTCTGAAAGATTTCTGGATGCCATTCACCTTGAAGATCAAAAGAGCAGGGAAGTTCATTTGGAACCGGATTCCTCTTTTAATGAGTTCAGTGCAAACCGGGTTAAAGGCTCTTCTCGCGGCACGAACTGCAGGTGAGATGTCGGGAGCAATACGAAGGGGTTGATCCTCGAACAAAAGTTGGCCTTTACGTCTGGCTGCAGACAGAATTGTAGCGACGTCTCTGGAGCGATGAATCTTGATAATAACGGGCCGTGGGCGGCCGTCCGCAGGTTTACCGAGCCCTCGATGCGCGCGGTCTATTGCGATAGACGGGACTGGCAACTCGAGCAGTTTTGGTATGAAAGATTCAAAAAACTGTAATGGGTCGCTACCTTCGACAGATTCTCTGAGATTTAAGATCCTAATATTGTCCCGCCTGGATCGTCCTTCTAGATCTGTGATCTTTTCGGTAAGTGTCATGTTCAGTTTTTCAAGTTCAGTTAGTTTCATTTTTAGCGGGCCGATGTCATCTTCCGCAGCGGAGATACGGGACTCAGTCTCGGTCAGACGAGACGCAAGAGAGTCGGTAATGGCAGCAACCTCGTCAATGCGTTTGATGATATTATCAAATTTCCAACATCCAAACCAGATTCCAGTTTGGCAAATGAGTCGTTCATCATCTTTTGCGTTCGCTGCCCCTCTTCAGCAACAACGCTGGCGATGTGTTTCAGCAGAGATCCGTGTGAGGAGTCCGTTAGCGAACTTTCATAGCTAACCGCATGGTCACTGCTAACGTTAGCCTCGCTGGAGTTAGTGCAATCTTCCGTAATTACTCGAGAATGGTCCGGCTTGTTTTGTTTTGGCGGCTTGGGCATGATCAAACAGCAGTTAAACAACAAAATAACGAAAAAGAAAGCGATGGGTGTTGGTAGATAATGTACCACAGTAGCGTGAACTGGGAGAGGTAAAAGAACGCGACTGCTCACTCCGCCGCCATAACCGGAAGCCGTCTGTGCTGCTTTTAAAGTGCATGTAATCAGTTCATAACGATCCTCCAACTGTGTGTGTGCAATCAGCGGAATCTGGAACAGGTGTATGTGAGCGCTCTTAGCGTGTTACTTTATTAAATGGATTTGATAGTAATAATCTAGGAAAAGTCTGTAAAATAACAGTGTTTCTCTGTAAACATTTTAATGAAAATATCTGTAGATTTATTATTTTTTGCACTTTTTTTCAACAAAAAAATTTTACCTTAATTTTGTGGTTTTTGTTTGGCAGCCGTAGCTGCCAGTCATTTGACCTTTTTTAACGATTTATTTTTATTTTTTTACAGAGCATGTAATTACAATTTATTACTTTAATTTTACGTAATTTTAAATGTACTTAAAAAACAGGAAAAAACACTGTAAATAATACGTCAATTTTTTTGTAAAAAACAGACAAATGGCTGTAATTTGTCATTACTTATATAGTACATAAAATAACATTCAAGCCGTTAATTTACAGATATTGTTTGTAATTTTTACGAACTTTTGAATATAATTTAAAATAACAGAAAAAATACTGTATAAATAATACTGTAATTTCCCTGTATAAAAAACACAAATGTCAGTAATTTGTCTTTAATAATAAAGTACCTAAAATGAAAGTCAAACAGTTAATTTAGAGAGATTGGTTGTCATTTTACTAAGTTTTGAATATAATGTGAAATGACAAAAAATTACTGTAAAAAATTTAAGGATATTTTCTGTAAAATTAGGTTTTTTTTTACAGTGTAGTTCACCCAAAAACTATAATTTACTACATAATTTATCCCTCCATTTCTGTTAAACAGATATATTTTGAAGAAAGCTGGCCATTGACATCCATATTATTTCCCTATTATAGATGTTTATGCCTAACATTCTTCAAAATATCTTCTTTTGTGTGCAACTCAAAGATTTGGTATAAAAATAATCATTTTGGATTAGAAGTATTACTAGGTATTACCACAGGAAACTAGCTGCTTTCATCTAATTTGTACAGCCTTTAGGGGAAAAAACATCAATTAGAGGAACTGATGCCTATCTCATCATTTACTCACCCTCATATCATTGCAAACCCATATGATAGACACAAAACACAGACTGACAGCCTCACGCACCCTTCACTTTCATTACATGGAAATGCAAAATGGGGAAACAAAGAAAGAAAGACATGACTCATAAAAAAAGTTATTTCTGGCCTACATCTTTAAATGTGCAAACAAGGGAAAAATCAAGCTAATATATGAAATGTTCAATAGAAGAATGACTCACCCAGTTCAACAGCTGAAACAACACATTGATACATACAGCATATGTAAACATTATTTTACAGCTATGGAAAATCTGAGAAATAAACTCAACTCTAAACTTGGACATTAGTGTGAGTGTGTGTTTTATTCTGGAAAGGTTTTTTTTTTCATTTTTTGGGAGGCATACAATAATACAAATATTTAATTTTATTCATTTTTAAAAAAACAGTACTAATGTTTTAACTTCAGATGAGTTCAAATCAATCAATATTTGGTGGAGAAATCCTTTTTCAATCACAATATATGAAGACATTTGTTGATTGTCATTTTCTAAAAAGAAGCTGATGATATTTTAATTTGAAATTTGGAAGATATCAGACCTTAACAGAAAAAAAACAAATATTATCAGCAGATACTCATTTTCTATAGCTGTAAACATCACAAGAAACAAATGGTCTTTTTCCATTTTATGAACACTTACAGGGTTCAACGCTAAGGATTTTTTCTACAAACATAGTTCGTTGATTTGGCGCTTCCCAAATCTGTCATTCCAACAAACATTCGCAAAATTGTACGCTTGCAACTATATCTCTAGAGCTGTAGTTATGAGCATAGTTCTTGGTTGTGTTCAATTCCCAGTTATCCTCCCATGCCCTATTCATTTAGAACATTTGAACATTCAAACTTGGAATGATTAAAAACAAACATTAAAGTAATCTCTCTTAGGTTTAATTTGCTTTCTAAGTGTTTTTACAGTTCAGTTTTAGCGATCTTCATATTGACAATTGTGTTGCGTTGTGTTGCGGTGCACATAGAAAAAAATTTATGCCAATTTGAAGGCAGCTCATGACGAAAGCTATAGGTGACCTATTATTTAAAAGTGGAGTTTATGTTACGTCTCCAAAGCTTGTGAAAACAAAAATATATAGCAAATGTTAATGGTTTTAATTTATAGGTTATTTATTAAGAAATGTATCTGTATATGACATAGGCCTGTTGGTTAGAAGATTTCTGCTGTGGTTTGAGTGTGTCAAATTGTAAAAGTAGGCTTAAAATGTTTTATAAATAAATAAATAAACAATATCCTACTAAACAATAAAAATAATAATAATAATTATTATTATTATAAAGTAGGATTTTTTTAATTTCTGAATGAATAGCCTACTGTAAACTAGGCCTACAACCATTAATGATTTATATATGAGATTATAATGTGTTAGCTTAGTGATTTTATATGTAATCTCAATATTTGTAAAGGAAACATATATTGGTCCTACAGTATGTGTCGTTTACATATATTTCAATTAATATGAAAAACGTGTGCATGTTTTTACCAAAACTAATATTGGATAAAAAAAATGTGTGTGCGTGTAAAACAATATAATTTGCACAAAAATGATGGGGTTTTTTTCTCAAAAGACGTTGTTACTCCACCCCGTATAGAGTGTCATTATGGATGTTTTACATTATAACTATCGTGTTTCAAATGAAGAATCTGCGACAGAGAATCTACGGTTCTGGGAAACACTCATCATTACATTGTTCTTTTCTCAAATGATGCACCTTACTATGATAGTTCAGCCCCAAGTTATGTCATTGTTTGGGTAATGCACACTTGATTGTTATTACTAGGTTATGGAAAAAAAAAAAGTGCTTAAAACATCCAATCAGATAAGAGATACCGAAAAGCTATATGGTGTTTACGACATCACAGAGAAGGTAGAAACCTTCTCGATTTTTTATTTTATCTATTTTTGCCATAATTGACAAATAGTCGCAGGCAAATCAAACTCCCAAAATTAAACTGATCGGGCCTGTCTACTGTCCCCTGGGCCATCAGGCAGTCCTTATTGTTGACTCGTGACTTTCACGCCTCTTTAATTCAGTGTGTGATTTTAACTGTTATTTATTTAATTTATTTTTTATAGAAAGATGGCGGAGCCTCGCTTTAATAATCCATATTTCTGGCCACCACCTCCCTCTATGCCTGGTCAAGTGAGTATTGTGTTTCAGGAGAGTTGCCTGTCATAAAATGAATATGGTTCATTTTAAATTTGACATTTGTCAGGTTTCTAGTAACAATTTAACTGTTTCACAATGATGTAATTTGCCAAAAATACCTAAACCAAGAACGTAATGTACATTAACAAATGCAAAATACCACCAGCTGAGTCATCTTGTGCTTACTGTACAATTGTGAAACTGCTTGGCATTTAGTGACTGTTTGAAAGATAAAAATCATGTGAACGTGCATGTTTGCAAAACTACACCAATGTGGTTTGCCAAAGCGTGCACTGAAACCCCCACCAAATTTTCCTGCAGTACCATGCTTTGATTTAGTTCTGTTACTTGATGTCCTTTTCCTGTCAACCTTAACCGTTGACTTTTACAGTTGGATAACCTGGTTCTTATCGACAAAATCAAAGAGCAACTGATGGCAGAAAAGATAAGACCTCCGCATTTGCCGCCCACCACCGTCCCCTCTCAGCAGACCCTGCTGGTGGCCTCTCAACCGTCAGATGCTGGACAGCATGTCATGTCCATCCCCAAACTACAGCAGGTGCCCGGCCTTCAAGCCCACAATTCTTCTCAGCCTGACATCGCCCTGCACGCCCGTCCAGCATCCAGCACCATTGCAGGTACCGACAGCATGACTAACTTCTAGATGTTATGCTTCATGTTATTTATTGTACATCTTAGTACTGCACGTGATGTAGTATTTTAAGTGGGTCAACACACACAAACACAACACTCTTCTTTGATGTGCATGTTTTAGTTGCTAAAATAAAAATATATATTTTCTAAATGATCTTGTCCAGGCACAATACTGCAGTGCAATACTGTATCACTGTGCTAAAAGCATAATGAAGTAAATAAACATTTAAAAAAATTTAGTTTTGAAAATAAAACCTTAAGTATTGTTTTATAATTGTATAATAAGTAATAATAGATTATGTTATTGATAAAAATTTGAATAATAACAATAATTAACTATATAATTTAGTCCTGTTTTGCATATATATATATATATTTTTTTTTGATCACCAGACACTGGCTAATAGATTTGCATTACTAGCCACTCGTCATTTTTACTACCCACAATTTTGTATGGAAAATATATTTTATATGCAGAAATTTGACTTTGACATGCTAAAATTTCTTGATTTAGATGTTGTGTTATTTCCGCATGCCTCCTCATTCATTTCATTATTTGTGTGTCATGTATGAGCACATGGGTCATGGTTTCATAGTGTTGTCTTACAAATAGTTTTTAGAGCTCAAATTAAGGATTTACCAAATTTATCTTTGACCATACCAAACATAATTATTATTTCATATCCGCAATTTTTAAATGTGTCAAAACACACAAAATATAGCTGTATACTATTTATTTAACAAAACATCTCTTATCTATCTATCTCTCTCTCTCTCTCTCTCTCTCTCTCTCTCTCTCTCTCTCTCTCTCTCTCTTTATATATATATATTTATTTGTTTATTTATATAACAGTTCTGTCTGGTTCTCGAATGTGATTGGCTGATATTTAAGTAATATCAGCACCCGTACATCTTCGTTACCCTTTGTGTATTACTCCGCCCACATACAACCAGCAAAAAACAGACATTACAGATCTAAAGTTTAAAAGATGCTTGCTCAACTGTTTAACTGTCAGCTTATGATTTGAATCCAGAAGAAAGTAGTTCCTCATACAAAAGGGTTTTTGAGACTCTCCATATTTGATTTTGTTTTTATATACACAATTATGTCGTCAAACTGTTGTATAAACGCAATATCACACTCGTAGCAGTACGATATGGCTGTATATCGGCACTGGTGGGGGCACTAAGGCCTGCGGCCTCGTGCCAACGCACGCCTCCCCACCAGTGCCGATATACAGCCATATCGCACTGCTACTCGTGTGATATTGCTCATACAGATATATACAGTTGAAGTCAGAATTATTAGCCCCCCTTTAAATTGTTTTTTCTTTTTTAAATATTTTCCAAATTATGTTTAACAGAGCAAGGAAATTTTCACAGTATGTCTGATAATATTTTTTCTTCTGGAGAAAGTCATATTTGTTTTATTTCGGCTAGAATAAAAGCAGTTTTTAATCATTTAAACACCATTTCAGGAACAAAATTATTAACCCCTTTAAACTATATATTTTTAATAGTCTACAGAACAAACCATTGTTATACTGTAACTTGCCTAATTACCCTAACCTGCCTAGTTAACCTAATTAACCAAGTTAAGCCATTAAATGTCACTTTAAGCTGTAAGGGGTGTCTTGAAAAATATCTAGTCAAATAATGTTTATTGTCATCATGGCAAAGATAAAATAAATCTGTTGTTAAAAATGAGTTATTAAAACTATTATGTTTAGAAATGTGTTGAAAAAATCTTCTCTGTTAAACAGAAATTGGGGGAAAATAAACAGGGGGCTAATAATTTAGGGGGCTAATAATTCTGACTTCAACAGTATAACATGTAGTTGCATGCAGACAATTTTTAGAATGTGAGTACAATTTAAAAAGATGTATGCATGTAGGTCCAATGCAGCAAATTATTAATTTAAAATGTATTAATTCAATTCAATTCAGCTTTATTTGTTTAGCGCTTTTACAATGCAGATTGTGTCAAAGCAGCTTCACATAAATGGTCATAGTAAATTGGAACAGTGTAGTTCAGTTTTTAGTGTTTGAGTTCAGTTCAGTTTAGCTCAGTTCACTGTGGTTTAAAAATCACTACTTAGGGTCCAAACACTGGAGAGCAATCCATCGATGCGTAGGTATTAATGGAGTTTATTGAGCCCGTTCAATAAAAAGTGAGACCATATATTTTTTCTGATATGATTTCAGAGCTGAGTATAGATGACAAGTCAACAGTGAAGGCAAAGGGATTGTGGGAAGACTGGCATATGCGTCAAGCAGTGGAGCAAGCTTCCAGAACGAACCATCGATCAGGTGCAAGACATGCTCACATAAACACACAATATATTTCATTTCTGTGCACCATAAACAAGTTGTAAAACATTTTTTGTATATCAAAAACAGGTCTAACGCTGTCGTCCCGCACAGACAGCCACAACACCTCTGAGGCCATTACTCCCACTACTCCCACATCTAGCAGCCAGAACCGTTTAGGTGGAGCGGCTTCTTTAAACACCATATCTGGCCTGGCCAGCGGTCCCGGGATGGAGCACATCAAAAGCGGCGGTCTGGTGGGGATGCTGGGACCACAGCCCAAAGCTCCAAGGGGGCGCAAGAAGATTAAGGCGGAGCACAACACGGGCCCCTTACTGGTGGTGCCGTACCCACTTCTGGCCTCGGGCCCTGACCAGGCAGTCACCATTGCCAAAGAGGGAAAAACCTACAGGTTTAAACTCATTTTTTGGATTTAGCTCAATCATTTATGATCTGTGTCGTATTTCTGATTCCCATATGAACTAGAAAATTTGCAAAGTTGCATTAGTGTAAAAACACACACACACACACACTAGAGTTTGAGCATATACAATTCTGTTGTTCAGCACTGCAAAAAAAGGCAGGATTAAACAAGATAATTTGACATATGAAAAAAATAGCGATTGCTCTATATCTTAAAGAGCCCATATTATGGGTTTTTGAAAATTCCCTTCCATGTAGTGTGTAACACAGCTCTAAGTGAAGTGAAGTATCCAGCTAAGGCTTAAATCTGTAAGAATACAGTGTTTAAAACGGTTGATTCATCTATAAAAGAGTCGACTCATAGTGCTTCAAACGAGTCGCCTTGATACCGATTCATAAGGTGTTTCGCCATGACGTATGAACGAAACCAAGTTATTCACGTGCACGCGCAAACCCGGGAGATTTCAAACCTGAGGCCCCGCCCTCTGACGCAGAAACCCAGACACACACACACACACACACCCACAAACACACGCACACAAACATGCTGGTCGATTGAAGTCACACTGCAGATGGACATTATCGATTCTCTACCCAGAGATGAAACCTCAGCATTATAACCAAGCAGTTGGAAACTTCTGGAAACTACAGGCTACAAAGAATACTTCATCTGCGTTTGTTGAAGTAAGGATCAGTAAAGATTAACTTACTAATGGACGTCAGGATGAGTTTCTTCCTCCATTTCTCAAATGTAAGTACGTGCGATTAAAGTTGCCTCGTTGACTCTAGCTTGCAAATGTATTTAGTTGTGATTTGTTACTTGTAACCGAGTGTACTGTATCAGGTTAACTGGCTATATTCTCTTATCGCGCGCAAAGTCACGTTAAAAACGCGACGCGTGCTGTTTGTTTACGGAGCTCCGTGGTAGAGGTCTGCATTCCCGCGGCTGTCCCCGCGCCAGATTTCTGCGGCGCGGGAATAAATTTCCGAATCAATCGCGGGAGCGGTCGGTAACAGGTTTAATTTGGGACGGGAGCGGGCTGTCTAGCAATATCGTGGATATTGCTATGCGAATGAGACAGAGCTTTGCCTGCCTGTGTGTCTGCTTGTCTGTATGTGTTAGTGCGCGCGTATGAGAGAGAGAGAGAGCTCTGTCTGGCTGTCTCTGGACTGTTTTGCTGGGTGATTTTCGGTTATGTTCTCCCCCGCTCTTTAGCGGGATCGGGCGCGGCGGGCAGAAAACGGGGCGGTTCAGGCACCGGGACAAGAAATTCTAAATATAAGCGGGAGCGGTCGGGTTCAGGCTAAAACCTGGCGGGTGCGGGCGGAAGCGGGAGCGTTGTCGTCCAGAGGTGTGTGTGTGTGTTTGTGTGTGTGTGTGGCAGCTAAAATCCACGCCTACACTATGGAGCGCGTATGAACTGTGATTACTTTTATATTGCTGATTAGCTATTGGGCATTTCATTCTCTGACTGAAGGCAGTCGACCAATCGTGACAGACTGTCATCGGTCCAATCAGCGCAGATTAGCTTCGCGCTAAGGAGGGGTTTGGGAACAAATGAATCACTGGACGATTCATACAGGAGTCGCTGGGATAATTAGGTAAAAATAAATGCAGATTATAAGACCATGAAAGTGTTTTTTGACTTTGCATGCATATTAGACTGTTGTTGGAGACCCTTACAACCAAGATATGACCCTATTTCATGTATAATATGGGCTCTTTAAATTTCTGTATAGAGAGGTCATGTTTTGATCTTCTATTGGTCTCACACAATCACGTGATGCGATTTCCCAGGTCAGAGTTCATCAAGCTTGAACTTTAAAATGCAGCAACACTCGAAACTTGTCATATAAGCTTGCATTTCTGGTGTTACACATTCGCATTTATATGATTTAAAGTCTATAGGGCGAAAAATGCAGTGTGACCAAAGTTTAAAGGTCTTTTCACACTGAGTCCTAAATGTCTGTATGGTGTTTTTCGTATTAGTTATTCTAAAAGTTCATCATGCACTAAACCCTTGCTTACTGTGTCAGATGCGCATTAATGAATCCGTTAAAATATTGTAAATATTTCAAAACTTAATGCAGTGATGCTTGTGTTTTCCTCTCTCTTCAAAAACGAAAGAGAAAAAAAAACTGTGTCTATTGAATTGAACTGATCCTGAACAGAGACTGGCAGTATGTTAAAGGTAGAAAACATGCACACATCAAACAGAATGGCCAAACGTGTGCAAGAATTGAAGCCATTATATAATAGTAGGCTACAACAGAGATTCTCAACCATCTGCCACAGTCTGTCTTTGTATTCTGCACTTTACTGCAAGACAAAGTCAATGAATTTGTCAGACACTGTTCTATTTTGGCTTTTTCCTGTACGGTGGCTGTTAACTGTCAAAACACCTCTCAAAACACTTGCTACAAGTGCAGAAAACTTTAACCCGAGTTCTTTATGACAGACAAAAGTTTCAGAGGCAATATCTAAATGAGACTGACACAATGTAAGGTTGAATATATTTAGAAATGTGCAAACATTTTAGACGAAAATTTGTGACTCAAGAGTGCAATGAACCGTAACCTCTTAAAGCCCAAGGTGATTTTTACATGCATTTTTATTTCTCTGTGCTATTTGGGCTCTTTGGAACCTAACTAGAATAAAAACCTAAGTATCATCTTTTGTCATGTAGTTTTAGAGAAAAATTATGTCCATATACAGTATGTGGACTCGTGGTCTAAATTTACATAAAACACTTTTTTTCTGGCTGTTTTTTAATGCATATATAACATATATATATTTTTTTATAAACATGTTTTGACTATCAGAAAGTAAAAACAATTTCTTTTGCCCATTTTGGACAATTAAAAATAGTGTTTGAAATCATTTCATATGCATGCCAAACAGTTGCAGGATGACACTGTATGTCTGTAACAAAATATAAAACATTCAAAGTATTTTAAATAGCCACTTAAGAGCTAAAATGTGCTGTCCACGGATGTGGCCACTAAGCCCTAGGAGGTTAAAGTGGCGTTTTACAATTTAATTAAGAAATCATGTAAATTAGGCTACTACAGGGTTGTGTGAAATTGACCAAAAAAATATTGTTTTTTTCTTCTATAGCACAGGTGTCACATCCAGTTCCTGGAGGGACACAGCTCTGCAGTTTAGCTTTAACCCTAATTAAACACACCTGATCAAACTTAATGAGTCCTTCAGGCTTATTTGAAATCTAAAGGTAAGTGTGTTGAAGCAGGGTTGGAACTAAACTGTGCAGAGCTGTGGCCCTCCAGGAACTGGCTTTGACATCTGTGTTCTATAATAATATGAAGTAGTATGAAGGTTAAATGTAATTTCTTTTACTTCTAAACTTACTCAAATCAGCTATTATTATAATAAATATTACAAAAATATCTAGGTAACTGGTAACTAAATAAAATACTGAATATTTCATTATATGTGATATTATCTCTTTTATAAATGTTGTGTTCTGTTTTAAAATGGTCAGTTGTTTTATGTATTTGTTCCAATTATTGTGCAGCACTTTGGCCAATCTTGCCATTATTTATTGTGCCATATAAATAGGGATGCAACAATTAACCACTTTCATTACTAACTGTGTTTTAATGAAACCACACTGAACTGAACTTAAACACTGACAACTGAACTACACTGATTTAATTTACTATGATCTTCTATGGGAAGCTACTTTGACACAATTTACATTTTAAAAGCGCTATACAAATAAAGGTGAATTGACTTTAATTGAATTGAATTCGTCACAGTAATAAATCGTAAAGGTCTCTCAACACTGCATTTCTGCATGAAACAAAACTGCTGCAACTAAACAAAGTTATGCCATTGTCGCTAGTTTAAAGTTCTAAGCTTGTAAACAATACGCATACACACTGGATTAAAGGCTGGTTTTAACTATGGCTAAGGCTATTAACTAAGGGCCATTCATGTATCACGTCTTTCGCATGTGCAAGTTAGTTATTTCCAATAGAGGGGCATGGCTTGTACGCATATTGGCAGCGACGGCGAGCGCTTTCCAGGGGCACCTAGTTGAAAGAATGGCACGAGTGTACCGCATGTCATGTCACAAGAACTGACCGATCAGCTTTATACTTTATATGGAATATTCACATCTCTACATCTCTAAAAAAATACAATAGGAAAATACCAAACAATATTGTAATATGGTTGATCAAACGGAGGCTCAGCAGACCTTGTCTACATTTGTTGTCTTTAAAAGGGAAATACTTACCTAATATGTAGCATAATTTTACTTTAGACAAATACTATTTTTTGTTTTTTATTTTTTATTTTTTTATTCATTGTTCTGTCGTTTATATATTTTAGTATAAAATTCTTTCTTATGTTTAAATGCCAAAAACGTTTTTCACTTATTTTTAAGTCAAAAAGAGAAATTGACTATTGTTTGTTTTAAATATTATTTTGTTCTGTATTAATTGGCTACTGAGCAGCAGTAAATAACACTTTAATATATAAGGAGTTTTCATGTGATTTACTAAACTAGTAAGTTGTTTTGAAATTAATGAATACATAATAATTGGGATAACCGTGAAACCCTGATTATTCCTCAGACTATAATCGTACAACCAAAATCTATAATCAATGCATCCCTACATATAAATCCATAAACTAAAGCTCTATATATTTTAGCTCCTCTAGCTTCTTAACAAATGACCTTTATGGTCAAAACAAATGCAAATGGTTTGCACAAGCTAATATCCAATTCACGGAGTTCAATTTCAGTAACCAACTGTTTATTTTTTATGTTTGATGCAGGTGTAAAGTGTGTCCACGCACTTGCTTCAACAAGTCTGAGATGCAGATTCATTCCAAGTCCCACACGGAGGCCAAACCTCACAAGTGCCCTCACTGTTCGAAGTCCTTCGCCAACGCCTCCTATCTAGCACAGCACTTACGCATTCACTTAGGCATTAAGCCCTACCACTGCTCCTACTGTGAGAACTCTTTCCGGCAGTTATCACACCTCCAGCAGCACACCAGGTCAGCAGACATCACACTTCTGCATGTGCGACTGAGAACAACTGTACACCACAAGCTCTGCAGTGTTAATATATGAGTGCATGTTTGTTTTTAAGGATTCACACTGGGGACAGACCATATAAATGCGCCCAACCTGGATGTGAAAAAGCATTCACACAACTCTCAAACCTACAGGTGAGGAGAGGAGAATAATAGCAGAAATAAATGATAGCGTAGGGGGAAATAAACGAATTACCACTAGCTGTGTTTCCGACAAAATATGTGATTAAAAATTATGCCGAGAACTGGAATATTGCTTAAAACTTTTGTGAATGAAGCACCATTTCCAGTAAAAGTGAACTAAATTGTCACTTTCTGATAAACTGTTGCCAAAAAGAAAGATGCAGTTTGCAGCAGTAGGAGAAGCCACTGTGCTTTTCTCTTGTGTATAATGTATTACTTGCTCATTTGGAGGCGCAATCCCACTCTTTATGAGCACAGGCACTCAAGACCACTTTGTTGATGGTTTTTGGATAAAGGATTTTAGAGTGGCCCAAAAAAACATTTAGATGTTGATATGTTGTCACTTGTTAATCCATTAATGCTGTCTCATCGCATCTAATTATGTTATCACATGATCTGTTTAAACAAAATCAGTTTTTATGCACATGCTGGAAGTTATTCCTACTATTCTATCAAAATGTATGCACATCCTGACATTTCCATTAAGGATTTGTTTATTTGATTGTTCAAATGCATATAGAAATATGTGGATGGAAACATAGCTACTGAGGACCTTTCTTTCAAATTTAAAACAAAAATGTTGTAATTTAAAGCATTTGCTTAAAATTAAGGTTGACATATTTTCATGCTTTTATATAAATATTTAGACAACACAATACCAATATTTGGTGGAGTAATCACTGTTACCAACTATTTTCGCTAAAAGTCGCTAGATTATGTCATACATCACTTTGCATATTACTGACATCATCACATTTATCCATTCCTGTTCGTTTAACAGCCTATGGTCACTGAAGGGGGTTATATTTGCACTACGCTTTATGTAAGCGTGTCAATTTAACTACATTTATTGCTGTTACAATACAGTATATCAATACAGATGTGTAGTTAGTTTGCAGTAATCTCTCAGACGTAATAATCTCAGGCAAGTTACGAAACTCTCACTTAAAATATCTGTGATTGTGAACAAGAAAAGAATAAACGGTTAAATTAAATTGTTAAAATAAAGGAGAAGCAGATGAGTTGGACTGTACAAGGGAAATACCTCCACACTGCTGGTGCTAAATCATTTGCCGTTAGTACGCAGAGGGGTAATCTGCTGTCAGGCTGCAGGTGGGAGAGACTGCTGTATAAGGACTGACTGGGATGCCTGTCAGTGCTCTGAGGTGGGGGAGGGGCCGAAGGCATCATCCGCAAATCATTGAGAAGAGTAGGGACGGTACAGTATGGATAAATGACAGTCTCTAAAAGAAAAGACAGTCTAGGGGGGTCTGAACGATAACTGACTGTAGTGACAAAGTTGCAAAGTTGACAATACTGGAAATAATCCTGATTTTTTTTTTTAGCATTTATTAGTTTTTGTTAACCTTTTTTGTTGTTTTTGTTAAAAAAAATACTGTGTCAAGTAATCAAAGTAATTAAATCAAGTAATACAACCTTCATTCAAAAATCTCTCACTTGTCATCTGTGAGCATATTTGCTGTATAAAATTGTCAGTGAACTATGAGGGCAAAATATAAAATAAATAAATAAAATTATGGTTCATTAATCGTTAAAATGTTCAATGTTATCGAGATTTCGATTTTAGGCTAAATCACCCAGTCCTAAATAACCCCCATTGGCACTCCAGGCTGCCTATAAATGCCTAACAGGTGTTAATCCTCCTTCCTCTTTCTCTTTAGTCTCACCAGAGACAACATAACAAAGACAAGCCATACAAATGTCCGAACTGCTACAGAGCTTACACAGACTCTGCCTCGCTACAGATCCATCTCTCCGCACACGCCATCAAGAACGCTAAATCATACTGCTGCAGTATGTGTGGTCGCGCATACACCTCAGTGAGTACCAGTGCATGTCTACATCCACGTCAGCTCCTGTCTTTCATCGCGATATAACACGCTCTTGTGTTTTTCAGGAGACCTACCTAATGAAGCACATGTCCAAGCACACTGTGGTGGAGCATCTCGTCAGCCACCATTCACCACAGAGAACTGAATCTCCCAGCATCCCCATCCGCATCTCACTCATCTGAGCTTCCTCCCCCCGTGTTTCGCTTCCATTCAAAGGTATTTTGTTCACTGCGATGGTCTTCCGTAAAAAAAAAAAAAAAGAAACAAAAGAGAAGAAGAATGTTATATATGTGAGACCTCGGAGGACTGTTTTTATGTTTAGCTATGAGTCTACAGGACTCTACATCTGCTGTCTGGATTGAATGGTTCCACTACGGACAGCAGTCTAAAATGGTTTGATTGGGGTTTTTTTAATTCCAAAAGCTCAAATGGCACACTTGTGGTCATTTTAACATTTCAAAGGTGTGTAAAGGGAGACTTCCAAAGATACTCTTTAAGCACTTTTACGGCCTCGTGGTTTCGGGCTCAAAGTAGAATCTTTTTCAGAATGGGATCGGCTTCTCTTTGGGCAGCTATAAGAGTTTAAATTTAGTTTTAGAACGTCGGCTTTTCCTCCTCGTCGTTTGTTTTAACAGGATATTGTGTTTTATATACTGTGGATGTGACACTTCTTCCACTTTAAGCTTCTATTATCCTTTTTTATAAGGAGTGTTAGGTCACGGTTGAGAAAAGTGATTCTGTACAGGTCCATTTTGTGGATGTTTTTATTTTATTTTATTATTTTTACGTTTAATCATTGCCTATGTATTTTTGGGAGACTCAAATGAGGAATTTAAGAAATCCCCCTGATGTTTCGCTAATTAAGAGTGTCGATAAGATGTGACACTCTCTAAAATAACAACTTGTGATTTGCATCTTAGATGTTTTACTTGTTACAATTTTTTTGCATGCAATGCAAACGCCAACCCTTCCAATCAGTATTTTGAGGGGGAGAAAAAAAGTGTCCTTTTTTGTCATTTTGGTTAATTAAATGACATAATTGCATCATGATAAAATGTTCATGAAATGGATTTTTGTCATGATGTTAACATAAGTGTCACACAGGTTCAGTTTTGTTAATCTGAGTCAGACATTTGAGGTGTTATGCGGGTCTTAAAGGGATAATTCACACAAAAATGAAAATTTTTCCTCAGCATTTTCTCACACTCATGTTTAAGAATAAGATATTTTTAAGTATTTTGCCCCTTTCGTACAGTGATACCAGTAAATATCCAGAAAATTACCGAAACAACTTAACCGGCAAGTCAGAAAATGTTCTGGAATTTTTCCAGAAAAGACCATTCACACATCCATTCCAAAATAACGGTAAATTCTGACATCATTAACCAGAAATGACCTCTAAATGGCTGCACTTGTATTTGTAAATGTAGAAGGAGTCAGGCTTTTGTTGATTGTACATAATATGTGTGAGTGCTGGCGCTCACCGGCACACACGCGTCAAGCAACTGAAGCAGAGCTTGAAGGTAAACAAACAGCGGTTTATCATTAGTATTTAATCGATAATTTGTTCTACAACATGAAGGAACATAGAAATGTTATCTGACTATTATCTAGCAGCTAAATGTGTCTGGAAAAATATTTAAAGGCTTTTATTTTCATAAACTGCGCAAACGTGAATGCCTCTGAATGTTCTGATTTGCTGGAGAAGACGTCAAACGTCAGCACGTTCTAATCTTGAACACGCTCTTTCCAGCAATGTTACTTCTGCGTTCACACAGAGAGCAGCATTCCAGCAAATTACCAGTAATGTTACAACTTCTCTTTCTAGATAATTGCCGGAACGGTATTTTCAAAACTGGCCTGTTCACACATGGTCAGGTAATTTTCCAGACAGGTCTGTATGTGTGAAAGGGGCTGATGATATCCATAGGAGGAAAGAAAATACTATGGAATTCAGTGGCTGTTTTTTCCTCCCTGCATTCTACAGTATATCTTCCTTTATGTTCAATAGAAGAAAGAAACTCAAACAGGTTTGGAATTGGAGTGGATCATGAGTAAATTATGACCCATTATTCGTTTTTGAGTGAGCTATCCTTTTTAAAGTTTTAAAGTGATAATTGATGCCACAAACTAAAAATATTTCAGTATATTTACTCAAAGATAAACCTGAAACCTTTTTCAGAAGAACATTGAAGAAGCTTTTTAGAGATTTATAAAATGTAAATAAACATGTACCAGGAGTAAAACATTTTTTTTTAAATGCACATTAAATGTCGTGGCTCCTGATGATGCTTTTAGGCATGGGCCGGTATAAGAATCTGACAGTATGATATATCATGGTTCACAGTACCACGGTACTGCTCTAAAATATATTCTTTTTAAATGTCTGGGTAAGAAACAAAAAATATTTTTCCCTTTTGAAAACAATATATTTTATTTTGAGAAATAATTTGGACCGGTAAACAAGTCTGGCTAAATAATTCAAATGAATTATAGACTTCTGCTGTCTTCATTAGTATCAAAAACACAGATTATTTTACATTTTAAAATGGCATTTTCTGATATATTTTCTGCTGGTGATACTGTTGTCCAAAAAACATAAAGTCTTACATACAGCTTAGGAACGGTATAGAATTTTTTGGGGTGGTTTTAAAACCTTGACTTTTTCAAATCGTGATATACCTTGAAAACGGTTATTGTCCCATGCCTAGATGCATTGCTATTAATATGATAGATTGTGGTCCTATGAAGTGAAACCGCTGTAGATTAAAGGTAATATTGTTGCAAGTAATATTCAGTTTCTTGCACAGACCGGACATTTCACTACAAAAGACCCTAATGTAGGCTACAGGTAATCATTTTGCTTTGCCTATATTTTTCTCTAAATATAGGCAAATGTAGATAAAAATAAGACTCTAAAATATAAATATAAACTCTAAAAATACAATAATACCATTAATCATACAGTTTCAGATTAAAAAAAGTATACAGGTGAAAAAAAGTTACTTACTTTCTTGTGTAGCATAAGGGTGAGTAAAATAATGCCATATTTCCATTTCTGGGAGAATTATCACTTTAATTCCTGCTGTTCTTCCCCTGACAAGTGATAAAGAAATGCACCTTGAGTTACTGACTTACACCGATGGATAGCTGAAAGTGTTTTGTAGATGATGTTATAATCTAATAGCAGTGGCCTATTTAAAAATGTTTTTTGGTGGTTAAATAAGAACTCCATACACCAGAATATCAGTAGTGATGTTTGCTGAGAAAAACAAAACAAATGAATGTATGTTCATTTCTGCAAGAGTGTTTCTGTTACACAAATTCATCCTGAACAAATAACTCCTGTAAATCCTGTATGTTTAACCTTTTTTTTCTAAAATATTTGCTCTGACAAGCAGAACCAGCGTACAAGCTGATAAAACACATTTCAACAGTAGTGGACAGCGGATTAAATGAGTGAAAGCACACATGGTCACTTCAGTTTTTCTAGCCAAACATGCCGTATGTGATTTACCTGATGTCAACAGGCCACAAAACAGCAGCTCTACTACATTCATTTACTTCTGTGGTCATTCATACCAGTCATTTGTTAAGCTTATTGTGTTCAATTCATGTATACGTAGGAAACTTTTGTTTTTTGTATTATCATCATCATCATCTGCCTGTTTGCAAAGGACCAAGTTGTTGCTCTCAAAATTCCCACTGAAATTATAAATTTTTCATAAATGACATATGCAGTATAGGTGATTTATTACACAGTAATTTGGGAATGTAATCAATATCACCATTTTAGATGACAAAAATTTGGTCAAAATGTACTTCTTGGTGCTTTCTACAAAACCTCCGCTCATTGCCAGGAATAGATTATTACATTACAGTATAATCCTGGGTTGTTCAGCCTCAAATCCACTTTAAAATCAGTAAGACGTGTACATTTACTATGAAATATACCCTGTATTCATTAATAGTGCAAATTGCAAGGTTTAGATACTGTACTTTGTTCATTTTTGTATCTGTTTAGTATATACTTATTAATATTTGTTTTTCTGTAAGTACTGATCATTGTTTTTATACTGTAGACATCCTTTCTTTTTTTTCTTTTTTTTATGTCTGTGCCTTAATTTGATCATTTGTTGAAAGACCGGATTCTTTCTCTTTTTTCCTCCACGTCGATGTTTCTCAGTATTCAGTTTTCTTAAGCCTTTTTTTTCCGCATGGAACACCGTAATCGTTATTAACGAGCTGTTAACATGTATTATGTAAGACATTGTTATATATGTTTCTGAAATAATTCACGCTTTCCTTTGTCTTGCATTGTGGTTCCATTTAAAGATTTTTGTTTAATATGCACAGACAAGACTGATAGGTGAGTTAAAAAATATCAATGTCAAGAACACTTTGTATCTCTATCTTGTTTATTAAATTCAGACTGTTATACCTGAGCCTTTGTAGTTTTTTTTTAAAGACGCCACTGGATCTGTTGTGAACTGAAGCTGGTGATAGAGTAAACACTGAATATAAATTTGACAAGGACACCAAGGGCTTCCGGTGAACCGTCTTTTCATTACAAAATTGTCATGCTTAAGATCCGATTTCTTTAAAAATCAGTGATCTTCACTGCCTGTTACTGTAGATATACGATATGAAGTGGGTCTCAGATCGGACAAGAACCGCTGCATTAAATTCCATTACACACCGTGTCTTTAAAATATGAGTTTATTTTACTCCAGTATTTTCAATGAAATTTCTGTGCTAGCTTGTTGCTACTGATGCCACTAGTGTTATATGGTCTTTCATCTCATTTACACTTAAACAACTAAATGAATGTTTAAGTCTGTTTAACTGAATGTATTGTGATGACATTACAACATTGATGCTGTAAAAACAACCTTGTGAAATTGAAAATAGTCACATTAAGCTTTCACCGGAAGCTGGCTTTCAATCTCTAGATGTGCATAGAGCCCATTAATTTAGAGAAGATTTAAATATAAATTGAGTGTACAATGTGGGAATATGTGTAAACGGTTTACAACAAAAACAGCATCACTTATTTTATCCATTTGGTTCTCTCAGGATTGGTATATTGGAAAATAACTTATAGAAATAACTCTAAACTTTTAGCATGGAACGCCATTTCTGCCACAAAATGAACTCTATAAAAATGTTAGTTTTTTTTTCTCAATGATTTTCATCTAATGAAAACAAAATAAAAACTCTATAAAAATTGTAGGTTTTTTATCTCAATGATTTTCATCTAATGATTAAAAAAACATTCCCAATTTAAACTTTGGCAATTCATAATTCTAACTTTCATTTTAGTTTTACGTCAAATTATTTCACACATGACTGTATTTTCAAGTTTACATCTTGCAATTAAGCTTTTTTCAGCCTCTTAATTCCAAATGTACAGTACGTCTTGCAAATCCAAGTTCTTGCATCACTTCTCAGAATTGATCCTGCTCTGGGAGTTTGATTGGGAGGTGATCCAACCAATCATGGTGCCAATGTTACTATTGAAAATACTTAAAAGTAATTAATAAGAAAACAATAACTAAAAAGTATACACTTCCCGACAAAAGTCTTGTCGTTGATCCCTGTTGTAAGAGCAACAAATAAAAACTTGACTTCTAGTTGAATGTAAGTAGTGGCTGAATGTAAAATTTTCCCATGAATCATCTGTTGAACTGCATCCTATTATCACAAATACTGCAGAAGACCTATTGGAACCCAAGATTCTCATAGAATTCAGTCAAGTTTGGTTAAAGAAAAAAAAATTGGGGTTACATTCATTATGGGGAGGCATGCAGAGTGTGTTTCCTTGCCATTTCAGATGACTATTAATACGTTATTTAAGTCATTGCAGAGATGTATGGATGCAGTCGTCCAAGCTCATGGAAGTCATACACATATTAATTCTCTTTCCACTGCACCATGACTTTATATTCTGTACTGTACATTACTTCTGTTAAGCGACAAGACTTTTGTCTAAGCAAAGTCAGACCTTACTGTCCTGATTAAATCATTAAAAAAATCAAGGCATGAGCATATTTTATTTTGGTAAAATAAGCGTAATCTAGAGCTTTTTGCCTTTCATATAAGTCACTTCTGATACCAAATGATCAACTAGAAGTCAAGTTATTATTTGTTGTTCCTAAAGCTTGGATAGTTGACAAGACTTTTGTCAGGTAGTGTACAAGTTTTAACCTATTTTCCAATCCTTTATACTGGAGTATGATAAACAAGTTACACGGGGGAGAAAATATCTAAATTGTAATATATAAACTCTCAATTACAAAAAAAGAAAATTGTGGGTAACTTTTTATCCTGTTTTGGAAACACTGTAGACATTTCTCGGTTTATGAATATAATGTGTCACGCTGGTACTGAGCTACTCGACAGCAGGTGTCAACATGACAGATCTAAAACAATAACAATATACACAGTTGAAAAAATCCTAATATAAACCAAAGTGATTCCATTTAAGAGAAAAACAGCTTTCAAGATGGTTTCATAATGTTCTCCCATTATATACAATGGTAATATTTCTCAAAATTTCAATAATGCAACTTAAAATATCTATTTTTGGAATAATACCCAAGTAAACATTTATAATGCAACAATAATTTGTAAATGAAGCCCTTCTGTATTGCTTTGAGAATAATAACTGCACTGAATTAAAAAAAAAAAAAGTTAACAAAGGTCATTTTTCCTCAAGATTGACTAAAGCAATCAAACAGGCATCGTGAAAATAAGTTTATTAAGAAAATACATGCTAGGTCAGTGTGTGCCATGTACACTGATGTCGTCCGCAGTTTATACAATGAGCCCTATATGAATATTTCGTAAAGGTTGCATCCTAATATTGTATAGCAGCAGGACACAATGTACGATACTCTCATAATGCACAGGCACGACTGCAGGATCTTCATCCTTTTGCCACAGTTTAAAGTTCTACAAAGTGTTTCCTCTTTCAGGTGACTTTGCTCGCAGATCACAGGTCATTTCAGTCTCTCAGGACTACATAATAACATATAAAAAAACTCTAAAAACTCCCATTTCATACGTAAACAACAATACCATAAGGCTGATAATGCTAAAGTATCTCTAATATATCCCTTTTTTAGGACAACATAATACGCAACCTTTGTTCATGGTAAATTATTAATCACAACCACATTGCGTACCTAATATGTAAAGCAAATACTACACATAAGCAGGTCTAAATAAATATTTTGATTGTACATTTCATGGCTGTGATTTCCGCCCTCCTAAAAAGACCAAACTACTGTTCCAAAATTCCAAAAGATATTTTTAAAATAAAAATAAAATAAAAAATAATAATCTCTTACAAATCACCATTAATGTAATCATAAATACTGTAAAAAAAAAAAAGTCAATTTAGAGGAATGTTGTTACAATTTAAACTAACTTTTCCATTTCAATATATAAAGAATATTATTCCAGTGATTTCTTACTCATTACTCCAGTTTTCAGTGTCAAACAGTTCTTCAAAAATCATTATCAAAGTTTAAAACTTTTAACTTGTACTTTTTATAATGAACACAGTTCAAAATAGGAATATATGCTTTATTATTTAAGTATATTTATCCGAAATAAAATGTAAAAATTCCTTATTTTGATCGATTTAATGCATCCTTGCTGAATAAAAGAATTAATTTCTTCCCAAATCTTTTGAACAGTAGTGCAAATATTTTTAGCTTCAAAGAGCGCAGTTATCTCAGCCCTAATGCCTCATTCATACTAAAAGCAACTCGCAGCGGCCGTTCATTTCAACGGAGAGCAAGCGACATTCGGTGACCTCCGTCTACACGACCAACAGTGACCGTTGGCAACCATAGATATTTACATTATATGTCGCCTGCGATATTGATGTCTATTAAAAAGAATGCATCAATAGAGCCGCCATTTTAGTACAGGGTAACACATCTTTAAAATGAATGTGGGGCCATGCAGTGGAGGACTGGCCATCCGGAGCCATAGGTATAAACCCATTTATATATTCATCTATGATCGGTAGTGTTCTTGGTAGTCAGTATGCAAATATATTTTTTAAATTACGAAAAATATAATTTTACATCACTTTTCTACATTGGAAAAGTGACCGTAAGGGCATTGCTGACAAAGAGCATGTGTTTGTGGGCATGGAAATGTATTATCCTCCCTCCCTGTTAAATTTGATCTAATCCATGTCCTGAAACACACACCCTTTCCTGCTTTCACTTCTAATTATAATGGAGGGAGCAATTAGTTTGTGAATGAATCTCCTATTATGAATGACTCGTTCAATTAGCCAACAATCATACAAGTTTCAAGTGTTTACAAAAACGTAAAAAAACGAAATCTTACGTATGAAATGTTCTGCCTTTGTGATTTGTGACCATACACCGCGCTAAAGTCGAGCATCTTCACAATGGCTTCAGTCTTGACTAGGTGCGGTTGAATGAAGTTTGTCTTGGGAGCACTGTACAAATGTGGCGGCGCTAATGACGCATGCTCAGAGTCCGAATGCGATATCTAGTGTATATATCTATGGTTGGCGGCCAGGTGGGCGTGTTGAGCAACGCGGCAAAGTTGAGAATTTTTCAACTTTATGCAAATGAAGTGCAACTTTGAAGTGCACCAGTAGAGCTCACATGATCCTCTCAGCTCGTTTAAAGGCCGGTTGTATTTGTGCTATATATACCTTCACACAGACCTGCATTTGCAGCAGGTCACCACCCAGAGCGACAGGCAGCTACAAAGTCGTTGCTAGTCTGAATGAGGCATAAGTGATATTTTCCCAGGTTTGGCTACAAAGAACGCAGTTATTTCAGCCTAAAGTGATATTTTCCCAGATTTGGACCTAAAATCAGCATACAAAAAACATGTTTTTACATGTACTGGTCGGCATTTACACTTAAAGGGATAGTTCAGCCCAATATTTAATTTCCCTTCTTGCTTATGCACACTTAAGCGGTTCTAAACGTTTATTTCCCTTCCACTGAAAACAAAATAAATTTTGAAGAATTTTGGAAACCAGCAGCCATTGCCATCCATTGTTTGAACCAAAAACAATATTATGAAAGTCAATTGCTCAGTAATATTTGTTTTCAACAAGAGAAGCTCAAACAGGCCTTGAACAAGTTAAAGGAGTGTAAACGCAAGAATTTGAACTATCCCTTTAAATACTTACTACTTCACCAAAGGCAATAGTGCATTTCAATTGTAAACACCTGCAGAGGATACCATCTGAACATCAGATTAATAGTGCTTTAAGTGCTTTTCTATAGTCGTACCATAATAAGGTGAATGTGTAAAAACACATATGGCATTCTTATAGATGGGACAAGGCTACTGAGCTTAGCATCAAATGAACTGTAGTGCTTGCGGATAATATAAAATCCCTATGTGAGTCAATGGAACTAAAGTCATCCCATGTTAAATATGCAGCAATAATGCCACTCGTCACACACTATTAAAAATATTTTTAAGTATAAGAAAATAAAGACCTAAAAATGAAACAGAGTCACAGTGCCATAAAACCCACTCCTTGAGCAAGCCGTCTGTGTTTAACCCACTTACAGTTCACTTAATATTAAAGTTTTTGATTGATCCAGTGACTTTTCAGAATTGGCAAACTCTGTGGTGGCATTTGACAGTCATCAGGCCTCATCGCTTGTGGCACTGAGACTCTCCTCCTGCTCTAACCTGCTGTTGGGAGTCAGAGGGGAGGTCAGGTTCAGGTAGCCTATCTCAGTGGACTGTGAAACAGGCACAGATGAGGAGATCTCCATGCTCTTCACTCCAGATTCACCCACTTTGACTCTGCGGATGGCATCCAATATTCCCCATGAGTCACAGAGACCAGGCTGTGGACTAGAACAACAAGTGTGTAAAAAGCCACCACTGGATTATTAGCACAGAAAAGAAATCCCATGATCAAGTATTTGATAGTAGGTTTATACCATTTTTATTTTAAACTAAAATTGTAACCTTTTATTTACTTGACAATGGCATTTTGGGGCTTTTACTGTCACTTTTATTAAATTAAATACTGAACACTAAACCTAAAATAATGAATACTACACCTGAATACTAAGACTGCAGAATATATCAATATTGCAATGCGTGTGTCCACAATTGTTACATGGCAGGACATGCAATGTTGAGTTGGGGTTAGTTGATCAATAATTGAGAATACGTGAGATTTGTGGAGTCATTGCAAGGTAATACCATAACAGAGTGAAAGTTTACCAGTTGCATGAGCTTTAACAGCATTTCAAAAGTTTAAAGCATTTATGAACAGAAAAAGTTATTTTACATTTCATTATTCAATTTCTGTACCTTCTAAATTTCTGTTTGATTTGATGGAAATCCATAAATCACTGTTTATTTAACTTTTTTCTTTGCTCTATTGAAATAAAAAACTTTTTACCAGCAATTGGTTTTAGTTTTTTTTAAATTGATTCACATCCTTACAAAATCACCCCAATTAGTCAAAAAAATCAATGATTTCTTTCCAAATAGAGCTATTCAAGCCATCTGGTGAAAGTGTTTTCACATCGCAATATGTATTGCAGAGAAACAAAACATGGCAATATCAGATTTTTTCAATATCGTGCAGCCTTACTTAAATTGTATTAAATACAGAAAGTAAGATTTTGTATAGTTTTTTCTCAATCTAACACTATTCTCAAACTGAAATATAGAGGAAGTTGGAATACCGAAAAAAATAGCGGGAGAGATAATGAGACGTTGAATAGTGGAAGGGTGTTGCGGACGTAAGTTAAGAGATGTGGCGGGGGTTGGTTGTCGCGGACGAAAGTGAAGAGGGTTGGGGAGTCGCAGAACAAAGTGAAAGTAAACAGCAGATAGGGGAGGAGGGCGGTGAGAAGGGGTATCGGTAAAATGAGGTGCAGGATCAGATTTCAGAGGTGCCAGATCCAGCGTGTTCTGGCACATATTAAGCCCCATCTAATCCCAACCATAATTGTAAATTATCCCCAAAATCAGAGGGGAATAATAGTTAGATAACAATCATGTAAAAGTGCATAAACCTAACCGTAAGCCTAGAGTGATTTATACTTCTGTGTCGAGCGATCGTCTTGATCTACGGTGCCTGCCTTGAACATAGCATTTATACTGTTCCTCTATGTTCCTCTGTGGTGTGTTTCTTCGAATGCGTTTTGTTTTTTCCTAACACTACCTAAATGTACAAGTGGCTTAAACTTTTTTATTTTGAAGCTGGAACCGGCAGACATGCAACAACTTTAATCAAAAGGTAAACACAAAACAACAGTTTCCATCTAAAGCTACTTCATGGGACTCAACACTTGTAAACACTCACTCCAACGGGTTCGTGTGGCTCTCAGTCACACTGGTCACAGCTACCTAACTGACCAACCACAGAGCTTGTGCTACGCATCGTTGTGACGTGTAGTTAAATTTTTTTTAAAGGGGTGCGTGTCGGTGTCCGTGTCAGCCATGGCGAGGGCTATGCGGCCACGTGAAGGCTGCGCTGGAGCATACCTACGCTTGACGCAGAAGTATAAATCAACCTTAAACTTAACATAAACGGTAAACGTATCCCTTAATTCTGATTGGCTGATTGGGATGTTAATCCAGGAACATGTCCTATTTGGTCAAATCAGGTTAGGGAAAATATATACCTTGGAGTTGATGTTCGCAACAAACCATCTTGATGAGCTCCAGATGGAAACATTTTCTTGACCTCCTACGACAAATACACACACATTAGCAGCATCTGTGTACTTCAAATAGTTTAAAGTTTTTCTTTAAATACTAATATAAAATTGAAGTAGCTCATCAGAGGTGTACCTCAACAGTACACACCGACTGAAGGTTTCTCAATGCACGATCTAAAATTCCTATCTGATTGGCCAGTGTTAGAGTTTTCTCCTGCAGCTGTTTGTTCTCCATTTCCAGGAATTTAACTCTAAGAAAGAACAGCAGAAAACAAATCAGTTAGCATGTTTCTGTGCTTTCCTGTCAAATGTAAAAGAGCTTTAAAGGGATGTTTACCTCTGCTGGGTTGTAGTAGCGGTTCTCAGTCCATTGTTCCCCATCTCCTCTGCCTCACTTATTCGCTGAAGAAGTTCTCGTCTCTCCAGAAGGAGTTGCTCGTTTTCTTCTGTTACAGTCCTAATCCAGTCCTTCTCCTGCTCATAGTGTGACACACTCAAGGGACGGTGTATAGGTTATATATCTAGTGTTTAAGGTCAGAAAATACTTACTTTCTCTGAGAGACTTGTTGCAAGAGCCAGATCATTTTCCAGCTGCTGGATCCTTTGCTCATGTTGGCTGACTGTCTTCATGAAGATCTGTTTAGCTCTGCGCAACTTGGTTTTCTGCTGTGACTGTTTTTCATTGTATCTCCTGCAGAACAAGAGTTTATTTTAGGGCTGCACAATATATAGTTATGGCATCGATATCATAATGTGCACAACCACAATAGTCACATAACATCATCTGCAATGTCAAATCAGCATTATAGTTGAGTAACACACACGACTGTGAAATAACTGCAAAGTTTAACCATAAAGTTACCAAAAAATAGTATTATTTGCTTGTTTTTTAGGGCCTGTGACTGTGTACACATTTCAAGCCAGTTTAAAGCATTCAGGCAGAAGAAATTAAAATTTGTAACTTCAAGAAAGATTCATTGTGTGCAGAATGAAGATTATACAGTGTTATTTATTTTACATTTAATTCTTCAATTTGTGTTCCTGAATATTGTTAGACTCCCAGAAAAACCATAAAGCATTGATTTCATTTGTAACTGTATGCTTTACTGTATCATTGCTTTTGATTTGGCTTTTTACATTTTATGCAGATGCGCTCTACTACAAAATCTTCCTATTATCATCCAAATTAGTCCTAAAGTTGCTAATTATTTGCAAATAGAGCTATTCATTTTATGAGTTAAAATTATACCCAACATCGCGAATATAATACTGCAATGCCATTTTTTAAAATATCTTTTCAGCCCTAGTCTATTTGATATAATGGTCAATAGCGTTTAAAATGAAGAGAATCATACAGTTGTGGACTAGTTTCAGGAAAAAAAATGGTCTTAATACACTAAAAACAGACTGAAAACACAACAAACTCATACAGAAACGTGTGCTAACCTGCTAGGAGATGCATGACAAATTAAATGTAATATTTTTAGTCCTGTAAGATGAAATAAAGACCACAACTCCCATGATTCCCATGAGTCACAGCATCATGAAATTACATTTTTGTCTGTTATGAATATTAAAAAAAATAAAAAAAGTCTGTTGTGAATATGCACCCTCTAGTGGAGAAAGTGTTTAAAGTTTAAATATTTTGTTTTCAAAATGTTGCAGACAAGTAAATAAAACAATAAAGTAAATAAAACACCAAAATGCTATTTTTTTGTTTTTAGCTGCAAATTGCCAAAAAATGTATGCAACCTACGCCAAACTCTACTGTCATTTTCAGCCATTGAGGAATAATACCTGACATTTGTGTCAAGCTGCTGGACGACCAGCTTCAGCTCTTCCTGCAGTCTCTCAGACTCGTGCTGGGCAGACAGCAGCTGTTCTTCCAGCCTGTGGCAGCTCTTCTGGCCGCTTCTCTGCTGCAGGACACATCAGTAGTTCATGGTCATCAGCTACACTCATTTTATTTCAACAATTTGCATGACACTGTTATCCCACAAACCTCTTCTCTAGCTGTGTTAAGTTCACTCTCCATGACCTGCAGTCGAGTCTCCAACTCCTGTACACGGTGAGATATTTCCAAGTTGGTGCGTACCAAACTTGCCTCCTTGGCCCGCAATGAGCGCACATGCTGCTGGAGCTCCTCATCCTTCTGCTCAAGTAATTTCCTATCAGAAAACACAGAAAGATACTGTTAAATCCAATAGATTGGCTACTGATTTGGCAGATGTATCCAAAGTGGCTTAAGAGTGAGGATAAAAGAAGCACTTCAAATCATCAGAGATATTGACCAATATGGATTTTTAATGGACTCATATTTACTGTATACCTCAAAGGGGGAAACATTTTGTGTAAATCATTTGATTCGGTTTTAAATTCGGTTTAAATTATATAATTATATAACTATAATGTAATTTTTCACAAATAGAATGTTACGTCTAAACCAGTCTAAGGTTGGTGGGAACGATAACAAAACTAAAAACTAAATTTTAAAATAACAATTTTAGGGTTTTCCCCTTCCCCTGTTCCAGCGCACAATAACCACGACAGGTATTTAGCAAGGAATAACAATGTTTATTTTCAAAAATAAAGATCTGGTAAGCATCTCTTCGGAAGAGAATCCAGGCCAAAATAATAAACAAAAAGACAACTAACTTGCAGGGAAATAATCCTAACTTACCTGCTAAAAAAAGAACCAAATAAAATTATAACAAAGCTTCCCTTGCTCCCTCGCTGCCACAAACCAGGAGAAAATGGCATTTCAAAGTAAATGGCGATTCCCAACCAACAGCTTTAATTATCCTAAAATAATATATATTGTTTTAATACAAGTGAAAACAAAGCACACAGGCTGTAATGAGACATGGCGAGCAGTTAGCAGAGGGTATACCTGAAGACTTGAACAGAAAGAAAAAACTAAATAGCATTGATGTTAATAATCTGAAACGTATGTCTGACTTAGGAATCATAAATGTTATATAGAGTAATTTTACATACACTACATGGTGAATATGACATGAAAAAATATTTTAAAAAAACAGCCATTTGAATTTAGTACAGCACAGTTTGAAATGTTTCTTCTTTACACATATTACGCAGCCTATGTTGCACATTTCAAAAGATTTGACAATTTGCAATGTTTACGAAATTAAATGTGAAATATTCAGACGTGATAGAAATCATATATTGGCACATTTGCTAGGTGATAGATAGAAATGTAAAAAAAAGTACAGCTTTTACATTTCTAATACTAGTACTAATGTCAGTAAACTACTAAGAATGAGAGCTCCTGAGGTGTAAAAATAAAAACTTGAAGGCAAATCAGTAGGGTCAGACGGAATCTTTTTTTACTATTTCAGCAAAGATTTTATAAAAAAAAAAAAAAAAATATATATATATATATATATATATATATATATATATATATATATATATATATAAATAATTAAATAAAATCTGTTTAAGCAGAATGATTTTGAGAATATAAGGGCTGAAAAAGTAACTTCTTAATTTTTTACCTAACTTGTTTGGTAAACGAAGACACTTTCATATAAAAAAATACACGTTGTACTATACAAAAATTAATAAATATATATATTTACACACATTTACAGTAAATAAATAGATTAAATGATGGGTTTTATGGTCATTTCCACCGAGTGGTACGAAACAGTTCGGTACGCTTTTATGGCCGTTCCACTGGCAACTAAAAGCAAACCGTACCGTGCCACTTTTTGTGTACACTTTGCAAAGGGTACCTAGCATGACAAAAGGGTCCCAAAAGGGGGAGCTAGACACGCAGCTAAAAAGCGTCACTCATGCATACACAAGCATACACAAGCAGAAAAACATTTTTGAATACACAGCCGAGACATTACATCGTAATACTATATGCATACAATAATGAGCCATGGTTGACCCCAGCTCAAACAAACCTTGTTGTTGTCTTGATGAACAAAGCCAAGAAGAACAAAATCTGCTGTTTCCTGTTTTTGTTTAACGAGACTGTCTAAAAGTGCGAGGGGTTTTATTTTCTCTAGGGAGCTCGCGATCATTCATGTGCGCGTCTGTATGTGAAATAACGATCCTCTTGAGCTGATGATAATAATGTGCACGTGATTAAAGTGCTTTTGACATCTGATTTTTTCATAAACGGACAAACGCGAGAGACAAGCGCAAAAAAGCAAAGAAGAAACCGGAAAAATTAAGGTGCGAATGATACCCAACACCAACCTAAAACATGAAAAAACAGCCATGTTCAACTATTATCATCACCTTTTGAACTATTATGAACTCGGAATGACGGAATTTCTTTTTAACAGAGGTCACATGTGCTGATGAAGAATAAAGAAATGAGAGGTTTGCACTGACTGTGGGCTATGCTGCGTGTTGTTTTTGAACCAAAATAAGGACCAAATGTATGCTGTGTGTAGTTTTTCTGTAGATGGTAGCATATCGGAGTCTGTAAGGTTCTGTATGTGTTTATATATGTTGCATTTATTTATTTACTTAATATAATCACAGAAGTTACAGTAGGATATTTTGTTGATATACCGTTATGATCAAATCATGTTCATATAAAGGTTAGTCATGAACATTTATACTCAAGTATTTCCTCGAGCGAGAATGACGTCAAATGAAACTTTCTGTCGTAAACAACGGCCACCAAAAAGGGTACCCTTGTTATCCTTTAGGCCTGGAAACGCAAGCCTGATAAAGTTGACCCGTATCGACCCATAACATACCATAATGTACCAGTCAGTAGCAACAAGCCATAAAAATCTGGAAATCTGTTGAGTTTTCTTCTGATTACTGCAGGTGCAGATTTTGTGTGGGCCTACCAATCAGTCAACCACTGCTATTGGCTTGAGGTGCAGTGACATGTCTGACCTCTGTAACTGCTCCTCTTGCAAATGGGCTCTGAGAGCAGACAGGTTATCAGACATGTCTCTGGTGTCTCTCTCCAGTTTGCTGGTTTCTCCTGATCTGGCCTCCTCCAGGCGCAGTTGGTGCAGAGCATTTTTCAGTTGCTGCTGCAGTTCAACAACCTACAGAGATGTTGAGGAACTGGTAAATAAGCATGTACCTGATAACTGCACAAGAGAGATCTAGCATGTTGTAAACGCACACCTTCTTGTCAGCAGCGATCACACGTGACCTCTGTGAATTAAGCTCATCCATTAGGCTGCTGTTTGTCTGACGGTTCTGAGAGCTTCTGGCCATCTCCAGCTCCAGATCTCTGGCCCTCTGCTGGAGTCGCTCCAGCTCTGCCACCTGTCCTGCTGCGTTCCCCTCATGCTGGGCTACTTTGGCCTGGGCCTGCTTCAGCTCTGCACACAGCTAAAGAAAACCAAGCATAAACATGATGTTGTTGAGCACTAACATGAACAGTGCTATGTAAATCTGACATCTAGTCTCTGACATCAGTCTTTTACCAAAATTTCTATTTATCAATGAATCCAAATTAAAGCATATATTGATTTTAACACTGAAATAATTTGTAAAAATATATATATTTGAATGCATTTATAATGATTTCTGAATGTTGAGTGACACTGAAGATAAAGTAATGATGCTGAAAATTCTGAAATATATATATATATTGGGGGTGTAACGATATTACAAACCGAACCGAAATTTCGCGATACACCAACCACGATACACATCGCGAAACTCAGACTTAAAAAAACTATATATATATATATATATATATATATATATATATACATATATATATATAGTTTTTTTAAGTTTTCTGTTATTACTGTATTTATGATCATGAGCATTAGAAACTTGTTTTTCTCTTATACAACATAATATCACCAAAGCTTTCAGATTCAAGTGTTCAGATACATTTTATGAAAACAAACTGCACTTTAGTTTGTATTTTGTAATCATTTAAAAAAATGTTTATCATTTAATCTAACGGCATTTTCTCTAATGCATTCATTTTTAAAACGTTTGCATTTTTTTTACCTTGACCTTCTCCTGGTCTAGGAGTGCAATGTGTCTCTTAAGGTCAAGATTTTTCTCTCTCTCGTAGCGTAGCTCTCGCTCAGCCGAGGTGAAGAGGTGCTGGGTTCTCTGCAGGTCCTGTTTTAGCTGTTTGTTCTCTTCTCCTTTTTGCTGTAGAAGTGAGTCTTGAGCCTGTCCCACAAAAAAATAATGGCCACATTATTCAAAACAAACAGAGAAAAAGCTAAATCATTTTTTCACAATTAAGCAAATTTCATTAATGTTTGTGCAAAGTAGAATTTGATGTGAATCTGAATGTGGTAATGTATGAAGACTGACTGACCTTAACCCGGGATTGAGCTTCAGCAATCTGGGCCTGCAGGGCCAGCTGGTGTTGACTGGCCAGCTGTCTCTCCTCCTCCAGGGTGGAGTGTAGTTTACTCACCTCTGACTTCACACAGGCCAGCTAGAGGAGCAACACAGCAACAAAAAGTTAAAAAAACATTTTTTTGCCCTTGCTCAATGTCTGCACTTTATTTCACCAACATTTTTGTGACAAAAAATGTCTTTGCACTTTAAAAAAAGTTTTATTTGTATGTACGAAAGTGCTTATCAACGCAGGCGTCTACTGTTTTTTGTAATCTTCAGTGAATTGCACTTTTCATTTTATGTGGACCATTGCATATGTGTAAAAGCTGAAGTGTGACTTAAGTTTAAGAATCATTTCACAAGGATTACGTGACACTGAAGACTGTTGCTTGGCCTCACAGACATAAAAAACAGTATAATACTGTACCAAATAAATTCTCAACCATAATATATCTCTATTCTGTGTATTTCGTGACATGAAAATAAGTGAGTGTGGCTAACTCTCATGCAGATTTATAAACATCCTAAAAGAGCCATACTACCTGACAACTTCCTTCATTCTGAGCAGTGGCCTTGTGGTTAGCTGTATGTTCCTGTGCAGATCTGGGTATCTGTTCTCTGGTGTACTGGAGCTGCTGCTGCAGATGCAGGAGTTCCAGACTGAGTCTCTCCTTCTCTCCATCGGTCTGAAGCCTCTCATGGGCTTTCTCACTGAGCTCCTTCTGCAGCTGCAGCACAAGTCCACGCTTCTCCATCAGCTCATCTCTAACAAACAGACAGAACACATGCTTCCTGCAGGGACCGGCCAACCATACTAAATCAAACATATTGAGGGAAAATAGAAGGAAAAAATGTGTGAAATATGACAGACTGCTTTACCTGAGGGTGTTGTGCTCCTTCTCTAGACGAGTCAGTTCTGTTCGCAGCTTGTCCACCATGGACTTAAGCTCTGCCACCTGTCCCCTGCTGTCTCTCAGGTCCTCTTCAGCCTGGCTGTTCTCTTTCTGAAGGGTCAGGTCATCCTGGATTCGAGACTGAGCACGCTCCAACTGGGCCACCTGCAAACACAACCTCATTGGCATTTGCAAGCGACAGGAAGTATCCCAGCACACGTGGTCGAAGATTAGCTGTGATAAAAATGCAATAAGCAGTAAATACTTAAATGATCTTACTTTTTCTTCCAAAATTCCCTTTTCTCCTTTAACCTGCGTGAGGTTCTTGTTAAGAGTCTTCCCTTGACGACATTCCACCTCCAGCCTCTGAACCTCTACACGTAATCTCTTCAGCTCCTCATGGTCTCTTTGCATAACCTGTATACAGTCATATAAGGTGTATATGGATTTAGATTAATATATTATAATTTAAATTACAAATGCATGCATAGTGCATTATAACTTATACAGCTTTCCAGAACTAATAGTTGTTTTCCACTGTGCGGTATAGCACAGAACGTTACAGATTAATTTCTGTTTCCAGTGTTAGAAGTACCAAAATAGCAACATGTACTGTACCACATTTTAGGGATCCTTTCAGGTACCTAACAAAACATTTCTAAGTTGCTGCCAAATGATAATTGGTTTACAGATAATCATCGCTTGAATGTGGAACAGGCCAGACAAATCATAGCATAGGAAGCACCATTTTTAAATACACAGCTGAAACATGACAAGGTAATCTATCACGCAGCTCAACCCAAGCTCAAACAAAGCTTGTTATCTTCTTGTTGTCAGATATGTTTATCTAAACAATCTTCTGTCTCGCTACAATCTAACCCGCTCTTTAAGATCTCAAAACTTAGGGCTTCTGGTTGTGCATAGAATAGCAAAGTTGAGTAAAGGAGGTCGAGCCTTCTTATTTATGGTTCCTAAACTCTGGAAAAGCCTTCCTGATAATGTCCGAGGCTCAGACACACTCTTGCAGTTCAAAAATAGATTAAAGATCCATCTTTTTTAGTAATGCATACACTCAGTGCATCACTTAGTGATATGATGGATGAATGTGCGCCACGCAGTTTTTTGCATCTCGTTTATACACTGTGAACAGCAGCTACGCTAATTATTCTCTTCATTCTCTATTTCCACCTGGGGATAACTCATCCCCAGGCCCTCAGACTACGCAGCGCCACTAATTTGATCCAAGAACAGCGACGAGATGATCCCAAGGTTTCCATAATCCTGGACCAGGCCGTATCCTGAGCAGCTGCTGTGGTGGTCATGGAGGAGTGGAGAGCATGAGACTGATTTCTGTGACGCTCCAGGGACAGACGAGTCTTCGCTGAGGTCCATTCTCCAGCCTCCGGCGCCTACACTGCAGCTCTGCACAAGTTGTTTGGCCATAGGAGAAATGGTCGTGCCCAACTGAGCCTGGTTCTCTCGAGGTTTTTAATTCTTCACTTTCCCCAATTGGTAAAGTTTTTTCCTTGACGCTGTCACCACTAGCTTGAATGGTTCGGGATCTGTAGAGCTGCCCATCGATGGATTTGTTCTTCAGTGTTTGGATTCTCAGTAGTGATTATTGAACCCCACTGAAATGACCTAAACTGAACTGAACTTAAACACTGAAAACTTGACTGACACTGTTTCAATTTACTATGATCTTCTATGTTTTTATGTGAAGCTGCTTTGACACAATTTATATTATAAAAGCACTATACAAATAAACGTGAATATGTGAATGGCTCATACAGCTTTCTATTTTGAGCACAAATGACGTCAATCACAAATTTCTGACGTACACCACTAAATAAGGGTACTGTTAGCAGTGGAAACACAACCACATACCAAATCATACTGTACTAAACTGAATCATACCGCTATATGGAAATTAGGCAAAGGGCTACAGTACATCAACATTCAGAATACATTTGACAAATTTTTGACCTTCTGTTCACACCCAAATGACAGAAATGAAAGTGGCAAATAAACAGACATCATCTCAGTGTGCTTTTATGACATTTTAAGCTTGCGCAGCAAGTTACATTATTAATGATTTCCTATGTTGCAGTGCAGAAAACAAAATCTAGTGTAGACAGAAAATTATATAAAACAAAAATGCCATTTTCAAATCTATTCAGGTAAATGTAGACATAATCTAACTCAGGGGTGTCTAAACTCTGTCCTGGAGGGCCGGTGTTGTGCATATTTTAGCTCCAACTTGCCTCAACACACCTCCAAAGATATTTCTAGAAAGCCTAGTAAGAGCTTGATTAGGTAGCCCAGGTGTGTCTGATTGGGGTTGGAACTAAACTTTGCAGGATACCGGCCCTCCAGGACCGAGTTTGGACACCCCTGATCTTAATGGTCAAAACAAGATACATAAAAACATATACAATTTTACAGTACCTCTTTTTCCTTTTTGAGAGCAGCCTTGGCTACAGATAGATCCACTTCCAGCTGTTTCCTCCAACCCTTTTCTTCAGTAAGACGACTCTCAAGGAACTTAAGCCTTTCTTGAATGCTCTCGCTAATCTTTACATTAAAAGGGAATGAAAGTAAGAGTTAATCTACCACACAGGTAAAGTAAGGAAACATGGGACTCAATCTCAGGAGGCCCGAAGTGCAGTGATGCTATATATGCCTACTAATTAATCGGCACCTACAAGCAGTGGGTTTTTTTTCCACATTATCTTAATTTTTACCTCAGAGTCAGTCCCTCGAAACAGATCTTCATCCTTTTTTTCAACTTTCTTATTGTCCCTCTTTCTCAGTTCTTCCTCAATACTTTTGATCTAGAAGAACCAAACTCAGTCAGTTTAGCATGCAGGTTATCTTTAATCACACTCAGCCCGATAGCATTCCTGAAAGCACACCTTTCTCTGTAAGCCCTCTATCTCACACTCATGGTGTTCTCGCTCATCCTTAGTTGTGTTCTGCGCCTCCCCCAGCAGTGCCTCCAGCTCTTCATTGCGCTCCACCAGGTCCTCGTGCTCCCGCTGCTGCTTCTGCAACCTCCTCTCCAGCTCTCGCAGTCGACTGTCCTTATCCTCAGACTCTCTCCGACACCTGCCAACTGCATTATCAGCACCTCTGAAGTGTGGATAACATGTGCCACTATAAACATGAAAATGGGTTACCTTTTGTGGAGTATCTCATCCTCTTCAGCCAGTGATGAATCACGATTGACATTATTCCCGACACTCTAGCAAAAAAGCACACTTAAATTAGGGCTGCTAAAATGTTGTTCTTCTGCAATATATATTGCGATATGAATATAATTTCAAAAGACTACTTTACTTGGAAAGTATTTATCATTTTACATTGATATATGATATAATGCGTTTAATTTAAGAGAAGATTGCAATAGTAAATTTAACTACCTGTATAGATTGTATTTTATTGTGCTCCAATGACACACTGATCCCTTGAGTCGAGTGCAGATTTGATTGTTCAACCTGTGGCACACAAACACACACACAACAGCAAATAAAATATACAGATATTTTTATTACATTATAAACATGGTATTAAGTAGTGCCGGATAGAATCTGCGGACATGTTTTGCTATTTCTGCTAAGAATTTTGTAAAAATAAAAATAAATAAATAAACTGCAGATTTATGCAGAATTATTTTGGGAGTTTTGTCTCTAAAAAATAATATATGAAATAAAAATAAGAGCTTTTTAACTTTTATTTAATGTTTACAATGCAAATTAATTTAGATCTACTTATTTAGTAACCAAAGCAAGTCTCTCATATAATATAAATCTACTGAAAGACAGAAAATATTACTTTACAAACTGTACCGTAAATAAATTAAATGAACACTTTCATCTTAGTCAATAATATTACTGAAATTTATTTAAGAAACTGAATAAATAAAAAACTCAATAAATATAAATTTACACACATTTACACAAGTAAATAAATAGACTCGATGGGCTAAATATCTGCGGAAACCTGCAGACTTCTGCACGCTCAGATTCCATGTGGGCCAGGTAAAAAGTAATTTAGTAAATAATTTATCATCTCGCCTAATCACTTGTGATCGGATGAAATAAGAGGAAACAGGGATTTAGAAAACAATTATTCTTGCCAGTTTAAGAAGAGTTCTCCTCTCTGTGTCCAAAGAGCGAACTCTATCCCTTAACACACGAATCTCCCCGTCCAGTCTTTCATTACGTTCCTTCGCCTTCTGCAGCTCCACCATATCTGCCACATTTTGGAATTACAATCAGTATGTAACATTAAATGCTTTAGGGTTTGTGTATCTCTATCTTAATGTACAGCACTTTGGTCCATGTTTTACTCTTTTTTTTAAGAGACATGTGATATCATGGAACAGTATCAGACACAATCTTACCACACTGTTTCAGCTTATCCACTTCCTGTTTTAATTGCTCTACCTCCTCCCCAGTTTTCTGCAGATCTGGTGCTGAAATAAAAATGATGTTGTGTTTACATTTACATTAAGGCAAAATAGTAAATAAGAGCCTACTGAATAGATTTTTAAAACTAATTTCCCTTTAGCAATAAATAAACAACTTAATTTTGTATTTTTAACTCTATTTATGTTATGAAAAAAATATTGTTAATTAAGATTAAATTTAATTCAAATAAATCTATAATAAATAAATAACAAAAATAATATAAAAAGCAATCTTGCAAATCTTAAATCAAATCTAGAACACTTGCTATAACAACTACCTACAAAAAATAAGCTGAAGTACTAAAATTACCAAAACTCAAAGACATTAGTTAAACTGAAAAAGAATTTTAATACGAATTTCTTGTTTTGATTTATATTTGTTAAAGTAAAGTCAAAAACATTAAAAACCTGAACAAAATTTAAAATAAATAACAATTACAACTGTGTTGTCTAAATTCACTGACAGCAATGATGAAATACTGTACTTAGATTTTTTACATATAGAATTATAGTTTTTTTTAAAAGAAATTATTACTTTCCTTTTTCAAGAATAAGTAAAAAAAAGCTATATTGAAAACTTTATTTCAATAAATGGGATTCTTTCTATGAAACCTAAAATGTTTCTTTTCTTTTTAAAAACTTCTTGAGCAGCAAATCCGCATTTCACAAAGACTTCTAAAAGGGCTCTCATACTTTCACACTGTCCCCAAGTTCGATTGTTCCCTCTTGCCACCTTCTTGGTTGGTTTGTTTTCACACTGTCTTTTTTCCTTCTGAATCCCGGTACGCACGAATTATCGAGCTGCTGTTGCTAGGTCATGGCCACGAAAGCAAAGCAACAAAAAGGAAAGATGGTCGCACATCACGGTCGTTCTGCTTTTACTGAATCTTTTGGTTTTGGACATACAGAAAGTGACACACATCTGTCTGCAGCAAAATATTATAAATATTCAGAACATCACACAATGTCTGCAAAAGCTGTTTTTGGAATGAGACAAACAGACATTATCACTGTGTTTGCCTGGCTCAGTCCTACTTGTCACCAAGGTACAGTTTGTGATACATAGACACACACACAGAAACAGACAAAAACAGACACAGACACAAACAGACACAGACAGACAGACAGACACACACACACACACACACACACACAAACACACACACACACACACAAACACACACACACACACACACACAAACAAACACACACACACACACACACACACACACACACACACACACACACACACACACACACACACACACACACACACACACACACACACACACACACACACACACACACACACACACACACACACACACACACACACACACACACAATTTGGACGAACTGTATGCCAGACCACCTTTTCAGACGGACTCGGGTACGGTTTGTGGATGCGCACCTGAGTTTAGAAGACACGTTCAGACTAGCTAAATGTATTTAGTCATCTTTTCTATCACATGATTCCTGTAACCTTGATCAAACGAATTAGTGAGTAAAATTTTTACTCACCACAAAAGTTCTGGACCTTACGAGCGACATCTAGTTCATCGGTCAGGTGGCGAATCTCTTTGTGTGCCATAGCAAGACGATTCGATGCCTCTTCCAGATCTCTCTCCAGCCTCTTTCGTTCTCTACCAAGCTCTTCACCGTGAACCTACACAGAACAATCAGTGAGACATAATGGAAAGGCAAGGAACACATCAGCAACCATGCTTATTTCAACCATGCATAAGCCACAGAACACAGATGAAGCTTAATGTGAACACTGTTGAGTTTTAAACATTCTGGTCTCCCTTACAACCATTACAAAACATTTTAACAGACTCTGGTTAGTAACCAGCTTGATAGAATGAGCTCCATAGTGCTGTTAGGCTCCAGAGTGAAAATAAGAGGTGTTAAAGTGATCATGCTAGAAATGTTGTAATTTTCTGCTTTGTGCTCATTCAACACATGCATTATTTCATTAGGTGGCCATGGAGCTGATTTAAGGGGGTTATTTTCATCATCTTCCACCTCTCTTTATTTATACTTCTGTCATGCCTTGTTTTTTAGGTACTGCAGGAAACATACAGGAAGGTTCTGTACTCTAAGTGTAGCCTTGCGCACACCAAAGAACTTCTTCCATGGACTTTGAACAGTTGATTCCTGTCCATTTAGATAGGGATAAAGAATCAGGAGAAATTATGATGCAAACTTAAGGTGAGATGGACAATGAAGCACTTATACATGCAGTGCTCAACATAAATGACTACACCCACATTCGTATTTAAGCAAAACAGCTTTTTTGAAAGAATAAATGCATTAAAAGCAGAGTTTGGAACAGAAAGATAATACTTTCCAAAAAGTTATTGCAAAAAAAATTACAAACTACAAAATATCGACAACATTTTATGTTTTTTCTTGATTTTTCCAGTTTATTAAAATTACAACATATTAATTTAGCTCTAAATTAGGTGGGTTAAAAAATTAAAACATTTTTAGGACTGTGATCTTGAGTTTTTGTTAAGATTTGTTTTTGTTTTAGCTTTGGTACTGACGAATCTAATGTATACATATTGTATAGCTTTGTGAATTTTAGCATATTTCATATTTATCTTAATCTATTATATAATCTTACGCCTGTTATTGGATACATAATTATTATGTCTTAAAATAATTTACAATCTTACTGCGTATTACAAGTAGCCTTTTGGTGGTACAACAATGTGGTGTTTTATTTTTATTTTGTACTGATTTATTTTGATGTTTACATTTCCAGAGATTTTACTGGTAAAAAATGTTTAAATTATTTAATAAAAATACACACCAATATTTTATTGTAAAGCATTCTATAGAAAATATAAACTTAAAAGAGAGATATGTGAGGGATGTACTCATTTATGCTAAACACTGTATGTGACAAACTGTTTTTGACTTCAGCATGGTGCATTTGAAGATGTGGTAAGATGTTTTCACCTTATTCATGTTTTCCTTTTGCTGTCCGAGTTCCTCTTCTAGTGTGTGACGAATATGATCCAGCTCCTCCTGATTTCCATAAGACATGTAATTTTAAAATGAGCCATATGTGTTATTACTATTAAGAGAGTCACTTGCTTAACATAAATATTTCTATTTTATAACATTTTAGATTTGAGGCATTTTGCAGAAGCTTTAATCCAAGGTGTGTTGTATATTCAAAGAATATGCTTCTACAAAGAAAAAAAAACTTTTAAATAGGAAATGTAATTGTTTTTCCAAGTAACAAATAAAAATTATTAAAGTAATACCATTTTTATAAGCAACACTGTACTTGAAAATTTAGTTTTTTTTAAGAGAAAAATATATTTATTGTCCTCATAAATGATCAAATGTAAATGTAAAGGAAATACAGTTTTCACATAATGTCAAAAAACTTTGATTAAAGAACAAAAAACTGAAAAAACAAGAAAATCTTAAACAGAAAATATTGTTATAATAAGAATGACTCCTGCTTGATCAAATTAATGCAGAATCATTTTTCATTGTTCAACAAGTTTTCATTTTTAAGTAACAGCTAAAAATGCTTGGTTTACTGCATTAGTTTAACTGGGACTTGTCGTAGTACATTGTTGCTGTTGTGATAGTTTGATAATTTTGTATTGTGTTCATTTGTTAATTTAATAAAAGCATCTGCTAAATGATTACATGTAAAAAAGAGGTCTGCTGGTGAACTTTCAGAAATGCTATCATTTATATTAGATGGTACTCCTCATCATAGTCATAGTACCTGTAGATGGACTTCTCTGAGGTTTCCAGTAAGGGTCTGAGTGTCCAGCTTTCTTTCAGCAGCCTCCAGTCTCTCCAGTAGAGTAGCTCTCTCCACCAGCAGATACGCCACCTGCTCACTGGCACTGCTCTGGCTGATCTCTGCTAGACCCTCCTGTTCCAGCATCTCCACCACCTCTTTACACTGAGAGTCTGACACGAACAGCACGACTTAGGGCTATATATATATAGTTGAAGCCAGAATTATTAGCCCCTCTTTAAATTTTCTTTTTTTTTTTAAATATTTCACAAAGGATGTTTAACAGTGCAGAGCAAGGAAACTTTTACAGTATGACAATATTTTTTTCTGGAAAAAGTCTTAGTTGTTTTATTTCTTCTACAATAAAAGCGTTTAATTTTTTTTTGGTATAATGGTTTTAAAAACTATTATAAGGTCAAAATTATTAGAAAAAAATCTTCTCTCCATTAAACAAAAATAAACATGATTTCAACTGAAAATATCTATCTTTCTATCTATCTATCTATCTATCTATCTATCTATCTATCTATCTATCTATCTATCTATCTATCTATCTTCTCAGAGATGGGTTGCAGCTGGAAGGGCATCCGCTGCGTAAAAACGTGCTGGATAAGTTGGCGGTTCATTCCACTGTGGTGACCCTGGATAAATAAAGGCACTGAGCCGAAAAGAAAATGAATGAATAAATGAATATAAATAGTTGAATTCAGAATTATAAGCCCCCCTGAATTATTAGCCTCCCTACATAATAGTTTTAATAATTAATTTCTAATAACTGATTTATTTTATCTTTGCCATGATGACAGTAAATAATATTTGACTAGATATTTTTGAAGACACTTCTATACAGCTTAAAGTGACATTTAAAGTCTTAACAAGGTTAATCAGGTTAACTAGGCAGGATAGGGTAATTAGGCAAGTCATTGTAAAATGACGGTTTCTTCTGGAGACTATTAAAAATTATTTAGCTTAAAGGGGCTAATAATCTCGACCTCAAAATGTTTTTTTTTAATTAAAAACTGCTTTTATTTTAGTTGAAATAAAACAAATAAGACTTTCTCCAGAAGAAAAAAAAATATTAGCAGACATACTGTGAAAACTTCCTTGCTCTGTTAAACATCATTTGGGAAATATTTAAAAATTAAACGAAAATTCAAAGGGGGGCTAATAATTCTGACTTCTGTATACTACTGTATATCTATATATATATATATATATATATATATATATTTTTCTTCTTTTTATAAAACAGTTATATGCATTCAAATAAAATTTTATATTTATTTTATGTTTCTCTTGATTTTTCCTGTTAAGTAAAATTGCATTTAATATTTTTCCCAAACATATTAATCTGGGTGTACTAATTCAGAATTAATGATGATAATTCTTGGATAATGCTTCAAAATTCATGTGAATTATTTGATTTCACTCAGATTGTCCCCAGTGGTGAATCACTGAACAAGTGGAATAGTTTTTACTTGATCTTGGATCACTTTTATGAGTTTGTATGCATTTTATAAGACATTTTTAAAACAAATAGGACTAATATTAGTTAATAGTCTCTTGTTGTCCTGTTGAGCACAATGGAACAACACAAGCCTTGAAATTGTACAAAAAACTATATTAAGCAGACATTTACTGGTATTAGATGAAAAGGTAAATGCATTTGATAGATCATACTTTCATATTAACCTTTGAGCTGTGTTTGAAAAAGCTAATTTTAATGCACACTTTTCTGAGTTTGTTGCATTTACAGTTTTGACCAGCAGGTGTCCCTAGCATGTGGTATTTCAAATGCTTCGAAAGAGCTAATTGTTGTGTGAAGTAATCGCTATCTATGAGTTCTACATGTCCACAAAATGTCTATACAATGTAGTGCACACTCCAGAAGTATGCATAATACAGACATAAGAGTGGTATTCTATTCAAACACACAAAGGCTCAAAACAGTGCTTACAATATGTTAGAAATCCATATAAAACACTTACCCTGTTGGTGTTTCATTAGCGCAAGCTCAGAACGGAGTTTTTCATTGTCGCGTTCATACTCAGCTGTAAGAGACTCTCGCTCCTCCAGCATGTTTCGAATATGCTCCACATAATTTTCCACCTTTAAAAAAAACATCATAAAGGCATTAGACACAGAACAACACTGTTTTGATGAAGTGTCATCATGTTACGATCTAAATGAGTGGGAGCATGATTAGCTATTCCTTCACGTGGATGTACGCTCTGCCATCTGCTGCTCACCTCTCTCATCTCGCTGGCCTGCTGTGTGCGTAAAGTCTGCAGGTCCTCAGTGGCTGTGCTCAGGCTGCTCTCACTGTGCTGGAGCAAAACCCACAGGTGCCGCTCGCGCTCCTCTCCTGAGGCCTCAGGGGACACGCCATCCCTCTGTAAGCGGACACTGAGCTCGTCCTGCTCCTTTTCCTTTGGACCAAACAAAACTTTTAGTTTTATTTTTCTTGAAGAGTCTGAATGAGGCCTGGGTTACCTGATACTGTCTTCAACATTCTGTCAGTCTGTCAACTGTGTGTCTAATTACTTGGTGTGAAGCATTTTTTAAAGAAAGAGCTTAGTATCTCACTCTACTGTATCATTAACCCATTGTTGTTAAATAGGAGGCCTCTAAACATTTTAACAGGTCAAAATGTACAATATAGCATTTTATTATTACATTATCACAATATTAATTAAAATATTGCATTTGTATTCTCAGCAAGGGGGCTGGGACACAAATTCCCGCCGCAATTATTACATTTCATATTCAATTTCAGTTTTCGCTCAAATGCATTCAGAATTTCTTAGTTTGGATAAGAATTTCCCATTTAGGAGCATTTCTAAATTTTCTCAGTCAATTCTCAGTCAGATAATGTGTATGTGTATTATTAAAAAAAAAGAAGAAAGAAAAAGAATTGTCTAAAATATGAACTTGGGCAGCACAATATATCTTTTCGTTATCACAATGTGCACATTTACAATAGTCACATCGCAGGAACTGCAATGTTGAGTAGGTATTGTATAGAATTATAAACAGTTGAATTCAGAATTATTAGCCCACCTGAATTATCAGCCTCCCTGTTAATTTTTCCCCAGTTTCTGTTTAACAGAGAGAAGTTTTTTTTAACACATTTCTAAACATAATAGTTTTAATAACTCATTTCTAATAACTGATTTATTTTATCTTTGCCATGATGACAGTACATAATATTTGACTAGATATTTTCAAGACACGTCTATACAGCTTAAAGTGACATTTAAAGGCCTAGCTAGGTTAATTAGGTTAACTAGGCAGGGTAGGGTAATTAGGCAAGTCATTGTATAACGACGGTTTGTTCTGTAGACTGTCGGGAAAAAATATATATAGCTTAAAAAGGCTTATAATTTTGACCTTAAAATGGATTTTAAAAAATTAAAAAAGAATTTATCTCTAGCCAAAATAACACAAATACGACTTTTCCAAAAGAAAAAAATATTATCAGACATGCTGTAAAAATTTCCTTGCTCTGTTGAACATCCTTCGGGAAATATATAAAAAAAGATTTTAAAAAAATTCAAAGGGGGACTAATAATTCTGACTTCCAACTGTGTATATATAATTATAATTATTATAATTATTATTATTATATTGGAATTATATAGCCACAGTTAAAAATACATGACATTTGTTTAGTTGCTGCAGAGTTGAACCTTAATAGAGTAAAAGTTTATAATTTGACCATATTTTAAGCACCAAGAGCATTCAGACACAATATTTAAAAGAATAATTTTACTGAACTGTTTAAACAAAAACTCTTTGCAGTGTTTTTATTAGATTTGGCTTTTATTTCGATTTCTGTACCTGATTATGATTTGACTATACGCTGAAAACCATAAAGCACTGTTTATTTCACTCTTATATTTGCATATTAGGTTTCAAGCATGATTTGTTCCCTTACAAAATTATGACAAGCGACTGAAAATTAAGACATTGTTTCCAAATAGGGATATAGAAGCGTCTTGAAAAATATCTAGTAAAATATTATATACTGTCATCATGGCAAAGATAAAATAAAGCAGTTATTAAAATGAGTTATTAAAACCATTATGTTGAGAAATGTGTTGAAAGAAACTTCTCTCTGTTTAACAGAAATTGGGGTGAAAAAATAAACGGGTAGGGCTTAGAAGGGCTAATAATTCTGACTTCAACTGTATATCACAGAAATACAAAAATAGCAATGTCTGATTTTTATAATATCGTGCAGCCCTAATATGAACAGTCATGAAGTTTTAATCAAGTTATCGAGTATTAATATTTAAAACTAAAACCATATTAAATTTAAACAGTACCTTATTATTAATGTCAATGAATATTTATTGTGTAAAAAGATTTTGTATGAAAAAATCATATGCAAATCACAAGTTCCAATTATTGGAGTCAATAGAATTTAAATAATTTCCTTTTAAATACATAAATCTTGACAGTTTAAAAATATCCCAAACATGTGAAACCTACATATTTATTTTTAACTAAAAAAAACATTATTAAAAATGCTAAATATTACAAGACAAATATCTAAAAATATTTTTGACGTTTATAGGTGCTCAATACATACTCAGTTCCAATATACAACAACGTGTGTAACTTTTCTATTCCAATGGTCAATAATAGATTTTTTAAATAAACGAAAAGTAGCATACATTCAACTTCATGAAGGCTAGCAATAATTGTCACAAGGTATTTAATTAAATATATTGTTTAAAAATACAAATTACATCACCTGACGTATAATATGTTGTTACCACATGTTGTTACTGAGGATTTTACTACTACGACCCTCATCTACAGCAACAAGTGTCAAGTTTTAGTTTGACACCATCTGCGCCATACATGGCCTCAGCTATCTAACCTTTCATGCTCATATCATTTTGATAGCTACAAAAATGACGACATCATACCTCTCTTTTTTCCATGGCCGTGTACAGCAGAACTGTAGTCCGGGCATCACTTGCAAATTAGCCAAGAGTGTTTATGGCAGCAAAGTTTAGATAGTGGTTTCCAGCATTTGCCTCCGCCCATGATAGTCTCTGACCTAATCATCACTTCATTGTAAAAAAATAAAATGAAAACTTAGAACATTACTGAATGTGCTAATTAGCGTAACATGCCATTAAATGAACGCAACTTTCAAACTTACTAACGTTATTAAGAATACAACTGCCTGCACATGATCTTCTGCATAATCCATCATCCGTCATTAATCCGTTTCGCTTTCGTAACGTTATTCGGTCATTTTCCGCCGTCACGAGTGTAATAGTAGTTTATATATAATTTTCCTCGTTTTTTAGTGCGGCATAAAAAGTTTTTAAACCCTTGCAGAGTCTGAGTCCGCTAACTTTGGCTAACGGGCTAGGTCGCAGGTAAGTTATTAGCACGAGCCTCTCCACATGTTCTCCAGGCGGCTGTTAAAAATAAAACAAATAACGATCGTGACTGTTATTCAAAATCGCCATGGAATAGTTAATAGTGGCTGTCTGCTTGTAAATATTGATGCCACATCGTAGTGTCGTCTCTCCTGAGGCCTACCCACTGTATTGTTGCAGCTGCTAGTTAGTTACAGCTTGGACCGAGCGCCTAGGCAACGGGTTAAACCAACGTGGATTAGAGGGGGAGAGAAAGAGAGAAAAAAAAGGCGTCATTGAGAAATTCGTGTTTCATTTCAGACCAGCAGATGGCAGTGTTTGCTATCAAAATAATCAAGGAGCTACTGGTAGTTGCTTGTATTTTTTCATTTTTCTATATGCAGCATTAATTATTCAGCACCAAATCAGCATGGATTAGGGATTTCTGCAGTATCATGTGACTCTGGAATGATGCTGAAAATACAAACTTGGGGAAAATAGTTACTTGTTTTGAGTATATTCATTCATTCATTCATTCATTCATTCATTCATTCATTCATTCATTCATTCGTTTTCTTTTCATCTTACTCCCTTTATTAATCCGGGGTCGCCATAGCGGAATGAACCGCCAACACATGTTGTAAAAACACGTTTTACGCAGCGGATGGCCTTACAGCCGCAAACCATCTCTGGTAAACATCCACACACACTCGTTTACACTCATACGCTACAGACAATTTAGCCTACCCAATTCACCTGTGCTGCATGTCTTTGGACTTTGGGGGAAACTGGAGCAACCGGGGGAAACCCATGCGAACACAGCGAGAACATGAAACCTCCACACAGAAACGCCAACTGACAAAGCCGAGGTTCGGACCAGCGACCTTCTTGCTGTGAGGCAACAGCACTACGTACTGCAACACTGCGTCACCTGTTTTGAGTATATATTTAAATATAAAATATTTAAGGGCACATATTTTACCCCTTTTTCAAGATTTAAGATAACTCTTTTGAGTCTCCAGAATGTGTCTGTAAAGTTTCAGCTCATAACCCACATCAGATTATATATTATACCTTTCAGAATATTGGATTTGAACAACCATGTAGCTGTTTTTGTTGCCTGTGTCTTTATTGCTAGTTTTCCCCACTCACCGTTCCCTTGTGCTTGTCTGAGTGTGCCTCAGTCTCCGCCTTGGCTGTGTCAGATAAACAGCACAGTGACAGACATGAAAAAACAGGTCTTTAGTAATACTACAATAAGAACATTCCCAATGATTATTTGATGTATTTGTCGTGGAGTTGCAATGATGGCTTGCACACAACTACATTACAAAGTTCACACACAGTGGACACACATACACACAGAACAAGTGTTTAACTTAGCGCTGTTTTTGCATGGCAAATGTGTCAGGATACACGTTAATATTGACTGCTGTATAGCTGTATGGACATCCGTTATGTTAATGTAAAATAAACCTGATTTAATGTCCACAAACCGGGATTGATGCGTCTTCTTTTATAATTGTAAAACTCATTCTTGATCATTCTTGATCTTGATCATCAAGATGATTGATGATCACAGAGGGCTCAAAAGATCTTTTAATCACAGTTGCTTTGTTTCCTGTTATGTGGATATGATTTTATGTGTTACTATGGAGACATGTTAAGACAGGGCTGTCAATCAATTTGGCGGGGAAACCTCACTCTTATGCCCCTTTGCGGTGGGACTCAAAATGGGAGGGATTTGGATCCTATTTTAACTTCAGGAAATTAAATAAGAGAGACCTAACATAACTGTGGAGTGTGGACACACTTTACCTACACACAGTTCTGTACAAACAGCTCCCAAAAGATGATTTTCATCCCTTTATGAGTAAGTCGTAATACTATTTAACAATTGTGTTTACTGTATAATTGGTGAGTATATATTTCAAACATTTATATTAATTGAACTAAATAAAAAAATTAAAAACTACTTTGAAAATTCTATATTTCACTTAATTTACCATTTGCAGGTATGAATTAGAATAAGAAATTGGTTCTGCAAACTACTGATGACATTTCTTACATTAAAAAAATACATTTAAATACATTTAAAACGTAAATACATTTAAAGTTCAATAAAATTTAAAAAGCCATGATGTCAGTTCAATTTTTAATATATATTTTTAACAAATTGTCATTTTGTGGATAGGAACTGTTTAAAGTATACTTATTTAAAATTTTGAAATGTTAACAAACTTTAAGAAAAATATTCATTCATCAAACCTACCAACATATTACATCAGACCCGTAGCCAGCCTGGTGAAAGGGGTGGTTCTTTTTTTCTCAAAAAGTGGACCTTTTTGCATTTATTTGCCTCAGTTTCTAGTTAACTATGAAATATAAATACTGCATTTTAGTGTTTTTTTTTTTAGCTAGTCAGATGTCATCATGACCACACTTTTTGATGTATTAAAATATTTCTTAAAAAATTGCAATAATTTTTTTTTAAAACAAGACAAATTTTTAAAATACAAATGTATTACATCATATATCATTAAGAAAAAAATAGCAATCAGCTAAAGTTTTAAAGTTAAAAAAACTCTTGCCTACTATCATTTATTAGACAAAAAACAAATTGGCCAGCACATTCAACTGTCCTTAGTCACGATTTGGCCATTTTAATAAAAAAATTATTAAAACATAATAATAATAATAATAATAATAATAATAATAAGAAGAAGAAGAAGAAGAAGAAGAACAATAATAAAACAATTATAATGAATTCTTCGGAATTTTTCTAGTCTCTTTGGTAAAAAAAGTACATTTAAAAATTCCTGGATATCAACAACAGCCAAATAATATTCAAATTAATTTAATATGCTCAGCTTTTGGTGCTTCACGCCTTTTTATTGCTCATTTTTTTTTCAGAAATAAGGTCCAAGATTTAGAAAAAAGTTACCTGTAAAATGTTTTCTCTGTTTAAAAACAAAACAGTAGTGAAAGAAGACTTCTCTTACATCAGATTATAGTCCCACCGAAGCAACAGAGGACGTTTGGTCTTAAAGCCTTTTTCGATTGATTATTTTCATTACTTATGATGGTATAACAGTCAAAATAGGACAAGTGAGCTCATGTATGGGACAAATTCTGGACCTTTGTCAGTGAGGGGTGGGTCTTCCGAACCCCCCTGGCTAAAGGCCTGAAGAGTTAGAACATGTTTTATGCTTAAAGTAAACATGTTTTTAATAGAATTGTGGCTGTAAAAGTGCACCTACAGGTGTTTCAGGCGCAGGTCAGATTTTCTCCAGGTCATAATTTAATTTATTTATATGAATTTAGCTTGAGGACTTTATGATTGTTTATGAACGTCAAAAGTGGAAATATTTAGAATATTTAGAAATATTTAGAAATATTTGACTGCGTGTCACCGCATCTCAATTGACATAAACGACAATATAACTGAAGAAATCTCCACTGTGCTGAGTGAGAGCGCTACTGACCAGCGCATCATCGATGAAGCTTGCCCAGGCCCCAATGTAATGTGAGTGCAGGCCGTCGGGGGAGACGGGAGGGGGACAAGCGTGCTTTAGCCCGGTTCAAGGCAACTGTACATAGTGAGAGTACACCTTTAGCCCAGAACCTCATGGATAGGGACATATTTTCATCTGTTAGGATGTACATAACTTTAGCCTTACCTTGTTTGGCAGTCTTTTTGAACATATCTTCAATATTTTGCGATAATGACGCCGCTGCCTACCTTTTCTGCCTCTCTTCTCTTTTCGCCTCTTAGCGTTACTCTGTATGGACAAAGAGCATAGTTCTAAGCTCTTTGGTATGGATGTCGCATGAAACATTTAAATATGACCACTCATTGGGTTATGTCCCGTGACTCACGGCTTTGAGGCTCCATGGGCCAGTTATTTAAAATGACACTTAATTACAATATATATTAAATATAAATATAATTATATTAATTATATAATAAACATATAATATAATATAAATTACATAAAATAACTAAAAGGACAAATTATGGATTTTTTGGCCGTGGGTGGTGGTTCGTTCGAACCACGCGAACCCCCCCTGGCTAGGGGCATGTTATATATAATGTGGAATCCAGGTCTGCTTTAAATTCATAATTAGAATTATGAAAATAATTCTTAATCAACCAACAACTCAAAAACTGAAAACCCCCGGACTGTAAAAGGCCATGTTTCTTTAATGCAGTGATTAAAGTAAGCAAACTAGAGTTGGATGTTGAAAATATTTGTTTATTTAAGTGTTATAATATAGATGGACAGCAGCAAAATATTTCCTAACAATAATTTTCAGTTTAATCTAAGACAAACATTAAAATGATTTATATACATATATCCAATGACTAAAGAGTCCATTTAAATAACATGAAAAACTATATTATATACAATCAAGCAAGATTAGGTTTAACTAAGGAGTTCATTTATGGCACAGTATTTTTAATATGATGGAGGTCCTCATACAGTATGTGTATACTCACACAGTCAGACAAATGTATTATATGATCCATCAACTGTATCAATTCTCTTGTTTACTTAGCCATATTTCCCCACATTGCAGCAACATTCAGATTTTTTTATCAGAGATTAAAAAAATGCATGGAAATTACTGCAAAAATAAAGAATTTGAAACAAATCAATACACATCTACACCATTTTACAACATTTTTATCTAAAAGAACAAATTTTCAAAAGTACATTGCAGAAAGAAGTAAAAATTATATAATTGAACATTTTACAGTGAATGAAATGACATTAAAACAACCTATTATCTTCTCTCATTTTCGGGAAATATTGCAGCTCTTGAGCTCATAGAAGAGCACATACGCCTGATTGGACTGAAGCTTCTCCTCTGAAATTGCATCAACACTGTGGAGGAAACAGAACAATCATGCTGAAACATTGACTTCTGTCCTATGCATTACAATATCTTTTTTACAAGTTAAGTTCTGAGTGTCCTCAGAATCTGCATGTGAAGTTTCAGCTCAATATACCGCACTGTTCATTACTAGACCATGCTGTAAGATCTTCTGTTTGGGTGTAAATAAAAATACACTGTTTTTGTCTGTCTTTAAATGCAAATTAGCTTGTTTTTCCCACCCCCTTTCTAGTAGAGTCTATACAGCGTAGACATGTTGCTCTAGCATCAAACATAAATAAAATATAAATAAATTTAAATAAAATCTGCATGCATTTGAAAGCTTTGTCACTTTAAACCTGCATGTAAAAATGTTGCTATGTCTTCTAATGCTAATAGGATTAATAGTTTTTGAGAAAGCCTCTGTCCTCAAAAACAAACGTATCTCCTCCTAGGCCGTTCATGCTACAAAGCCCAAATTTGGTCAAAATGTGCCTTCTGCATTCATAATTGTTGCTATATCTCCTCCACTCAGATTTATAATTTCTGAATATTTTTTTTTTTAAATATTACATTTTAATAATCCGGCCATACAAAAAAATTATACAACCGCAACTTTGGCCAAAAGCTGTGCTCTGCATTAGATTTTGTTGCCATATCTTTTCAGGTTTATCAGACTTAAGTTTTTTTGTAAGCATTTTTTTCTCAAAATATGGCAAGCTATGTACTCCATATTTTTCCTGATATGGCAAGCCATTTTTGCATGTATCCCTTTCGCACTTAAGCATTATATTTTCGGGGTTGATTTATATCACTCATATTGGCAAGTCGCTTTGATGTATCATCCCTAACCTGTCAATTGTCCATAGCAACCATTTAAAAAATCTCTCAGCAATATCTCTACATCTGAACATCGTAGGGACCTGGGTATTGACTCGTTTGACTCATGCTAGCAAATGGGACTTCCTGTATACTATACATGGTAACAATGATAAGCCAAGTGCTAATAATGATCACTGTTAATGATTATCGAACTGTAAATGCAAGAAATTCCTACAAAGTATTAGCATTTGATTAAAAATGTACTGTACATGAGCGTTGCCATTCAGCAACTGTTTAGCAACCACCAAGCAATACCATAAACATTTTAGCAAATGCCTAGCAACCGCTGTGCTTCCCGCTAACTGCCATTTCCAGTCCTAGCGCAGTCCCGTTGCCTTTCTTAAGCCAACATTTAAGTTCATTAACAAACTCTAGGTTCTAGTTTTTATTATTGTTTATGCAGTGTCACATAAGAAAAACACCTCTCAATTATATTCATAATCAAATATTATAAACATTTCTCAGTATAAAATTACCAAATTACACCACACTCGTATTCGTACCAACACATCCACTATATTACATTTATAGAGTTTTAATTAATTTGACCTTCAGTTTTCAAAAGAGGGTAATATTAAAAATAATTTATTTTTCTTCAAGGGCTAAACCTGGGAAAATATGCCATAATATTACATATTATACATATTACAAGATTTGAGTTATTGCTTAAATGGCACTGGAATGACAAAATCAGTTGAATGGGTTTTAATAGGGATATTTTTGTAATATATATTATATATATCATGTATAAATATTTAATTACTTTTTGTTCCTAGATAAATAGGTTTTTGAGGGTGTAATATTATGTAAAATTATGCTGTCTGCATTAAACAGCCAAAACGATCACCCAAAAAATAATAAATAAAAGACAAAAATGTCCATAAGGTTACACAAGAGTTAAATAGACTATAAAATATTAATAAAAATAAATGATCAAATATATATATATATATATATTTTTTCAATAATACCTCTAACAGGAGCAAATTTCTCTTGGGAGTATATTGTGCCCTTTAAATTCCATTGTTTCTTTGCACATAAAAGGTCAGAATAAAAGCTGCATTCACCATGAGTCATTATAGAAGCACCAGCCCTCCTCCTCTCGACATGCAGCCGTGTAGTGACCCATATTTACAGTGCCTGAATGATTGCACACTGCATACAGATCGTACAGCACTGGACCTGAAAGAAAGCAGTCAGCCATGCTGAATGAACCTTCAAAACATGACCCTAATCAAACTTCATCGCATGGCTGTATATTTCCACTCACCACAGTCAACAGGTCCAAACAGCCCCAAATCCAAAGCCGTCAGGGGGAAAGAGACCGGCACTGTGCTTTTAGAGATTGAGAACCTAGACATGGCGAATCGATTCAAGTCTGGGATGACCAGTTAAGATACATAATGCAGGGGTTCCCAAACTTTGCAGCCCGCGACCCCCAAAATAACAATGCCAATGACTCACAACCCGCCAATATTCTGTGAGGTAATTATAAACATATAAGCCTTGCACACAACGATGCACACAAACCAATAGGCTCAAGTCTATTTATAGTTTCATTTTGGAGAACGCCACTTGGAGACCATCCTCCATGTTTAGTTGTGGCCTGTATTTATTTTTTTAATGTACACGAGTCCTGTAAAGGTGTCAGAAAGTTTAACCTAGTGCCATAAAATCAATCTGCTGCATGTGATTGCTGTGTCTTTAATGTAACGTAATCACTCCAGGGTTGCAAATGTTTTTTTTTTTCGAAAGGCTGATGGCTTTTTATTGGCATGTCGTTTTTTTATGTTAATTATTTACATGTTAACAATGTTACTGTTAACTACTATGTTGTTCTTCAGTAGGTTATGGGTAAGATATGGTAATTCTAATAGTTTAATAAAATGAATTTGATTTTGGTATATCGCCAAGTGACCCTATCCCCACCCACCCAATTAATTTTTTTTTTTTATCAATTCCTGATATACTTGGCAAATGGAGATCATTGAGAAAATGGGTTTGGTCTGAAGCAACACAATTCTTACATTTTTAGGGACAAATTAATTGTATTATGTTTAATCCACCTAAAATTGTAAAAAAAAAAAAAAGATTAAGTTAAATAAATTTTTGTTTGGACAACATGAAGGAATTGTGTGGAACCCAGCATTTTTCACAACATACTTGGTCACATGACCATATGCTTTCTTTACACCCCACACATATCACATGATCATTAACTGATTAGCTCAGTACTGACTGATTAAAAAGGATACGTATTACCAGGACTCTGGGGAATCTTTGGATGGTCAGTCGTTTTGTGCTTTCGGTGCGACGGTTACACCGCTCACACATCTAGAAGACATACAAATCCATGTGTATCAACGTAATAACACTTTCACACCAGGAATTATAGCTATAACAATGATGAGGATGATGATGATAATAATAACAATTTCTGTGTGGAGTTTGCATGTTCTCCCCGTGTTGGCGTGGGTTTCTTCTGGGCGCTCCGGTTTCCCCCACAGTACAAAGACATGTGGTATTGGAGAATTGAATAAGCTAAATTGGCCATAGTGTATGTGTGTGAATGAGTGTGTATGGATGTTTCCCAGTACTGGGCTGCAGCTGGAAGGGCATTTACTGTGTAAAACATGTGCTGGATAAGTTGGTGGTTCATTCCGCTATGGCGACCCCTGATTAATAAAGGGGCTAAGCCGAAGAAAAAGGAATAAATAATAATAATAAATATATCAATTTTAAAATATTCTACATTTAAAATAGTAGATGTCAGCTTTTGCATTGTTAAAACACAACTTACAGTATAAATATCACACCTCTAATGTACTAATGTACTCTAATGACAACAGTGTGCTGACAATCAGAATCCTCTAGCAAACTTGAACAAGTTTAGGAATTTAAAGCAGCAGATGAGTGTGATGTATTTAAAATAAATCGAATGCTACTCTGCATTGGTATGGATGCTAATATAGTTATTATTATTTGTTATGGTTACAATTATTAAAGTAAATTATCCTTATATGTCCATTTAAAATGCAAGCTAACTGGATATGCTGTTGTTCACTTACCGGTGAGTTTTCTTTATCGAGTTTTTCCTCTTGTGAAAAGAGGTCTAGACATTCTCTCAGTGTGACAGCTCGGCCGTAATCACTTTTCTGCTACATACACACACACACACACACACACACACACGAATGACAGACTGTCCAGAAAACAGCAGAAGGTGAGCACAGGGCCTGAGAGTGTTACCTTTGGGATGGGGAGTGACAGGTCACAAAACACATCAAATGTGTTGGAGTAATGGGAACAGACTGAACAGTGCAGGGAACTTCGCAGCTGACCAGAGAACAAATCTGTGACAGAACAGCAAAGATATTTGAGCAACAGGAGGTCTGGGTTTTATTATCAATATTTTAATATATGAATATTTTAACAGAAGTAAAAGATGAAAAAGAAGAAGAAGAAGAAGAAGAAGAAGAAGAAGAAAAATGTTTCCAATCAAAACAGCAAGTATTTTTTTTCAACAGATTCTAAAACTTTTCAAATTTATGTGTTCAATAAGCAATATGTTGAACTACAAATGTTTATTGTTTTATTTTAGCCGCTTCATTTTTGATTGTTTTTAAATGACTCATTAAAGCAGGGGTGTCCAAACTTGGTCCTGGAGGGCCAGTGTCCTGCATAGTTTAGCTCCAATGTCCTTCAATAGACCTTTTTCACAGCGGAATTGAACACCGGAAGCGCCCTTCGAAGCAGTGTATCGATATTTCCGGGTTCGCTAGGAGTAGCAGAGACATGACAGCCTCGGGACAGCGGATGACTTTCTCACGGTCAACTTTGCCATAATTTGGACAGGAAGATGTTGTTCGTTGAATGTGTAAAACTGCCTTAATAAAACAGCATTTAAAAGATGATACCGATTTGCAGAATTTGTGCAGAAAACGTGTCTTACCGTTTGCAACATCAGGTTCCAGTAAGGTGCACAGCCAACAACATAAGATCTGCTCATTCAAGCCATTCTTAAGCTAGATTAACCTGGCTATTTAACATCCAGCAGAATGAGTTTAATGTCAGTAGTCCCGTCTGTAAACTGTGCTAACCCCCTCCTTCCTTTTTATTCAGAGTCAGATATAGTGAATGGCGAGGTAAGTTAGCTATACAGGCGAGTTGCTATCGGTTAATACATTACAGGTTGTTTAATGCTCGTGAGGTTTTCTCAAGTCTGGAAACACGTTAGCTCCTACTCGTGGATAATATTCATTTTTATTATTTATTTAAAGAACAGAAAATAACATTTTACAATACAAAAATGTACATACCAGGAGGTAATTATGAATAAAATACAAATAATCAAAATGTAATAATGAAATACATTTGTAGAGTTCACACATTTTAAAGTGGGTCGAGTTTCTTGTTTAGAGAGTTGATCCTGGTATTATACAAGCATATTTGTCATCAATACCTTAAAATCTGGTTTCATATTAGTAAATTTACATTTATGAATGTACAATTTTGTTAACAACATAAGCAAATTAAATAAATAAAACTATTTTCCTCTAGATTAGGATAATCAAGTAAAGCCCAAATGTACATTTATCCATAATGAAAGAGGTTTTGAACACAAAAGAATCGTTATTAATACATTTTGCAACTCACCCCATAAGCTGACTATGTACGATGCCAAAATAAGTGTAAAACTGTCTCCTCATATTCGTTACAAAAATACAATTTACATCAATCCCACTTTTAAATTTTTGCAAACAATGTTTTGCTGGATAAAACTTGTGGATGAGTTTATAGGACATTTCTTTAATTCTATTTCTAACATGATATTTCTGTGGTAACAGCCACACTTTTCTTCAATTCACCCTTTAATAAAGACATATAATAAAATTGAATATAAGGTACAGTAATGATTTCTTTTTGGAAAAGAGTATGAATAGCTCTATCATTACTCTTGGTATTTAGTAAAACAAAATTTGCCGACATAGGATTTAGTAATATCAAAAGACAATGCATCAGAAGGATGGTCTTATTAATACCTCTAAATAACATGAATGAATAACATGTCTCTGCAGGAATTGAACCAATAACAGTTGAAAACTTTCTGGGTTATTAAGATTTTGTAATAAAGGACTTCATTGTAAGAAAAGTATACCATCTTTATTATATAACTGACTAAACAAATAATTTTGCTGTCAAACCAATTAAAAAAAGAGATTTGCATTTGTATGAACTGTCTATTATTCCAAAATAACAACAATTTAGGCATAAATCATGCTTATAGATTAATGACCATGATGAGCACTTGTTTGTGGAAGGCAGATAGCTTAACTGGAGTTTTGTCTATATTATAATTACTCATCAAAATAAACCATAGACCACCAGTCTTTAATAAAACATGATAATCTCCGCTTTGAAGTGCATACAGCATACGAACGTACTCCCGCATATAACTTGAAACGGCATTCAACCCCCTTTAATATTGTCATCCATGCTTTTCCCTGTCCTTCGTCTTTCGGGAGATCGTGGTCATTAAAGTAAGAGTGTCGTTTTTGAGTTGGAGCAGCTGGGAACGCAGCAATCACAGCGATGAGATGACCCTGCCATTCTTTCTTGCTCCGTCGCATTGAAACCGGATGTTGTGGTACACTGCTTCGCTTACCGGAACCAGGAAGTGTGAAAAAGGCCTATACACCTGACTTTTCATTTCCAGTATACCTAGAAAGAGCTTGATTAGTGGTCCAGGTGTGTTTAATTGAGGTTGGAACTAAAATATGCAGGACACCAGCCCTCCAGGACCGAGTTTGGACACCCCTGCTTTAATGAGTCATTTAAAAACAATCAAAAATGAAGCGGCTAAAATAAAACAATAAACATTTGTAGTTCAACATATTATATATAACATAACGAGAAAAGTGAAATTCATACTTTATGGTGGCTTAAGAAAGCCTAGTCTGAAAGGTTAAGGTATTCTGAATGGTTGCTAAGGTTTCACTGGTTAAGGTGTTGCTAGGCAGTTGCTAGGGTGTTGTTAGGTGGTTGATAGGGTATTCTGAGTGGTTGCTAGGCGGTTACCAAGTCATTGCTAAAGTACTGAGTTTTCTGTTCTGAGTAGTTGCTAAGGCGTTGCTAAAATGTTTCATGTGGTTGTTAAGATGCTGCTAGGTGGTTGCTCGGGTGTTCTGGTTAGGTGGTTGCGAAAGCATTACTTAGATCTGATTGGTTGCTAAGGTGTTACTGGGCTGTTGCTAGGGTGTTCTAGGTGGTTGCTAAGATATTGCTAGGCGGATGTTATGTGATTATTAGGGTTAGGGTTAGGTGTTATGAGTGGATACTAAGGTGTTAGGTGGTTGCTGAGGTGTACTGAGTGGTTGCTAGACAGTTGTTAGCATAATTACCATGGTTCTAGTATGTATTAGCATGTTGCTAACATGTTTTTAGCTTAAATTAATGTTGTTAGCATGGTTCTAGTATGAATTAACATGTTGCTAGCATGTTTTTAGTATAAACAAGCATGTTGTTAGCATTTAGTATGAATTAGCATGTTGCTAGTATGAATTGTTTTTTTTTTTGTTTATGTTTATGTAGTATAACAGTATGTTGGCTTTCTCAAGCAACCATAATTATTATAAAATAAAATAATATATGGGTAATAACATATAATAATATAGGGTAAAACATATTACAAAACATATCAAACAGCTTTACCCCCACACATATAAACAGAAATGTTTTAGATGTTTTATTTTACTTTCACTGAAATACTCTTGTAGTTTATATTAATAGTTGATTGATTTTTTAGTTTTAGTAAAATTGAATAACACTTTATTTAGCTATGAATGAAATATTTAGTCAGTTTTACTGTTGAATGCAGTGATGAGGTAACTTAGAGTGATGTTCTTTGAAGATCCTCCAGATGGCGCTTATAGATTCATATAAGCAAATAAAGAGGTAAACCCGAACCGGTATTTGTTTAACCAATTCAGTAGTGCTACTCACCAACAATTTTACTGTCATCCCTGTCCAGATGCCTCTGCCACATCGCAAAGGCCTCTTCTGAAATCCTGCAGGCGAAAACAAGTGATTTAAGAATGGATCTGAATGAATCCAGCTCAGATTGTTCGTCTAATCAGGATCGGTCGCTTATGGAGTAATTTACCTGAATCGTGTGTATGCCGGTTCCTTCCTTTCGATGACTGCCGGACGTTTGGATGGACGACGGTTTATTTCTGTATGGAGCCTGTCCAGAAGGAACCGCAAGAACTCCTGAGCATCTTGCTGACTGTAAGAGAAAGACATGATGGAAAGTACAGTGCTCAGCATATACAAGTACACCCCTCACAAATCTATCTTTTAAATTCATATTTTTAGTAGGAAGATTTGCAATATTATATTTGCATATACATTATAGATTAGTCAAAGCCAAACAACTTACAAAAATAACTTACAATAACAGTCCAAAAACCAGTACACCCAAATTTATATTATAGAAAAATATTAAATACAAATTTAAAAAAAGAGGAAAAAATCAAGAGAAGCAAAAAATTGAAAAATTTAGTTGAAATTTTGTTTTAACTTTCTATTTTTAAATGGTGAATGAAATAATTTATTTCAATAAATATATTTGTTTAATAAATCTGTTTTGTTTAAATGCACCAAAATGCATTGTCTATATTCACTGAGAAATTGATACAAATATTCATTTTCAAAATGGAGTTACTCAATTATGCCGAGGTCTGTATCTGATTACAGGATATAACAGTTAGAGTATCTAGAGTAGATATAGTAGAAATATATCATTCATGAATAAAAATTCTGTCAGTTATGATAGTTTTTTAGCTGATTTCTTTATCGAGAGCAACTTACAAATGAGGAAGCGTTGTAAATAATAACAAATTGTCATTATTGTGTGAATAGTATAACACTGGCGGATATTGAACTAACCTATAGCCACTGAAGTAAGGCACAGACTCTTTAAAGACACGATAAAATTTCCCAGGATTCACTGTGGTTTCTCCAGCATCACATTCCCATAGGCCAGCCAAAACTTTTGAGAATTCTGCAGAAAGTCATTAACAAAAATCAGGCAAAGTGTTGCTGAGGAATAGAAGAGATGTTTGATTTTAAAAGAATTAAATGAGATAAAATAATAAACTAAAGCTGAATACATAATCGGTGCTATTCAGTGTTGTTTTAGTGTCGATCTGTTTTAATAATTTCATTAAAATTATATAAAATTGCTTAAAAATATACAAATTTAGATAAAAAAAATTTCAATAATTTTAATTTTTTCTTCTTTAGTTTAAATATTTATTAACTTTAATACTATAAACTTGTATACATTTTTGTAAAGTACTGTAACCTATTTTAATGGCTAAAGAAGCATATCGATTTAATTTTGACTTGTAAGTTCATGGCCCTAAAAATGAAAATCTAACCTGAAAACAAGTTGTTAAAATAGGCTAAATAAATAAATTAAAGGACGATTTTTACCTTTAAAACTATAATAAAAGTTATATAGCCTTTTGAGTTGCATGTTATCCATGCAAAAATGTAACAATTTTTCACTGTAATAACTGTGAGTTTCTTTCTTTTTTTTTTTTCTTTTTTTAGGTATAGACAGACTGTTTTTGCTACACTAATGCTTTAAAATGTAACTAAGTAACACATTTAGCTACTTAAAACATGACTAGATTGTAACATTTAACTTTTTCCTAACACTGATAATGGTACGGTAATGAAGCATGATGACTCGGTTATGCTGATTTCACTGTATTTATTTACCTTTATTATTAATAGTGGGTTAGCTTGGATGTGTGGGCATAGTTTGACATCTTTACCTACAACTTTACACATTTATTTTATTTGAAATAAGACAGAAAGAAAAAAGGAGAATAAAATATGATTTAAAGCACTCGTTTGGCGCTAAACCCATGATCCGTCTTCATTTATGTAACTGTATCCTTGCATTACCTTCATTGATAATCAGTAATAGCGAAACTGTGCTTATTATTGTTACTATAAAAAGTATATTACTGCCTTAACTCAGCAACTTAGGCAGTAATGCAAAGTAATAAGTGAATAAATAGCCTAAATGAAAGGAACCAGAGAGACCAAAATCAGTCAGGTCTCAGTGCCCCCATATGGAATAAAAACGTCCCCCTCAGTTATGACATCCTGGCACCGGCCCTGGAGTCAAAGGAAAAAAGCGGTTGTTCCTTGCGCCACCTGGTGGCTGTTGCATGAAGTACAGAAAAGTATTGTACTTTTGGTTTAGTACTGCAGTACTGCTTGTGACTGCGCGTGAAGAAACACTTTTTGTATATATTCATTCATGCATTTTCTTTTTAGCTTAGTCCTTTTATTAAGCAGGGGCAGCAACAGAGGAATGAACCAGTACATTTTTTACGCAGCGGATGCTTTTCCAGCCACAGCCCATCACTAGGAAACACCCAACCACTCTCATTCACACGCATATAGTACGGACAATTTAGTCTACTCAATTCAACTGTAGCGCACGTCTTTTGACTGTGGGGAAAACCACTGCGCCACTGTGGCGCATTGTTTATATATTTTTAATATATTTAGATAGTTTTATTTTACTTATTTTAATACACTAAGTTAAATATATATTAGAAAGTCTTATTTGTAAACTAATCTAAGTAAAAACACTTTCTTTAAAAATAAGTTTATTATATATTCTATTTCGTTGTATTTTAGTTTACATGTATTTCAGGTAATACAAATTTTGCTGGTTGAAATAAAATAACTTTGTTTAACATTTAAGGCAGGGGTCACCAACCTTTATGAAACTGAGAGCTACTTCTTGGGTACCGATTAATGTGAAGGGCTACCAGTTTGATAAACACTTCTCAAATAACAAATTTGCTCAATTTACTTTTAATTATACTTCATGTTTTTGGTAATAATTAATGATATTCATCCATGTGAAGACACTGATCATGTTAATGATTCTCACAAAAGTTATCAACAATGATTTAACAGGGTAGGTATTTCCTGTATTTAATGTATCAATGTGCAACTTATTTTTATATATCTCTGCAAATATTTACATTTTTAAATGATTACTTCTATATTAGATGAAGCTTATTGGTAAGTGGTGCTATGGTGAGCTAATTTTAGAACAGGCCTGCGGGCAACACATGTGATCCTCCATGTTGGTGACCCCTGATTTAAGGTTTTAGTTAACTACAATAACTCTTTAGTTGCCATTTTTAACTCAGAAAACCCAAACAATGAATGTTTAAATGGATGCAGAAGTATGCCTACCATCCATAAGCACAGGCTCCTGGTTGGAGTGTTTGTCTTGAACGTAGGCTCTCATCAGACAATAATCCCGAAGACTACGAGTGTGAGACAGACACTGCACAATGGCATTAAGGAAACACTACAAACAAAAATACACAATTAAAATACTTTTTTTTTTAAATGGGGGGCTCAAACATGACCATTACAGATAAATTTGTGAATGAGAACATACAGTATTTCCCACATTCCTCAATCCAACTTGTCCGTTCCCCAGCTGCAGCTCTCTCTGTAGAAACAACAAATGTGACAGCAAATCACTGTCAGTTTCTTGCTCAATTACATCACAAATGCTTTCAGCTTTGCCATTTACTGCCCTCCTGCAGTGACTGAGCGTCCATTTATAGGCCTGTGATCCAATTATATGAGGGAGACACTTTCACGTATGACACCAAGGTTAAGACCAGATATACTTAACTCACCGGAGAAGCAGAAAAGGCCTCACACAGGTGCCAAAACACATGCAGTTTTTACAATTAATTATTCATTCGCTCTGTGGACAAGCTAAGCCTTTTGCTTCCAGCATATGAGCTGACAGGGGAGGCTTATATATAATTTATATCCCATTAATGTGATGCGCCAGACAGATTGAGTCTCACCTCTTTATCCGTCACCAGCAGCAGTCCCATGATGGACGTGTACAGTACAGATTGGGAAATGTCAACGTTTTCTGGCTGAAGGCCATTTTGAGTGACTAGGGTGCGGTACAGGGCCTGACACGAGTTGTCCATTGAGGTGGATTCAGCTCTTGGCATTGCCGCGCAAGCCCACCAATGAACCTGTGAACGAAACGAGCAACGGTAAAAACGACTTTACTGTTTGTCACATTGTCACAAAAATGAGATCAATGAAAATCACTGCTCTTGCCCGAATGCACTGGAGCATCAATATTTTATTATGGTCGCATTGTGTGACAGTATGACAGGTGTGCAACCGTTAGATCTTGACTTTTCATTGTCAATACAGGCATTTAAAAAGTAGTAAATTAACTCACCTCAAAAAGGCATACAAACTGCTTTAAAATGCTTTGACAGGCCCATAGCCAGGAGGGGGTTTGGGTAGTTCGAAAGACATTATTGCAGTGCTTCTTGTATAATCTGAGACCTGCTTTATTTTGGAGATTGCTGATTTTTGAAGAAAACAGACCTTAAACACGCTGATTTTGTAATGGCATACAGTTCACTGCTTTCCTTTAGCATACTTCCACATACACCCTATTACTGGAGAAAAGTGTTTTTAAATCGAGTATAGAAAGTGATAATTTGCTGAATTTGTTATTTAATTAAGCTTACAGAGTCATAATTTGCCTAAATCTGTGTTCAGTTAATTAATATTTGTGAAATTTAAAATGATTATACGAAAGTGATCATAAAAAAATTATAATTTGCTTGACTATATGTTGTAAATTAATTAATTGATTAGATAAAACACTGTACAAAGCTGTGCAATATAAAAGGTAACACACAAATAAAGCAATTAATACAGAAAATGCTTCATATGAATATGTGTTTGTATTTTTAGGGAATATAAAGCTTTAAAACAGTAAATCTTGTCTCGGAAACATCAGATCTTGTCTTGGAAAATGTGTGTGTGTGTGTGTGTATCTATGTGTGTGTGTGTGTGTGTGTGTGTGTGAGATAGAGAGAGAGAAAGTGAATGAAGCAAGACAAGGCTGTGTGGATTGAGTGCGCACACACACATGACGGCACTCAACAATATTTTTAGCCAATTGGCTTTCTTATGTTTACAATCACTCACATTGGTTGGTGATTATTGTTTGGCGCGCAGTGAGCAGCGAAAATAAATAACGGCATCGTGGCCAAACCTTAATAATATTTGTATTTTCAAAATGGTAAAGAGGCAGTCAAATATATTTTCATTATTTAAAACAACGGCTGATCAAAAGAGATCTCAAGAAGATGTAACTGTACCCCTGGATCAGGATAATGGGAGACAGAAGCAAAACAATCTCAAGTCAGCCAGAAAACATGACAGAAGAGGTGACTGTGGGCTTGTCTTGAAGATTAGACTGTCATTTAATTATTATTTTTGCACTTTGCACATAATAGTGAAATGTACTGAGGATCATTCATACGTTTTATGTTTGTAACTACATGATTTTATTAACCATGACTGACCTATAACGTTATATGGCACAAAATATTAAAAGACTCTTTTTTTTGCATTGTCACTGTTTAATGAAGTCATGTTACGGGAAAACTGAAATTGTTTGATGGAAATTGATCACGGTAATTTTTATTTCCTGGTTTTGTTCCTGTAATTATTCAGTTACAAATTAAGCACTGGGTATAATCATTTGTCTAGCGAAAAAGTTAACAACAGCCAACAGAAACAGAAAACCAAAATGTAGTTACACTAACCCTATTAATTCATCTAGAAATTATGGTATTTGTTCTAAAACCGTGGTTTTAAAAGTGATCATCAATACACCAACTGCACTGTTATATAATCAAAGCACGATTCATTAATGTAAGGGATAAATATTCGTGTACTCACCCTTAAAACCCCAGTTTGGTCTGCAGTAACTGTCAGATTGATGGTCAGTGAGCGCCAGTGTTTCTATCCAAACATCAAGCGTTTCAGTTTTACTGTGGTCTCCGCACCTGCCGTTCACCTGTCTGTCCTGTCGCTGTGTCTGTGAACGGCCTTTAATCACGGCTAATCTTTCCTAACCTAACCTTCTATAATTAGCCGTCTTCGCCTTTGCTTAAGAACAGCTTTGACACTGAGAGGAGACGCTACACACTACTCACAGTCACTTTATTAAACTAAAGTTGAGAGACATTTGATGAAAATGACTGAAATGAATTTAAAATATGTCAGTTTGTATGTTTAAAGAAGTAAAATATAGTTCTTACCCTTTATTAGCGGAAACTGTGAGGTCACAAATGCTGAATCTCGTTAGGGGAATGAAAAATCTGCCATCATTTACTCACCATAATATCATTCAATCCCTTTAGACTTTGTTTCATCTTCATAAATGAAGGTATTTTTCGTTAAATCAGAGATTTCTATCCCTCTATTTAGTCATATCAAGCAAAACTCGACACCTTAAAAATAAATGATGAAGTCTAAAGAGACATGATTTACTAAGATTGAAAGTTTAATGTTGGCTTTTATTTAAATCCAAATATAGAAAGAAGCTCAACAAAAAACCCTTGACTAGAGGACAAACCTCATTGGTTCTTGCTGAAGCTCTTATACCACGTGACACATAAGAATGAACCTCAATGGTTCACATGTATCAAGCAAGTATGTTAGAACAAAATTAAATTTAACTGCTTTATTCACGTTGTTCTTTTTTTTTATATCTTCTTATCAATATTTTAAAGCATTGGAGCTTTAGCTGAACAGACTTTCAGTGAAATTCTGGACAATGGATTTTTCCCAGAACATCAAAATCAGCTGAAGGTGGTAGATCTGTCTCTACACCTAGAAAGATCTACCGTCTTTCTCTGGCACCTAAACTCTGGAAAAGCCTTCCTAGCACAGTTCAGGAAACAGACACTCTGTCAGTTTAAAACTAGATTAAAGAGGCATCTCTTTGCATTAGCATACAAATAAAACACAAAAAATTCAAATCCTCTAAAAGATTGTTTATCTGCATTATTTAGGACAACCGGAGCCGGGAACACTTCTCTAAAGACATAATTTGAACGGCATCTAAGCTTCTGTTAGTCTGTTTTTATTATTCCCGAGGTTTCCATAATCCTGGACCAGGCCGTATGCTGAGCAGTTGCTGTGGAAGTCATGTAGGAGTGGAGAGCATGAGACGGATTCCTGTAAGACCTCAGTGACAGACAAGTTTTCGCGTTGATCGTGAAGGGCTAGTCTGTACACTAGCCGGTGACCTCTCCCACCTGCAGCTTCCCCACGATGGACATCCAGCTTTCTCCAGCCTTCTTAGACTGCAGCTTTGCACAGGAAGTTTGGGCAGAGGAGAAGTGGTCATACCCAACTGAGCCTGGATTCTCTTGAGTTTTTTTTCCCTTCACTTTCGTCAATTGGTGAAGTTTGTTCCTCGCTTGCTTGGTTCGAGACTTGTGGAGCTGGGCATCGATGGATTTGCTCTTCAGTGACTCATAGCAGTGAAAACTAAACCCCACTGAACTGAACTGAACTGAACTTTAACTTTGAAAACTGGACTGACAGTTTCAATTTACTATAATCATAGTATAAAGATGAATCGAATTTAAAAAATCTCTCAGATTTGAATAAAAAGATCTTCATTTGTGTCCTGAAGATAAAGATACCACCAAAATGTGTAATTTCTCTTGTAGTGGTTTTGTGTAGAATTTTTATCTTTATATTTATCGTAAGTATAATATTTGTAAAATTATCTTGTCAAGTCAATATTATATTACAAATGTATTTATAATAAGGTAGTAATTTAATAAGAAAAAAAGGCCTACTTCTGTCCTGCATTCAAATATGCCAACAGTATATGTCCCTATATTAAGCTTTCAAAAAACATCATTTGAGTCGAGTAGTATCTTAGTATTCATTAAAGAGTTGGTTACAATAGATTTCCCAGATTACCTACTACTTCTGACAGGATACTGAAATATGCATCCCATGAGGCTACAGCGGAGGATTTGTGAATGGAAATGAAGTGCCGCCACTGACAATACTGATTACATGATAGTAAACATGCAGGTGGATGTAGTACAACAGAAATTCACTCTTACTAACATGGACTAATACTACATAAAAGTCTAGCTATACACTACCTGACAAAAGTCTTGTCGCCTATCCAAGTTAAGGAACAACAAATAATAACTTGACTTCTAGTTGATCATTTGGTATCAGAAGTGGCTTATATAAAAGGCAAAGGCCTCTAGATTACACTTATTTTACCAAAATAAAATATGCTCATGCCTTGATTTGAAATTTTTTTATAAGGACAGTAAGGTCTGACTTTGCTTTGACAAAAGTCTTGTCACTTAGAAATAATGTACAATATAGAATATAAAGTCATAGTGCAGTGTAAGGAGAATTAATATTGCGTATGACTCCCATGAGCTTGGAGGACTGAATCCATACATCTCTGCAATGCCTAAAATAACTTATTATTAAAGTCATCTGGAATGACAAAGAAAGCGTTCTTGTGGGACTCCCAGAGTTCAAGATTCTTTGGATTCATCTTCAATGCTTCATCTTAGCCCAGACATGCTCAATAATGTTCATGTCTTGTGACTGAGCTGGCCAATCTTGGAGCACCTTGATCTTCTTGGGTCCATGAGGGTTCCATTAGGTCTTCTGCAGTATTTGTAATAATTAAGATGCAGTTCAACAGATGATTTATTGGAATGATCTACCTTCTGCCACTTTTCCAAATGGTCAACTAGAAGTCCATTTATTATTTGTTGCTCTCACTACTGGGGTCAACGACAAGACTTTTGTCAGGTAGTGTATATTTTAGAGCAGTATCGTATACAATACATAAATAGTTGCAAAATAAGATTTAAATCATACATGCATTTTATTTAATATTATGTGACAAAATGTCTTAGCCTACTATTGGGAAAACCAGTGGAATGTAGAATGTATGCACATTTATAGAACATGACTTTCCAAAATTAACATGTAATGAGAAATACACTGCTAACAATTTCCAGTAGAATCTACAGTAAGTCACTGGTGACACTTTGGCAGTAACTTACTGTAAATAAATTACAGCCAAATACTGTATTTACTATAACAGCACCATTCATCTTGCTGTGTGTGTATTTACAGTACTGTTTATACTGTAAAATACAGTCATTTTCACACTACAACTTTAAAATACAGTAACATCCCGCATAACTGTCCTACAGTAAAAAAAACAGGGCATATTACATTTAAAAGTAAATGTTAATCGTGTAAACTGTTTAAAAAATAATAATAATTAAACCGGTCCATATTTAAGGAAGTTGTCAGTTTATTGATACAAAACGGTAACGATTATGCACTGACAGGAAAGTGGGAACAAATCCCTTGTTTGTAAATGGCTCAGGGTTCCTTTAAATTAAGAGAAATGGTGAAATAAGCATTCAGCTAACATCAATACATTCAGCTAATATCAATAAAAGCAGTAATATTAGCCCTAACGCCGCCAAAGTGCAATAACAAAAAGCCTGGCTGCATATAACTATAGTTACCGTTCAGATTGCACAAATATTGTTGTTTCTGTACCTACCAGATGAGATTCAAATAGAGAATCACTATTCAAATAGATATTCACATATGCCATTAACCACTCATGCAACCAATATCACACATAAAAAAATAAACCGCTTAAAGCAAGAGGCATAAATCTAATAGAAAATATATTCCTTCCATGAGACATTCCACACCAAAAAACATCTAAATATGAAGTATACAAATATAGCTACATGATACGATTCTCACAGTTTCAACACTGGGTGTGAAACAGCAACTGCGCGATTTCATTCGTCTTGAGAAAGTCGGCTGTCACGGTCACAATCACATTGGAAGTGTTTGTGGATAAATTATAAGACTGGAGAGCAGCAGAAGCCCAGGTCTATGTGTCGGGCATATCCACATCAGAGTTAATGGTGAGTTCAGCGATGTTGTTATAGAGTGCCGGCTCAGGGCTTAAACGCTCATTTGGATTGCATGGACTGCTTTGAGCCTGTCTGTCCCGTGACTGGACCATTGCTTGCCGCAGACATGAAATCCATTGCTGCTTATTGAAGGAGTCATTAGCCTGCAGGCTGTGGGATTGAGATTTGGAGCGTCCTGTGGTGCTGACACGGAAACAGTTCTTCACTGCAGGGAACAGCAGAAGAAAATGTGGAATTAGAACAATGTGAAAACAACAAAGACCAAAAAAGTTTCCAATTTCAAATAAAAAGAGAGAAATCAAATATCAATCCAAAAGATAAACACAATGCTATAAAATAATATTTTCATTGATCATTTATTCATTCATTCACTTTCCTTCGGCAAAGTCCCTGATTCATCCCCACAGCGGAATGAACCACCAACTACTCTGGCATATGTTTTACACAGCGGATTTCCTTCCAGTCACAACCAAGTACTGAGAAACACCAATACATTCACACACTATGGCCAATATATTTCATCCAATTCACCTATAGTGGATGTCTTTGGACTGTGGGGGAAACTGGAGCACCCGGAGGAAACCCATGAGAACATGGGGAGAACATTATTATTATATTAAAATGAACAACTATAGCCTATATATGTAATTAACTATTAAGGTCTGCATGAAGATGACTTTTAGTTTAGTATGGTGACGTACTTCCCACTGAGGCTGGGTTCCACTCCACTTTTAGACACACACTCGCAAACTTTCCTTTAGCACTTCCCCTCAGGGGAATCCCCGCTGGCATTTTAAACCGAGTTCCACTTGAATGGGGGACACTTACATAGACATACCAAATTTCATTTTTAGATTCATATGTCCTCTCTAGCAACCTACATGACACAATTCTAACATTTTTGGCTCTATACACCAACACAATGGATTTGAAATGACACAAACAAGATGTGCTTTCACTCCAGACTTTGAGGGTATTTAAATACAAATCAGGTGAACGCTGTAGGAATTACAGCAGTTTGCATATGTGCCTCCCACTTGTTAAGGGTCCAAAAGTAATTGGACAATTGGCATTTAAACTGTTCCATGGTCAGGTGTGTGTTATTCCCTCATTATCCCAATTACAATGAGCAGGTAAAAGGTCCAGAGTTCATTTTAAGTTCATTTCAGAGTAATTTTGCAGTCGGAATCTGTTACTGTCAACTCTCAAGATGAGATCCAAAGAGCTGTTACTATCAGTTAAGCAAGCCATCATTAGGCTGACAAAACAAAACAAACTCACCAGAGACATAGAAAAAAAAATTAGGCATGGCCAAAACAAGTGTTTTAACATTCTTAAAACGAAAGAACCAACCAATGAGCTCAGAAACACCAAAGAGAAAGAAGTGGAATGTAAATAAAATGAAGGGAAAGAAGTGGAACGTTATGCAATGGCCAAGTCAATCACCTGACCAAAATCCAAATTAACTGAAGAGAAAATGCTCCAAGAACAAACAGGAACTGAAGACAGTTGTTGTAAAGGCCTAGCAGAGCACCATCGGGAATGAAACTCAGCGTCTGGTGATGTCTATGCGTTCCAGACTTCAGGTTGTAATTGACTGCAAAGGATTTGCAACCAATCATTAAAAAGTGAAAGTTTGATGTATAATTATTATTCTGACCAAATATTTTCGCAAACTGTTGTAATTCCTACAGTGTTTACTTGATACACCTTGTTTCATTTAAAATCCATTGTGTTGGTGTATAAGGCCAAAAATGTTAGAATTGTGTCGATGTCCAAATATTTATGGGCCTAACTGTATATGCGGGGGTATGAGATGGAGGGAAGGGCCATCAAAAATTGGAGTGGAATCAGGCTGAAATGGAATATTGAGTAGGGGGTGAGATTTCTATTTGTGCATCATTTCCTCAGAGCAAACTAATAAAAAAGGGGCATGATTAAGAATAATGTGGCTGAAGCAGTCAAACTGACATCAACAGAGAAGTATTGACACTCCAAACACAGAAGCAAATGGCCAAACCTTAACAAAAAAGTGAATTTGGTGGATTAACTTGCAAGGATTCAATGTTTACCTAAAGAATAACTGTAATATATAAAAGTAAGGTGTGCAAGTAATTGGACAGAGCCACTGAAAGATAAACTAAACCCCGCAGAAACAGGTGAGAAATTGGATGGCATTGGCAGACAAGGAGAAGGAGCGAGGCTGTAAGAGATCACATGCAGTTAGAGACACTTGGAGATTGCCGGGACCAGACGGGAATGAAAAAGATTTGGAGCTTGGTACAACCAGTAATTATAAAAGAGACTTGGTGCAGGGTACAAACAGTGGCAACAAAGAAGACTTGGAACTAGTGATGAAGGAGACTTGTTGGAATAATAGTGTCCAGGATTATTAACGTTTGTTTGGGCAGTGGGTGCAGTACACCATCAGTGCAGGGAGTATAGCACACAATGACATGCCCTCTTACTCAAGAACTCCCTCTGGGATGGATGATGAAGTTGACTCTGACACCTTGCCGGCTTCCGTGATGGACTTTGGCTCAGGAATGAAAACCGGACTCAGACAACAGAAGAGGTTTCATAGTGGGCTCAGGCCCGAAGACTGCAGTAGGGTCTAAAGCTGGTCACACTCCAGAAGTACATGTCTTTGAAATGCTAAACCTTGCTTTCTATTTGCTGCTACTCTGAAATTTTTTTTGGTTTTGAATTTTAATTAAATCATGTTAGAATGAAACAAGCGCATTTAGGAGGTCAGTCAGGGTATTATAATTATACATGGGTTTTATTTTAATAAAGTTATTACCTTACAAAATTTGAAAATGGTCCAAATGACTGCCTCTGTATTCTAGTATTAAATTCACATGGATTCAAACATTATGACAGAACAAGTAAATTGCACAAAGCAGGAACCACAATAACAAAGTACCAATGAGAACAGGAACAGGGAAACAACTGAAAACAAAACAAAACATACACATGACAGTCATATGCTTGGAAAAAAATCAAATAATAATAATTATAATACCTTTATCATTGCCTGTAAAGGCTCCCCGAAAGGACCCCGAACTGCTTGGCTCTCCATCAGGCAGGTCCTCCAGGTGCAGGTGAGCAGCGGGCATGGGCTGACGATACACCTGGAACTGGACTGGCCCTTCCCTGTCCTGTGCCACTGGCCGGGTCAAAACCAGCACCAGCTCAAAGAGGAACACATGCAGTTTCTACAAAAATGTCAGTGAGAAGAAGTTAAAAACTGAAAACACTGCAATGGTCTATTATACAGTTGTTGGAAAGATAACATTTACCTGTCCTTTCGTACTCTTCAGTTCACCGTGACAGTATAAAAAACGAGAAGCCTGGATTTCTGCAACCCTCTGACTGTCTTCTGCGTAGCAAAGCCCCCGTCTGTAAAACTGACACTCAGCCTCTCCAGTTTTAAGATTTACTTCTGTTATAATCCTTTGGATAAGTTCCATCTAAGATAACAAGATAAAAAAGAGCACTACTAAATTATTTTATTCATACACTATAGGCATGGGACGATATCCGGTTTCAAGGTATACGGAGATTTGAAAAAGTCAAGGTTTTAAAACCACAAAAAAATTCTGTTATCCTGTTTCTAAGGTACGTGTACAGGTTTTTTTTTTATGTGTTGTAAAAAAAATCTGTGTTTTGTAAATTATTAAATGTAGCAGAACACAACGTTTATTTTAATTATGTAGGCTGACATGTTTACTGTTCCAAATGTAAATTCATTCATTCATTCATTTTCTTTTCGGCTTAGTCCTTTTATCAATCTGAGGACATCACAGCGAAATAAACCACCAACCTATCCAGCATATGTTTTACACAGTGGATGCCCTTCCAGCTGCAACCCATCAATGGGGAAACACCTATACACTCTCATTCAAACACATACACTACGAACAATTTAGCCTACCCAATTTACTTATAAACGCGGAGAGAACATGTAAACTCCACACAGAAATACTAACTGACTCAGCAGAGGCTCGAACCAGCGACCTTCTTGTTGTGAGGCGACAGCACTACCTACTGCGCCACCACGTCACTTATTTTAGAGCAGTAATTACAATACTGTAATACCGTGATATTTTAAAGAATAAAAAATAAAAAAAACTGAATAAAAAAAACTATTTGACAATAGTCAGTTTATTTATCAATGTAAGACCTGAAATGCAAAATAAAGAATTAGAATTGACTGCAAGAAAATGGAATTGCAATTGTCAGAGGTAACAAGTTGTTGAATCATTGAAAATCTATTAATTTAAAAACAGTAATTTATTGACAAATTAAATCAGTATTTAGTCATATTTAAACTATGTTCACTTTCATTTTTAGATTTTTTGCTTTAATTTTTTATTTTACTTACAGTTTTAGTAACTTTGTTTTTTTTCAGTTTTCCATTTTTATTTAATTTTATTTCATTTGATTTGATTTAAAGGTCCCGTCAACTGTTTTGAAATGTGCATTTTAATCAGATTTTTGGCGTAACCTAAACTGAAAAGAGAGAAAGTGGGACACAGAGTAGCTCCTCCCCTTTTAAAAATAAACAGCCAATAGCGTTTCGTTTTTATCACAGCTCACCAGTAAGAGTGCTTGAGCTCGACTGGTAAAGATTTGTTAAAAAACTGAAGTATGAGGTGATGTGTAAAAAACTGATGTTTACACATGAAACGCTATTGGCTGTTTTTTTTTTTTTTTTTGCATATTAAGGTCGGCTCACACTGTGAGATTTTTTTATAATCCTGAATGATTGTAGCATGTGAGACTGCACGAACATGGCTCTCATGTCACACGGTAAGATCTTAGCTGTCAAGGTCAGTCAAACACGAAAGAAAATGACCCCAGAGTTTGACGTCATCCACCCCTGACACTTAAACTATTCTGCGTTATGAAATGATTCCTCACAGCAAACGTAAACAATCTGTAGCGGCAATTTTAAACGCTATTGGCTGTTTATTTTTAAAAGGGGAGGAGCTACTCTTTGTCCCATCCTCTCTTAATTTTTCAGTAGAGATTATGTCAAACATCGGATTAATGTGCACATTTCAAAGCACTTCATGAGACCTTTAAATCAAAGTCAAATTAGATAAAATCTAAATAAAAGTTTTTATTAGTTTATATTTTCTAAACACGAATTTTGGAGCACACTAGCTAATAGATATCCTTAAAACTAACAGACTAAAACTAACATCTAAAAAAAAACCTTATTTTAATTTCATGGGACCTTTAAAGGGTCATGACACCCCACACCTTCGGTTCAGGTCTACCTCATAATTTTTTCAAAAGATGCATCATAATAGGCATGGAGCTCCGCGAGCAAAGGGCAGGAGTGGGTGTGGCCAGCAGGGGAGAAGGAGGTGAGCGAACAACTGTTGTTGTCAGTTAGCTCACAAAATGAGACACACACTGTGTGGAGACGCATGATTTTATAGTTTACAAAGTTAAAATGCAAAGAAAATAAAAAGTGATTTAATGCCCTGCTACATTTGTTATTCATAATTTCATATACAGATAACCACTATTCATATCATTATAAAGATAATCGTGTTCATATAAAACATTATAAATGAGGACTTTTCCCTCAATCCCCGGGTCTGAATGCAGACTCAGTGCAGCAGGTCTCCTGACCGGCCTATTTCAACCATTAGCCCTGCTGGTAATCTAGAGGATTTAGGCAAACACAGCAGCATGGTGATGTGTCTAAATGTGAACGAACTCCTGATAAAAGACAACGTCCGCGATTCTCCAATTCTCGAACTGCTCTCCCGACCAAAGTGCTTGCTGGACACAAACAGCTTTGCTGTATCTGCCCTGACAGCACTGCAGGGAAAAACATGCAATAAACCCTGTTGATCATGGAAACATTTTTTAGTTTTTCCCACAATTAAAGCTAACAGGTGCTAACGTTGTCTTAACTGATGCTCAACAAACACAATTCTATTAAAATCTCAAAAAAGTACTCGAAGGTTTCGTGAACCTTTAAGTATTTTTGGCAAAACTCACAGCCTGTGGCAGTGCATCCTCATCCGGATGATCAAGTGGAGTGCTCTTCTGAATCTCCTTCAGCAGCAGAGGGTATTTCACCAGCCTGCTGCGAGGCAAGTCCAGAAAGTTCCACAGGTCCAGCTTTCTGCTAAAGGATGACTCCTGGCACAGCCGCAAGAACTGCTCAACCCGTTTGTCCTGCTTCTTCTGATCAAGCAGAGCTTTTGCCCCAACCTGGTTACAACAGTATGTGATATACGCCTCCAGACAGGGAAACTACGAAAGGAGATCAAAGAGCTTATAACAACAGCAGATGCTCCCTTGAAGTTATGTGAGTGAACATTTAGAGTATTGCTTCCAATAGAGGAGCGGAAAATGCTTCAAAAAAGACTGATCACATCTATTTTTTTCTACTTAATGTAAGACTGACCCAATCCATCATGGTTGGCCCGACTTCTTGCACAGTCTTCTCAGCTCCACGAAGCCCTTCAAGACGAACTAAAAGATCTGAACAGACAAGCAAATACTAGTAAATACCATAGTCAAAATCAGACAAATTATTTTTCCAGGATTTTTTGTAATAATGAAAAAAATTACACACAGGTTTCGCATGTGCTTTTGTGTGCAATTGTTTTTGTGCAGATTATTTTTTTCACAGGGGTTTTCAAAAAGCAGGAAAGAAACAGAGGAGATGGAATACACACAACTACAAACTACTAAAGATGTACAAACAAACAAACATCTGAGCACACTCTATTGTACTCACTCATTCAGTCTACTTCAGCTTATTCCCTGCTTTATCAAGGGTTGCCACAAAGCAATGTAATACCACAGTCTATTTTTAACTTAATAAAATGTTTTTGTTGCTCATAACTTTAGAAGAGAAAAAGCGCAAACCCTGGACAAGGATTAATGTCTCTAGTAGGTATGTGTCATGGTTGAACAATCATACCTGTCAACATTGGGATGTGAAAATAAAGGATATGCCCACCATAATAAGGAAATTTAAGTTTCATGAAAATAAACACATTAGGATAATTTGATCTGCTGGTTCTTATAGCTATAAAAGCCCAGTATTTAACCTAGTTTTATCAACAAGGGTCTGTTAAATGACACAATTCCAGTGAAAGTCAATGACTGCGAGACTTGGGTATCTAATTAAAAATTTGTTATGTACATCTGAAAGAAGGCCTTAGTGAATAAATGAAGAAACATTCTCAAAGAAACATTTACCTTCATGAAGGGGAATTAAAGAATCAAGCGTCCCGAATATCTGTCCCAGCTCACTTTCTGTCATGATGTCTAACTTCAGCATAGGCTCATAGTACACCTGAGAGAACAGTCCAAATTAAAATCCTTCTCATTTAGGACAGTAGAAATAAATAAATCAGCTGAACTCCTGGACGAACCTTTTTTACGAGGCTTAGATCCTCTATGAGCTGTTTCTCACCCTGGGTTAATTCGTAGATTACCTGGAGATGAAGAGAATAAATATTACATTAATGCACAGGAAAATGTGCACAGGTAGTTGTAACCTTATGAAACCTTGTGCAGGAAGACCGCAAACATGCATACACACACATTTATAACTGCACTACTGTCACAAGTTACCAGTCAGTTTGGCAGTGCTGTGTGGTAGAGCTTGTGTTTCAGAGGAAATACTGACACTGAAATAGAGAACATGGCCTCGTATACCAGCTCACTTCCTGTTTCACAACTACGGTTGTAAAGACAGAAAGCTTTTTTAAAAGAATTTAAAGGTGCATGGGCCAAAGTTACTAGTTTGATGCTCGTAATTAAAGGCCAAATATGATAAATATAATCTGTAAGGTAATTTAGAATTACAAAATGCACAAAATAAAGAATTGACTTTGACACATTAGTCTGTGTTGTGGCATTAATCTAACGCTGTTATCACACCTCTTGTCGTTTGATCTCTTTAGTGCTGAGCTCATGGCTCATGTTGTCCACCGTGTCACTCCACAGCTGACTGCTCCGCCGTCGAGGGAATGAAGAAGCCTTTTGACGGGATCTTGGCATTGGAGGCAATGGCCGGGCCTCTGTTCGGAAACTGATAGAACGCTGAGGAGTAAAATCCAAGCACAAACACATACACAAATGTAACACAAATATATCACAAATGACACAACACACACTCACAGACTATGCACACTTTTTTTGTTTGTTTTTGTTAAATGAAATATCTGGGTATTTAAATATATATATGTTTCTTTTTGGGTTTGTCTGTATCAATTCAATATTTGCATTTTTTATACAAAAAAAAAAACAGCATAGAAGTACACCAACTGGGACTCACTAGAGGTCTTCATCATATTTAATTATACATAACATATATTTACGTTATGTTACGTTACGTTATGCTGTGTTGTGTTGTGTTGTGTTAGGTTACGTTATGTTGATGTAAGCATGGTATTTTATACCTTATTATATATTTCAGTTTATACATATAATGTTTTTAAATACTAATTAATATTTTAATATTTTGAATATATTTTTTATGGTGGCTGATTGCAAAAAACACCAGCAAATTAAGAAAAGATCTTTATTCGTTTGACAGCACACATGCTGCAAATCCTCACAACACAAATTTCTGCATTAACACAAACAAATTAATAAAATACACTGCATTTTCTCACAACACTTGCAAAAACATTGAAGCACAATGAAAATGATTCAAGGAGACCCAAAAACGTCACTATTACTGTAAAGTTGTAGGTGATCTTTGACAGGTGAGTTTATTGACTGTTAATTTTAACATCCTGATTCCCCAGTCTTGTGTATTTTATTAGCCTAAATAACGTAAATAGTTGGGTCTGTCACTTTTATGGTCCCTTTGAAACATTTTTGTTGTGTTCCGAGCTATTTGAAAGTGTTGTGTGAAAATGCAGCGCGTTTTTACAAAATGTGTTTGCATTGTGACGATTTGCAGCATGTGTGTTGTCAAAAGGATGAAGATCTTTTCTTAATTTGCTGGTGTTTTCTGTAATTGCCTGTGTTTTCTTAAATTGCAGCACGTTAAACTCTCTCAGCCAACGCACTATTTAATTAATTTGTATTATTATAAAGCAATTTAGATCAATTAATGTGTAAAATGTGCTATATAAGCTTGCCTTGCCTTATATATGAATGTGTGTTTATTTGTTCATGTAGTACAGGAAATTCCACACATTCTTGTTGGGCCGAAACCTTAATTTAAAGGTAAAACAAATGACTTTGCTTTAAAGTCTACATGAACCGGAAGTTGCTGAGACTTTTATTTCAGTATGTTGATGTACCTCAAAGCTCCAACTGAAACTGGATATTGAGTAGGAGGGGGGCTTTTATTTTGTGCATCATTGAGGGTATTAATATGCATTAGCAAGAGAAGCTCTCAGGTTGGCGTCAACTGAAGGTTCACCACTCCAAACATGGAAGCAAAAGGTAAGGTAGATTTTGTTTAAGGATTACCAACAAACAATGACTTTTCAGTGGATTAAATTCTATAGATGAATTATTTACCTGAGGAAAAACAGTGTGAGCTAGCGAAATAAATATCGAAAAGATTATGATAATTATAATTATATTATTATATAATTATTATACATAAAATATTATTTCATGCAGACTTTAAGTTATTTAAGTATGTATTAAAGTATTTCAATCATTTAACAACATAATTACATGTACACTGCTATATATATATATATATAGCAGTGACTCCGCTGTCGCCACTGCCTCGCATGGTTCAGGATTGGTAGAGCTACACATCGATGAATTTGCTCTTCAGTGTTTGAACTCTCAGTAATGATTAAATCACACTGAACAGAGCTAAACTGAACTGAACTGAACTTAAACACTAAAACCTGAACCACACTGTTCCAATTACTATGACCATTTATGTGAAGCTGCTTTGACACAATCTACATTGTAAAAGCGCTATACAAATAAAGCTGAATTGAATTGAATTGAATTGAATATATAAATGTGTGAATTAAATATATATAATTCAATGTTTAACCTCCTGTAACGTAATGTTTAAAACATTTTATGTTTGTTGATAACTACAAATGAAATGTACTTTCTTTTTCTAATATAGATCAGTAACCACACTTATAGAATGCATAAACGTTTATTTTATCATCTTTTGAGGTCTTTTTATAGTAGTAAAGTTGTGCAGAACTTCAACATATTAAATATATAATTCTAAAAAATAAAGCATAAAATTAGAGTAAAGTAATAACTTTGTGTAAGATATTGAATATCATAAATGAAAACAAGATAAATGAAAACATTTTTGATGTGCTTTGTACCCTGCATGACCATGAGCAGATATTTATTCCTGCTCTTTCTGATTTTATTCAATAAAATAGAAACAAACACATCTATATTTTTAGAAATCAATTTCAAACAACTGTTAAGATCATTCTCTGCTAGTGCTTGACCTTTATTCAGACTAATAGTATGGACTTCACAAACACCAAGCAAGGCACTGCGATAACAAACTTTATTGTTAAACTAAGAGAAGGTTAAACATTTTAAATGGCTGAGATGGATGCTGACTGACTGCATGAACAGTGATGTGTGTGTGTAAATAACTCACCTGTATGGACTGGCCCAAGCGTTTGAGAGCAGGGGTCTTCACTGGGGTTATGATCCCAGTGACTGAAGCACCTTTATCCACTGGCTTGACTCTTTTATTACATGGACCCTTATATGAGGGCAAGAGAGAATGAAAGCTAAGGTTAAAATGAACTTCATGTACCATTAAGACTTGCATCATTAGCATGCATAACCAAGAGTTCTGACTGTGATGTTTTGATTAGATGAATCATTGTGTTCAGCACAAATGCACAAGAAGAATGATGCATATTTAACTCTGTACCTCAGAATCTTGCATGTGGTCGCTGATGGGAAAGTCATCTTCTTCCTGAAAGAGACGTGTAGCATAGCACAAATAAGCGCAACCACAACCAATCAGATGAAACACACATATATGTAAAAGCTTATTCCACCAAATCTCAGTAAATATAAATACAGTCACACACAATTCAGAGGGTATGAAGGAACTTTTTTACGTGTGCTATTAAAGTTTTGCTTGATGCTGTTAGCTTGTCACAGATCTAGATTTTAATTGTAAAATATGACTAAACTAAAATATATGTAGTGTAATTCATTTTATTCCATGGTCTGTTGAAATTCTTGATTCTGATTGGCTGGAAGGTGTGCAATAACATCATTGGTAACACTTTAGAGTACATCACAATTCATGCTATTAACTACTGGCTTATTACCTGCCTGTTATTAAGATATTAACTGTTCATTAGTAGTTATAAAGTATGATCTTATTCTACAACCCTAATCTTAACCAAAAAAACCTAAACCAGACTTCTACCTTGCTAACTATTAATAAGCAAATAATTAGCAGGTTATAAAGCTAGTATTGTTAGCTAATGGTTTGTTAATACCTTGAATGGTAACCTAATCTAAAGTGTTACCAAATCATTTAATGCATAGCCAAATTTGATCACAGTTTGAAATCAATGTGCTTTCCTCAAACATTAGTATTAACCATAGCATTGTGTGCTTGACCAGGGAGCCAATGAAGACAAATTTGCAAATATGCTTGAAATATTTTGCGAAGATGTAGCTAACACATGTTACTATGAGCTATTAGATATGCCTGTGCACTGAAAAAAATGATTTCAGCAAAAATTTTGCAAACAATTTAAATGGGTTGAATTTAAACAAATTTAGTTTAGTAATGTTCAACTTAACTTGTTTGTTTAACCCTTTCACGCGTGAGTTTTTCATCCAGCTGACCCTCTTGCATGTTTTTTTTTAGAACGCATTAATTGTATTTTTTTAGCGTCTACCCCTACCTCAACCCTAAACTTAACCCTTATGGTAACGTAAAAAATGTGTTGTACAACGTCAAAAATATTATGCTATTTTGACGTGAGCATCCTCAACTGTATCCCATCTAGACTTCACCCTATCCTGCAGCATGGTGAACTCTAGATGGGATACAGTTGAGGATACTAATGTCAAAATAGCATAATTTTTGTGGCACTGTGGCCTCTTTCCGTGCATCAGTAAGCACCATCAGATTCAAATTTTAGCAGTTGATGATGTGCACTCCAAATAATCCAATCACACAGGTGTGATTATGTGCTTCAGAAACCAACCAAGGCTGATCACACTGGTGTGATTGTGCGCATGAAAAGGTTAAATTCAGCCAAAATAAATTGTTTACTACCACTTAACTTAAAAAAATTGTCAATCCAAGGAATCATCTTTGAATCATCCTTCAGTATCATTTACATGCACATACACAATCTTTCGCATGTGGGCCATCTCTGACTGGTTTAAAAGAGGGACTAGGTGATCTAACAAGTCATAAATGACTAAAAATTGTCAAATATTGTGTTGTTAGATTTAATTTGTCTATAACTTCGCTTCCGATGCTTCTTTGACTCAGTTTTTGTGCTTTTAAAATAAAAAAATAAAAATTAAGACATTGATTATTCATTACATAAAAGCTATAATAATTTAATGACATGACGTCAGTCTACATGCAGAACTAACATTTTCATCTGCACCTCATTTACAATTAAATTCAGTCATTGAGTGCACACACTCAACAAAACTTCATAATTTAAAACAGTGAATAAGACATCTGAATGGCCACTGCATTCAAATGAAATGTGTGTGATAGGTTACAATGCTCATCACTGGAAAAAAGTTTAAATATATGTACAAAGCAATGTGCACAGATCAAATGTTTGTTTGTTTTGTACTACATTTGCCTTTAAACTTATAAAAAGTAGTAGATGTCACAAGACCACATTCATTTTTTACTTTTCCTCAATATAAAACCTTTGACTAGATTTCAGAGATATACGGGAAAAAAAACGTACTCAGGACACATTAAGTTTAATCTAAAAATAAATCCCCACTAAGACATAAAGCAGGCCATTTACACTTGAGAAAACTCTTTCCAGATGTTGATTGGTCTGAACAGTATTTGAGCCATGCCATATTACACCTTATATTAAAAGGTTTATTTTTAATTCATATTTTAATAAAGTTTAATTTCAGGTCCCAAAGAGTTGTTTGTTGTAAAAAAAAAATGCAACGAGAGGAGTGTGTGTGTGCAAGTAACAAACTTAGACAGGAAACTAAGTTGTAAAGCTTTTTTTTTTTTCTGTCAGCTTTTTACTCACTGCTGAGCATGACTTAATTCTCGTAATGCCACCGTTCATAAGTTCTCGTGAAATATATCTCTGACTATATCTGTCTTTTGTAATAGAACAAGAAAGCCATGGATTTTTATGTGGTCACCTGGTCTTCACAAGTTTCCGGCGTCAAGCACAAACAAGCAGACCATCTTTCAATTTTATTCAACTGTTAAATCGATGTCTATTAAACATCACAAAACATTCAATGATTGAGTAAAAGCTCAAAGAGTAGAGCTTTAACCGCTCAGTAGATCATCTATAGATCATCTCAACACAGACTAACAGGAAACATTGCGGCTGTTTTGTAACAGATGCTCAAATGATGACATTCAAACGTCAAGTATAAGACAATTTCAAAACTTGTACTTTTTTTGTTTGTACCACAGACATGTTGTATCTTATATCGTAGATAACAACTTACACAGTCCTCCAAGATTCGGGCTGAATTCTCAGCATCACTACTTGGGTCTTGTTTTCTTTTCTTCTGCTCAGAAAACGAACAGATAACATATATTGGAGTCCCTCAAAAGGATCAAGACCTACAGTGCAAGGCCTGTCCAATTTTTGTGAATGATTTATAAGCGAAATGAATCTTACCCCGGCAAAATCTGACAAGTTGGCACATGTGAGGAGTCTTTCTCTAGTAATAGGAGACCTGAATGAGAACCAAATGAAATGATCACTGAAAAGACATTATTTTAGGACTGATCAACAAATTAATTAATATTAACGAATGTTAAACAATTTTAGTGAACAAGAAGTCATCAAAATGATGAACTTAAAAAAAAGTCTTACATTTATAAAATCTCTCAATATATTCATTTATTTTAAAAATAAAGTCATACCAGGAAGATGATAAATCAACCTCCGTCTCTTCAGGCTCCATCTTTTCCTCTCTCATAGCATCTTCAGACGTTCTTATACGACAAGAAGTGACGATAAATAACAAAGTATGACAATAAAAATCAGACCATAAATCTTAAAAGCACCTGTTCCAACTTTTCAAAGAGCATAAAGTAGATGTGCACTCTCTCCCAGCCCTCCCCTCTTCCTCTTACACTTGCATGTCTGAAACCACATCCTGTGCAAGAAAAAAAGTGTACTTCCTGTTGTTAGGCAGAATGAAGCCACACCAGCAGCTCTCTTAACGTCTCTGACAGATCCCTGAGCCTCTCTGTGTAATGACAGCAACCGTACATAACTCCAATGCCGAAGAGGACGGAAGTCAAACCAGACCTTCTGACCCATTTCTGAAAATATATGGTGGTGATTAGATCATCACTGACAGACAAATGTGAATCGAAGGTGGTCATAAACCTGCTATAAAGGGGTTAAACCAACAGAGAGCAGGCCTTTAATAAATGTTTAAAAACAAAGGGTCAAACTAAAAATATTAAACAAGTGGTTTCAATTTCTATTCATGGAAATGAGGTTTGAATGTTTTGGAGCTGTAAACAAAATGCAGGACATCAGTGTTATACAAAAGAACTACTTTTACACGGTATTGTGATTACTGCTTTAAAATCTGTCCTTTTTAAATAGTTAAAAAAATAATTTTAAATATTTTGGAATAGTAGCTTTTTATGCAGAGAATCATTTTTAGCTGGGGATACTGTTGCTAAAAACAAAGCAAAATAGTCAGAAAAAACATGTAAAAAACAAACAAAACTACATATACCATAGAAATGTCATTCATTCATTAATTTTCTGCCACTTTTCCGGGGCCGGGTTGCAGGGGCAGCAGTCTTAGGAGAGAACCCCAGGCTTCCCACTCCCCAGACACTTCCTCCAGCTCCTTTGGGGGGATCCCAAGGCGTTCCCTGGCCAGCCGAGAGACATAGTCTCTCCAGCATGTCCTGGGTTTTCCCCGAAGCCTCCTCCCGGTGGGACATGCCTGGAACACCTCCCTAGGTAGGCGTCCAGGAGGCATTCGAAACAGATGCCCGAGCCACCTCAGCTGATTTCTCTCGATGTGGAGGAGCAGCGGCTCTACTCCGAGCTCCTTCCAGGTGTCAGAGCTCCTCACCCTATCCATAAGAGTCCGCCCTGCCATCCATCGAAGGAAACTCATTTCGGTCGCTTGTATCCGAGATCTTGTTCTTTCGGTCATGACCCAAAGCTCATGACCATAGGTGAGAGTATGAACGTAGATTGACCCGTAAATTAAGAGCTTTACCTTTCAGCTCAGCTCCTTCTTTACCACAACAGACCGACCAGTACATCAACTGCATTACTGCTGCCGCTGCACCAATCCGCCTGTTAATCTCACGTTCCATCCATCCCTCACTTGTGAACAAAACCCTGAAATACTTAAACTTCCAGTGGAGCACCATGGCCTCAGACTTGGGAGGTGCTGATTCTCATCCCAGCCGCATCACACTCGGCAGCAAATTGCCCCAGTGCATGCTGAAGGTCCATGTTTGACTAAGCCAACAGAACAACATCGTCTGCCAACAACAGAGATGAAATCTTGTGGTCCCCGAACCGGACCCCCTCCAGCCCAAGGCTGCGTCTTGAAATTCTGTCCATAAAAATTAAGAATAGAATTGGTGACAAGGGGCAGGCAGCCCTGCCGGAGTCCAACATGCACTAGAAACAAATCTGACTTATTGCCAGAAATGTGAACCAGACTCCTACTCTGTTCATACAGAGACGAGACAGAAATATCATAACAGAAAATTCTAGTGACTTTTCTGTGGTAAACCTTGAAACCGGCTATGATCCCATGACTAGTACAAATACACTTTTTTCTGTTGTTTCACAGACTTACTTTATTTCTTTTTCTTTTCAAACTTATTTCTATAAAATGACAATAAAAGTCCCCGTGTTAAACTGCAGTTGAATTTTCTAAATCGAAAGTTGACAGGGCAGAGATCAAGGTCTCATGACGCAATTCATAACTGTTTATAAATGGAAACCTTCCATAACTCACAAAATACAGAAACCAGTCATAAGATTTACAGTGGATTTTTCTATCAGCATGGTTATAAAGCAGCATAAAAATTAAAGTCATGTTTTACAATAATTTAGCATGTTAAACCCATATTTCACCTTCATTATTCAGTATAACAAAACTTTTGAACTTTGAATCATACATATATTGTATAAACATATTATAAAACATAAAATACATGCATTGAAATTAGCAAAGTTACCATACATGATTCTACTCCAGATAAAGCGTTAACCTGATAAAGGTTGCAACAAGCCTAGGCTCAGAATGAGGCTGCAATATTTCTCTTCTGGATGTGTTTTTTCTTACAATGAAACTTTGATTGAAATTTGAACATGAAGAATGTGAAATTTAATCATTCACCTTAAGAAGAACGAGCGTGTTAACATGTATTGCATCGCAAGCAGGATTGATCACCCTCTGGACTTCAAAGAAAGAACCTTCATGGCCACCATGTTGAAGCGTTAAACCGAACTGAAGAGCGAAAAACTGTCCACTTCAAATTGCCCTTTTGAATGAAGGATTTTAATGAGTAAAACTGATGGACTCTTAAATCTTTTGTAAAGGGAAGTTATTTGGTGTCGCACACTGCATTCCATTCCATTCATCCTTATGCCTTAATTGCATTAAAGTGACAACATAAGAGTAAGAAACAGTGAAACAGTAACCCTATCCCTAACCTGACGTGGAAAGCAGTGAAAGCTAATTTCACTAGCATCTGGATGCAGCCTTTATGATGCAAGCTGAGATATGTCAGACACAATGCACTCAAATGGAGTAAGTGACGTCACTGTGAAGTGTAGAGTTAGGGGTGGGGTTAGGTGAGCTCATTAAAAAGCATTAGATGCAGCTCAGATTGCACGGCACCAGGTTTGCATTCAGACCCCTCTCACTAATTTTGCCAATTTTCTTCTTCTGTTGGTTTTAAGGTGGGTTTACAAACCAACTTTAAAACTGCATATTCCGCCACCTCCTGTTACGGAGTGTTAAGAGAGTAATACACACACACAAACACACATATATATATATATATATATATATATATATATATATATATATATATACACACACACACACACTTAAATGCAGAATTATTTACCCCCTGAATTATTAGCTCTGTTAATTTCTTTCCCCCCAATTTCTGTTTAACAAAGAGAGATTTTTTAAACACATTTTTAAACATAATAGAAATGTTTTAATGTTTTAAAATGAGTTTTGATAACTCATTTCTAATAACTGATTTATCTTAGCTTTGCCATGATGACAGTAAATAATATTTGACTAGATGTTTTTCAAGACACTTCTATACAGCTTAAAGTGACATTAAAAGGCTTAACTAGATTAGGGTAACTAGGCAGGTTAGGGTCATTAGGCAAGTTTTTGTATAGTGATGGATTGTTCTGTAGACTGTCGAAACAAAAAGTAGCTTAAAGGAGATAATAGTTGTATCCTTAAAATGGTGTTTAAAAAATGAAAAACTGCTTTTATTCAAGCCGAAATAAAACAAATAAGACTTTCTCCAGAAGAAAAAAATATTATCAGACATACTGTGAAAATTTCTTTGAATTTCTTTAAGATTATCTTTTTTTTAGATTAGACAGAAAACAACTGGAACTACCTGAAAACAAGAAACTATGGAGGGCCACAGTTCTGCAGCTTTCCTCCAACCCTAATCAATCAGCTGATCCAACTAACCAAAGTGTTCAAGACTACTAGATACTATGAAGCAGATGTGATTTGGAGCTGGTTGGAGCTAAACTCTGCAGAGCTGTGGACCTCCAGAAATAGAAGTTAAAAGCGATGCATTAAGACATTAAAGCCTATAAATATTAAGTCTTTTATATTTAAATTTTAGGTAACATTTTACAATTGGTTCATGTTTTTATTCCCATCGTTTAAAAAAGACAAATGCATATCAATGATGCTAGTTCACGTTGCATTTTTTTTTACTTGCTACAAAATATATTGCATACGTCTTAATAATGCTTTATTAATCAATCTTAGGGTGCACTCACACTATGCTATACAGAGAGCCCACTTGCGATTCCCAGTTTGATTGACAAGTATGAATGCTCCATATCTGGTGCAATCATGTTTCACTTGGCTGGCCCTGGCCTGGTTGGAAGAGGTGTGCCAAAGTGCAGTTAGGTTGGGCTTTGGCGTGGTACACTTGTAGTGCGAGTGCAAAGCACACCTTAGAGCAAAACTGAAGATGCAACACCACTTTTAAGGAACTGTTTTAATCTTTTCTATGAACACTTACTGTCATAGTTTATCAAAGATACAAACTCCTCGCTGCATCTTCAGGAAACCTCCTAATACTTATACGATAATCTTTGAGCCTCAAAAGTTGTGGATCTGTTCTGCTAAATATTTTACTGCTGGTCAGTAAACAGTTGCATCATCGACAACGCAAGGGTGGTCTGGCTCAGAATGCAACATGCAGTGTAGGCGGTCAGGGGGGCAACTGCACTTTGGCACGGTTCAAAGCAATTGCACCTAGTGCGAGTACACCCTTCATATAGGTGGAACCTTTAGATAGGTGGAAAATTTGACTAAAAATGCACCGTGAAACTTAAACACTGAAATATTCCTGATACCCAGTTTGATTGACCTAAGACTGTTTTTATTAACTGTTTAGACACATCTTAAAAACAACAATAGCAAAGAGGAGACAATAAAGCAAAGAAAACGTTTCCAACTTTATTCACTAACACACTAAGTGCTCCCATTACAGAGTAAAATCATGTGTTTTAGACTGTAATGTCTTTTTTTGGAGTTTAACAAAGTAGAAAGAATACAGAGGTTATGTTCTACAAGGTGTACACCAGAATTCTGCCAAAAAAATAAAAATAAAAAAATGAGGGAAAAACAAAACAAAAAGTTATGTGCAAGTTCCTGTACCCACCCCATACAGAAGCCAGAGAGGCAAAGGGAGGTTCCCACTGGGCCAATGGGAGAACAGGAGTTCAGTACGTTGCTCCAAAACCTTGGCCAATAAGAGCGCATTTCAAGTTACATTTAAGGTGACATCAAGCCAAGGCGATGATTTGAAAAATCTATTTAAGCAAACATCATTGACATCTTTTCCATTTGTACTCATTTTTTTTTGGCATCAGTCAATATTTTATTCAGGAAAACAAATCAAGATGGTGCTGCCCACATGAGGACCGGTGTGAGAAAGAGGATTCACAGAAAGGGAGTGATGATAAAATTCACACACTGATGCTGTGCGTTACAAAAACCAGCTTAAATAAGTTACAGCCAAAACTTCACATGCTCCCCATTTCCTGAACATGACCAACCTGACTGAATTAGACCTTAAAGAGCTCGACCGGCAGGGTAAAAGAGGTTATTGATAGATAATACTTGAGCATCAGGTTAAAATAAAACCAATTGATTTGATTTGGGCTCTCCAAGCATACTGATGCACTCCCATCCCCAGTGGGCCGCCCTCTCCCTCCTCTAGTCTGTCCCCTGTCCTACCCATCAGCCCTGTCAGCGGATGGTGTATCTGACATAGGGCACCTCTACGTCTTCTTCTGTGTCGTCATTGCAGCAGAGCTCAAACACTAGTGCTTTGACATGCTTGCCCAGTTTCTTCTTGGACACTTTGGTCACGATCTCAGTCATCCTGTTGAAAGAAATTAAACGTTGAATATTCTTTTATTCTTTTTGCATCACTTCTGCCTATAGCATTACAATTCAGTGCTTTTCTAAGGTTGTGATTGGGTAAAAATAACTCACGGTAGTTCCAGTCTTTCTTTGAGTTTGGCTGCAGGCATGAAGAAAGAGTAGAGCATAGAAACTCCCTGAGAGAGCATCGTGATCTCCAGTTTGTGTTCATTCTGATGGAGGAAAGGGCAAGAACAATGAGTAAACAAGGTAGAGATTGAAAAAAACCTCTTTGCCTTTTAGAAAAATGTATAAAAAAAAATAAATAAATAAAAAATGTCATGCTATTCAATTGAATTATAAACTAATTTAATCTCTACTTTAACTAATTTCCTAATGTTAACTGGGTAAGAAAGGAATGTCACGTTAAGACACTGAGGCCCTGTTTACACGAATATCTTTTAGTTTTAAAACAGCACTTTAGAATAAAAACGACCCACGTACACACTGGTGTTTCATATAAAGTTTCTGAAAAGATCTATCCATACTACACAGCTGAAAACGCACATCACATGACCACACACATACTGGCATGCGGTGATAGAGCTCCAGGAAGTCAGTTCAAAGATCTTCCGCTGGATTTCATCTCACTATAGTTGTTAAATGTGATATAAAACCGTCTTGTCTCTATCAGAAAACTCTTTGGTTTTTTGAATCCATTACTTGTTTTCAGGTAACTTGTTTAGCTGAGCGCGAAGATGATGTAACCACTTACACTGATTCTGCATTTTAACTGATTGCTTGCCTTTATTTCCTATATTGTATCCATTTAGTGTTCATTATACTTTAATAATGGCCATTATTGATTTTTAAAACTGATATACAGCAAGAGACATTTTTCGAAGAAAAGGAAAGGAGGCAGTTATGTTGTAGGCTCTGTTTTGTTATAAAACTGCATACAGTGAAGGTGACTGTTACACGATGCCTCAACGTTTTGTGTAAGTTAAGTTTTTCAAGATGAAAATAGGCAGCTCCTCATATCATGCTTCCCTTTTATTGTTAAGAAAGTGAAACAACATAGCCAGGGTGATGCGAATATTGATATAAAGTAGCCTACACTGTTCCTTTTGAAGATTTGCCCGACGTGTTCGTGAGAGTTTGTTTTCCTAACCAAACCTGCAAAGTCTGAACTTAAGGAACGGGTGCAAGACTGAAGTTTTTGCACTTAATGTTGAGGAAAAAGCCCCAATCAAAAAGCCTTTGTTTTCAGATGTCTCCATTGAGCTGACCTCTGTGTTCCCTCTTACTTGTATTGTTTACTTGGTTATGTCACTTCAGTTTTGATTTGTTGCTGAATAACCAGTCAGATTGCTAACTTCAGCCAATGCTGATTCTACATGCTGAATCAGGCCAACTTGGCGACATGTAGAACACAAAACTAACTAGACAGACAGACGGCTTGGTGTGTCCGGGCCTTAAAATGTAACAAAAAGCAAAAAAATACTTCAATGCAGAGCTTATATACTCAGGTTTTCGGCAGGTTTCAAAGTTAAATTTAAGACTTTTTTAGACTATTATGAATGAAAAGAAATTTGATTTTTTTTTTTTATATGCCAGTTGGAAAAGATTTTCACTTGCCCTATCAAAATATGATTTGAATTTAATACATTTAATCAAACAACAATAATAATTTAATAATAAAAAATATAGGTCAGCTCAGTATCCTCTGCATTAAATAAATGGAGAAACTTTAAACAAATGTTATTGTAAGGAAGGTAATTAAAACATGATGGTAAAAAGAGTTAACAATGTTATTTTTAATAACACATGTTTTTGAGATTGGGATTGTTGGAAAATTAAGAGCTGAAAAAATGAATTAATGAAAATGTGGTGTGCTTATTGTGATTGGCTCAAAGATGTGCATTTAAATCGTTTAAAAAGCAGGTAGTTCTAGTCAGTTTTAATTGCAGTTTGAAAGAAGTGTGCTTCCATCAAAAATGAGCAGAAACCATAGTAACTCTGATCAATAGATGGCACTTCAGAAGCAACCCACCTTCCGCTTTGTGTTGGGCAGTTCAATGCTCCACATAGCGCATTTAAAACCATTTAACATGACAATACATTAATAATTTCTTGTATTACATAATTTCTTATTGTCTAAATTACAGCTAAAAAATATTAAAATGTATATAAAGATATTTAAGAGTTATTTTGTCAGTATGTGACGAAGACCTTTTGTATTTCAGAGACAATTACCTTAAAATCTGATCAGAAATGCTGAACTATGTTTAGGAGTTTATAAAAAAACTGCAAGCTTACGGAGAAAGTACAGTATACAAAACACATTTACTGAAAAATCTGAAAATGTTTTCAGTATTATGGATTTCTTTTGCTTAAAACCTTTCACTCTAGACATGACTGTTGGAAAGTTACATTAGTAATAATGTTTATTTACGTTTATATAGCACCTTTCTGCAAACTAAAAGCTGCTTCACAATAGAAGGTAAAAAAATTTTTTGTCATACTTCAAAACTTACTTCATGTTTTTTTTTAAACATTGTTTATAGCCCCAAATTATCCATAGGTTACTCAAATAAAATAATCAAAATATCCATGTCAAGTTTCTTTAAACATTTTAGAAATGATCATGAAATGTTACCTTGAAATAATCCAGGAACTGCCGGAGTGTCATTTCCTCTCCATTAGGCTGAATGCCCTTCACCTCAAAACGGTCCCAAAGTGTCCAATCAATCTCGTAGTACTATTCGCAGACAAGAATGTCAAAACAGCTGAGTAATTCAAAGTAACAACAGAACCACTGCAGTAATGAAGAATACTGCTGCTGCAGCTTACCTTGTGCTTGGGGGCAGCTATAGGCTCGGAGAAGGCAAAGAAAGGCAGAGCAAGGTTCATGAAGCCATTTTTGTAGGACTCGAGCTTCTTGTGCCCCTGAACGATCTTCAGCAACTCCAGACACACCAGACCTACAACAGCGGCTGTTGTTGTGGCAATGGCTGGAATGATTTTTCCAGCAATGAGTTTGCTCTGAAACATGAAAGAGAAAGGTGAGAATCTTTAAAGATGATACGTAGCTCACAGGACAGCTTTGAAATCGCTGGCCTGCTAACCTTGTGTCTGTCTGCAGGAGGAATGTCATAGTTCTCTGCTCTCAGATTAGATGCCGCTACAATGAAGTCCATGTGGAAGTTTGTGTCATCGTCCTGAGGAATAGAAGTTAATTAATATTTTAACTCCAATTCCAAAGGGCTACTGCCCAGGAAATTGGGGTCAAGTTATAAGTAGTACCTTTTCAAATTCAATAGGACAGAGCTTGAATTGAGAAGATGCTTCTAAAGAAGGCAACAGTGTCTTCAGCTCTTCGAGCCTCGAGTCATCTGAAAACAGGCAGAGAACAGAATATGCAATGCTAGATTGAAAAAGACAACAGCTAAGGGTTTTCAACAGTGCAAAATGTCTTGAATGAAACTCAAATAGGGTGGTACAAGCATAGATTAAACAGAATTAAAATTTTGGTGAACTATACAAGTCAATAAATCGTCCTTGTTATCTGTGTCACAATGCAGTGTACAAACATTTCAGTATCAGTCTAGTAGTAGACCATAACTGGTTATGATGTACTAATGATTTTCTCATCATTTGTCACATTTCTCATCTCGTTGACTGAGTTTGCTGCGGACATTCTTCCACTGACACTACAGTAAATCCCAAGATCCACCATGTCATTGCATAGGCCACACTGTAAAAATGGTTGTCGAGGTTATCAATGAGTGAAGTGCAAGACTGATTGCTGCAAAGAGCCCAGTGACAGCCGGATGTCTGCATTGGTCCTGTAGTCTGAACTCCAGCCCAGTGACCTAGTTGGACTTTGCACTAATGCTCCTCATTCTCAAGCCCAGATGTCCAGACTGCTGTTCTGCCCTTTATGTTTGGCCAGAGGAAAAATGGTCTACCTGGCTTTACATCCGTCTATTAGTGGAGTTTTGGTTATTTGCCATGGTCAACTCTGGCCTGCTTGGATCACTTCAGGTTGTCTTCAGCAGTGACGTTTGTATTAAACAAAACTGAAATAAACTGATGTTTGTATTAAACTAAAGTGATTAATATTTTTAATAGACCTACACTTGCATTACACCACTACTCTCCTGTCAGCCAGATTTGTTGGAATGTTAAACATCTGATAAATTATGGCATTTTATTTTTTTATATCTAATGATAAGCTGCTTTGATACCATCCACATTGTAAAACTCAAGATAGAAATAGAGGAACTGAATTGAATTGAGGACATGATAAACGTAATCAAACCGAATCATACAACCAGTGTAGGTACACACCCACAGTGAGAAGCCCCTTTAACAGTTAGAGCTTCCTGTAAAAGCTTGTGTTTGGATTTCATTGAAACCCTTGCACCCTCTTCTTACCGACTGATGCGTTGGCACTCTGCAGCTCCTGATCAGACACGTGAATCTTGACTCCTGACTTGGGTGTGAACTCAGGCACTTTAATATCCTGCAAAAGCTTGGTCAGAGCTGAGCGGTCATTGCAGGATGGCAGGCCGTATGACAGGGCATACAAGTTAGCTGCTGCCAAAATGTAGTCCATGTGAAGATCCTGGAAACCACACATCAGATATCAGAATCAATCAGTTTTTACCCAGTAAAATTAGACAAATGTTTCTTTCAGTTGTTTAGGGCAAGTACTCACATTGTTAGTGCTGAATTCTAATGGATGAGGACATCTCTTTGGACCTGACCAGAATGGCGCCCCAGAGCTTGTAAGCTAGAACGGAAAAGTGTAAGATATTAAACTGTTTTTAAAGATGACCACATACACATGAAATACATATTTACAAGAAATGATTTTTTTTATTAGCAACTTTCAGGTAAAACTTTAGACTTCTCTTGGGCAATGCATGACATTCTCTTTTTAAATCCTACATTTTTCCTTAAATTAGCTGAAATTTAGATCTGCTTCAACACATTCAATAAATAAATCTCCATCCTTTAACTTGTTTCCTACTGTCTGTATACACTAATGCAATTTAATCTAAAATGCCATGTAAACCATCTAGAAACACTACAGCTTACTTTATGGGTACAAATCGATTTCAGAAACAAATTAAAGTCTGACTTGGATATGACTTAATTTTAGAATAGGCAAAGTAAAACATTTTGCCATCTAATTTTTTTCCTTCAAGAAATTCATTTATTGAGAATTTTTACATTTCTCTGTGTGCATAAATATCTTATTATATATAAATATATCTTATTAAAGTAGTTAAATAAGTTAAAAATAAAAAATTGTCATGTTATAGCATTTCTAAAATTTGAACCTTAAAAATTCAGTACATTCGAAGCTGATCAAATGAGACAGACAGGCCTCACCTGGTCTGGGGGGAAATTGTGCAGCAGCTGACGGATGTTATTGTTATATTGACACTGCCAGTGGTTGCGGGCCCAGGTTACACAGTCATCCCAGTTGCGTGGCCTGTCTGTCACCAGACTCTTGTAAACCGATTCCACCACCTCCAGCGGCTGAGCTCCAGGGAGCTTCAGTGTGCGCTCCATAAACTTTGAGTCTCTGGGGGAAGGATCGGAACATCACATTTTAAAGCGACAACAGCTCCAATTTTACAGGTTTTTTTTTTAGGGTGACATGAGCTTACGTCAGATACTGCAAGGCGTTTTCAGCAGGTTGCTTGAACAGTCCCTCAAACTCATCACGAGCCCACTAAAGAAGAGAAGATTAGATTCATGAAATTACCTGTATAATATTTTATTGTGTATGCTAGGTTGTATGTAGTGCACACTGGGGCCAACTTGAAGCATTCATTTTGTCATACTATTATTTTTAGTGATTCTAATCTGCAATTCTTCTGATCTTACTATTATTTAAGACGGATGGTTGAAAGTGACTGTAAAAACTAATTGTGAACAAAACAATTATAAATGAATATAAATTACACACACACACACACACACACATACATATATATATATATATATATTATAATTATATATGCTGCAAATCCTCATAACAAAAAAAGTTACATTTTGAAATATTCATACACGTTACTTTTCAAATGACCTTCATTTATACACTTTAATTTCAAATTTGACACATTTATCAAATCAATGCAGCTTTCTTCAGCAGAAAACTATTTCAACCAAAAATTAAATAAATATATAAAAAACTAAATAAAATTTAGATTAACATATAATTTAAATCGTGCTTAAAATCTAAAACCCTTAAATATTTAAATAATTAACTATATCATTCAAATATGTGATTTTGATTTATTATTACTTACACTTCCTACCTTTTCATTTATTACAAGTTGGTAATTTAACTTTTGGTTACATTTGTTTCACAGGTGCAGTTGTCATGTCTGCTTATTTTAGTGTCTTTTTAAGAGGTCAACTCACCCTCAAAGAAATAGTGCTCCAAAAAATGAAACATTTACTCACCCTCAAGTCGTTCCAAAACTTTACAATTTTCTTTGTTGAACACTAATGAAGATGCATTAAGGAAACCTGACTTTCCATAGTACAATTTCTTCCAAATACAAATACTATGAAAGTCAACAGTTGCAGGTTTCCACCCTTCTTCATATCTTTTCTTGTGTTCAACAAAAGACAAAAAGTCAAACAGGTTTGGAACAAGTGAAGGGTGAGAAAATGGAAAATGACAGGATTTTAATTTTTGATTGAATGATTCCTTTAAACAATGTCCTGAAGCACAAAAACTGGGCTGGTGAACCTTTCTAGAGAAATCTGGTGACATTGGTGTTAAGTCTGGGTAAGAGTTTATCAAAATTAATTAAGATGTATGACTTGTAATTCACCAGGAAAATAGTTCCAAGTTCATTTATTGCCACATCAGCAACTTGTGATTATTTCATGCCAAGACCAATATAGAAAAACATATTAAATAACTTAATTCAATAAGAGATTATACAAAAAACTAATATACATTTTTATACATTACATTAACTATTTTTATAAACATTACATTAAAAACAATCGACAAATAACTAAATGATCTCCATTAATTAATTCCAGTAATTAGAAATTTTTAATTATTATTTAACCCATGCCAGAAAAAGAATGAATTGGCATCAATGATTTGATCAGAATGACATTGGTTTTATGACACTGGAAAATGAAGAGATCACAGATAGAGTTTTTAGAAGTGATTACTGACAAATTGTAATTGGTAGTCAATCAATCAGAGCAACCCCAGTGTATACTTCAAAAAGACTGCCCATTTGGCAAAAAAAAAAAATTTCTAAATCGAGTTTGGGAATAAGGCTCAAGACAACATTTCAATATTGCTTGTCACCTGTAGGGTGTGTTCGATTGCATTTGGGAAGTTCTTGAGTGTGCAGATAGGAATGGACTTCTCTGGAGGATCCTGGCTGGAGCTGTAGGACTCTGTGATGAAGGGAATGACCACCTGCACGTTTCCTTTGGTGCCAAGAGTACCAGACTCCAGCAATGGCTTACGGTAGTACACACACCTCCGATCCATATACATACCTGGAAGGAGCAAACATGATGTTCAAGCAATGCATTTTCAACTGTGAGCAGCTGCACGATTTCTTAAAACTCTTACTTACGGGCATCTACATTGTCAAGAGCATTTGCCACTCCATCAAGGCATTCAAAAAAGTCATCATCATAGACCTTCTCCGTGTCCGGTCCCACACGGTTCTGGTGACCAGTGATACGGACTGACGGGTTCATCTGCTTCACTGCCGCAGCAGCAGTCTCACTCTTCATCTTCTGCTCGATAAAAGAAGAACAAAGCCATCAGCGATGTTATACAAAAGTAAGGCATTATAATCCTGTTTTTTCTCAAAATTCCTTCCTCAGTGTTAGAATGGGTCAGTCAATCGTACCGTGACATCCCAGGGTCTGAAGAGGAACTGTCGATTGAGATTGGACTTCTCAATGGTGTCCATGTCAGTGACTATGACCTCTCCTTCACCACTGGCCAAGCCCATCATAGCAAAGTTCTTCAGCAGCTCACAGCCAATGGCTCCAGCACCAACCTGAACACAGAAAGGGTCACTAAGGTGAACGCAACACATGCTAAAGCAGAGGTTTTTGTTCTTTTTTGTGTAAATGATACAACTACCTGTTGCTGAAGCATCAATTTCCTCTGCTTTAATATTTTAGTCTTAATTTGTCTAATTTTATATTTATTGACTTTTACAAATGGTTTTAATTTTTTATATTAATATTTCAGCTTATTGTCTAGCAAAAAAAAAAATAAAAATAAAGCTTTATTTTCGTAGTTTCAGTTTAACAATTAATTGTGGACTAAAGGCAAAAATAATCTAGCATGAACTATTTTTTTCAATATTGTTTGATGGTGAAAGATTACAAGTTTCTTTTAATATATAAATTAGGCTTTTACATTTTAAGATGCATCCTGAGGGATCAAGGTAGACTGCCTATATGTAAAAGACAGTATTGTTTCTCCAAAATAATGCATATTGTCAGTTCCAGGCAGGGCTGTGTCTTTTGTCTAACAAATGGCCTAGTGATGCTTTCAAGCAAGGCCCGGAAAACGATTTTGCTTTGAAGATATTGGAAAAATCCTCCTGGTTTGTCTCTTCTTCAAATTTACAACAGCGGCTTAAAATAACTAAAAGCGAGATGAAAAACAAATCTACAATGGTTTGAAAGCAAAACGTGGCTGATGTTATTGTCTGGCATTTTGTTCAGCACAAACCGTTTTGAATGAGCTTTTTTTTAAATGTCCAGTTTTAATTTTAAATATGCTTTATCCTTATCATACGTTATTTTTCTATAGTTTTCATACTTTCATCTGTAATTTTAGTATTTCAATTTAATATTTGCCAAAACATTTCAAATACTTTTTCCATAATATATATTTGTAATTTTTTCTAAGCCATTTAAAATGTAGTTTTTGACTGTATTAGTAAAAATTAAGCACTAAATAATTGAGGAATAAATGCATAAAAAAAGTTTGGATCAGCAAATACTTGCTTGTTTTGTTATAAACTATTCAAAGCTATTTGTTTGGTTCAATGTAACTTCAAGGTGACAAGGCATTGTGCAGTCCCTTATCTGGCATAGAGAAATCATTCAGTTTTGAAAAACAGCCAGTTTTAGATTCTCACCAGAAAATATCTCTGCTTGGCTAACAGCTCCTGCAGCTTGGACCCAAAGACGGCAATCTGGCCGTCATACCGGCAGTTCCTCTGTACAAAACAGATAACTGAATAAATTATTCTGTCTTAAACCCACAATCTTTTGAGCGAGCCATAACAATGCACAAATATTAAACAAATGCTAAAAATATAAAGCACTTACAGGAGCACACTCTTCCTCTGTAAGAATGACTTCCTCAGGCTCAGGTAAGCACTCCAAAGCATCAAAATACAGCCACTGCATGATGGGCATAAACTTCCCTGTGCAGGCCTGAGCAGATAAACAATAAAGAAGCATGATAGGTGAGGCTAACACATCACAATGCTGCATCTCACAGATCTAAAGTTCAAAGACAATAATGGAAGACCATATTACCTTCATAACCTCCTGGGCAGCAAGCCCACCAATAAAGGCATTGACGGGTGCCAGGTCTCCAGCAGCCACGCAGGCCAGCTTTTTTATGACTGCCTGGTCCAGCTCCTCTTGCTTGGCAGATCCTGTCTGTGCAGCATTCACCTCTTCAGCCAGAGTCATAAGCTCATCCGCATCTGCCTGCAATAGGACAGACAGAGAGAGAAAAATCACTGCTGAGTCACTGAGCCTGATATCCACAGTACAGCATTCACGTAGAATTAAAGCTCAACAGTGCACTTCTTGAAAGTATTAGACTGGGAAGTGGAACACTAAGTGAACAGAGAAATCTGGTCAGCCCAGTATGTTCAGAGTGGAATTAGAGATGGCTAGTTGGGATGGGATTTCCATTACTTGCATTATAGTGAATATACTTAGTTAAAAAAAATTAATAATAAAGAGTAAAGAATGTTTGCTAACAAATGACTGTGGGCCTGTCAACTACTTGTCACTTCACGCATTTTCGGATCGTTGGATTTCGGATACAATTTTTGTTTTTTCACCCTTTATGCTCTCAGATTTAAATTTGGGCAAATAAATGTCTCCACTAGATGAATATACTTTGCTGCATGCAAATATAACTAAATTATGTAGACTAAAGCAGGGGTCTTTAGCCCACAGATCACAATTTAGTAGTGTGTCATGAAAGAGCGCTGTTTTTTCTTTTCTGAATAGACTACACAACAAATAATTTTAAACTACTTATAGCAGAAAACACTGTGAACTGTAAAACATTTAGGGCAACACTCACAATCAAGAATTGATAAACTCAAACCTTGATTTGCAAGTCAAATAAAATACACTTCAGAATATAAAAATCACACCCTATTTCAGATGATAAAAAAACAAAACAAATAAAAAACAATTGACACTATAAAGTGACTAATCCAGAAAATACACTAGATGATTAGAAATACTGCTAGACAAAATAAAAGTCTTCACCTGATTCCAGGGCTTTGGCAGACGACTGTGCTTCTTCTCAAATGCATGCAGTGCCTGAAAGCCCACGTGGAGTTGGCCTGGACGATCAAATTTGGCAAAATCAGTCAGCAAGAACTCTGGTTCGGCCATGGAGGAGGACAGGGATTTCTGGTGAAGAAAGAAGTGCGTTTAAAATCCAGCAGGGGATTTAATTTATTATCAACAATCTCAGCCAGGGAATCAACTTACAAAGGCAATCTTCTTGGGCATCTTCACTTGTGTGACAATACCACCTCTCACATAGTCAGAGAATGAGCTGGTGTCACAGATGCTGAAAGTGTAAGGACCTGAATGCAAAAGACATCAGTCACAAAACACCCCACCAGATGGAAATGTAAACAGTGTATGGTTAACATCACAACTCTTTAAAGAGGCCTCAGATTCTACAGACATTCTTTTCGGTTTTGCATCAGTTTCTCTTTCTTTAGGAGAAGGGTAGAAACTTGATGTGATTGGTTGCTAAAACAATTGACAGGTGTTGCCTCATGCTGATCCAGTTACATATTAAAAAGTAGGCCAGCATAAATGTTAAAAGCTGTCAAACAGTCAGAAGATACCAGCAGCAGCTTAAAAACTTTAAACATGTGAAATGGTTGTCAAATTGCAGGTATACAGACACAGCCTCACAGACTGAAAGAGGAAATTAGTGAATGAGCTAAAGTACTTTCCAAAAGTCCATTCCGTTATCTTGCCAAACATTCTGAAGGCAACGGTTATCAATAGTATCTATCAATATAGTATCTCATCTATGGCCATATTCGAGGATCGAGAGAAAAGATTAAAGAAAAGAAAGAAAAAAAAAAACTATGACATAACTAACAAACTACCCTTTAGTTAAGCATTACATTGTAATGTAATTTAATGTTCATAAAATGGTTATACAATGCTACCAAGAAAATCTAGCTAAACAGGAATACAGCAAACATCTAAAGTGAAGCTATTACTTACTAGTCTGTTAGTACTAGCTAATTACTTCACAAAACAATTAAAAAGTCCACAAATTTTGTTGATTTTCTGGAATAACTACCTATTTAAATAAATGATTGTATTGGCTTAATTCTGAATGCATTGTTCTATGCAAGAAGAAAACATAATACAAGGTTATGAAACAAAGCTCCTAAACTCCATTCATCTTTATTTCTGTGGTGCTTTCACAACGTAGATTGTGTCAAAGCAGCTTAACATAGATGTTCTAGTAAATTAAAACAGTGTCAGTCCAGTTTTTAGAGTTGAAATTCAGTTTAGTCCAGTGTGGTTTAATTTTCACTGCTGAAAATCCACAAAACCTGCTTGCAACTTGTATACAGAAACAGCAGAATACAGCAGGCATCAACAAAATTTAATCCTTTCATCTGTTCTTGTGCTCGTATGTAAAATTACTTGAATTTCAAATTAGCAAGGGCAAAGTGGGCAAAAGATTAGTGTGTTAAGATACTTACTTACAAATCCATTAACTATCCATTTTTTTATTTTTATGCAACCTCTGGGACATAAGGCAGACCTTTCTGTCAAGCACTGTACAATTATTGCTTTTTTTTTTTTTTAGTTAAGCCGACTGGGCTTAGAGTCAAACCGGCTGAGAATTGATCAAACATTTTTTAATTTTTAGCTGACAAGGATTGATCTCAAAGGTTTCTGGGTCTGTACATTTTATTATTTTTTTTAACTTACCCAGTGTCTTGATCTCTACTGGATCACAGCCATTAAGTTCCGTCATGCCCTGCACTTCTGTGAAAGTGACATAGTCTCCGCTCTCAAATCCGTGCCGTGCTTCATCCAGACACGTAACCACACCAGCGCTGTCCTTTATTTATTTATTTTACACATACACAGAGAGAGAGAGAGAGAGAGAGAGAGAGAGAGAGAGAGAGAGAGAGAGAGAGAGAGAGAGAGAGAGAGAGAGAGAGCAAAAAGTTCAATCAGCCAGAAAGTTAACAAATAACTATAACTACTTGATCCTGCATTAAAAAGGCTCAATGGTAGAATCACACAGGCTCTTACTTTTGTGATCATTGAGATCATGGCGCTCAATGGCTGTTCTCCGTTTGTGTCGAATACTATCATTTCCTCCCCAAAATCACAGAACAGTTGCCTATTAAATAACAGAATGTTTATGAAAAAGTTACATGGAGGAAAAAAAAAACCTTAAAAAATGTCATATCTTTTAAATATTCATACCCAAACAGTCCACGTGTGTCTGCCACAATCAACTTGATGCCATTACTGTGGCAAAATTCCCCGATACGTGTCTGTTCATCAAGACTAGAGTTGGTGAGCACAACAACCTGGACAAAAGCATACAAAGACCTATTAGCTAACAGCTTCAAACTTCAGTTCAGCTATAATGCAAAGTTTAATATGCATTTAGAGAAAATAATTTGTAATCCTTATAAGAGATCAAAGTTAAAGTCCAGTGGAGCAATAGCAGCAGTACCTGAAATTTGGTCAGGTATTCATTGGTGAGGGTGCCAGTGTAGGAGGTTACAGGCACATAACTGTTCAGTTCTGCCAGTCGAGGCTGACTGACATCAGCACGGTTCTTCCCAAGATCCTCCTCACGCAGGTAAAACTAGGAACATGAAGCAAACAAAATTGTATTTCTACTACTGTAGATTATTAATGTTTATTCTTACACTTCCAGAAACAATATATGGATTTTTTTTCATTTGTTTATGTAGAGAACAGTACAAAAGTTTGGGTTTGGTAAGATTTTAAAAATTATTTTAGAAAAAGTCTCTTGTGCTCACCAACATTGCCTTTAAAAAAATCTATATATAATAATAATAATAATAATAATAACAGTAATATTTTGAACTGACGTACACGTTTATTCATTCATTTAATTTTTTTTTCATCCCAATTCTACAATGGCAGCATATCTTCACCCGGAATCAGGAGATGCACAAATTCATATTTTTTGTCATTATTACGAATTTTTACGACAAACACGTTTTAATACATTCATAACAGCCTTCAAGTTTTACCATCATGCTTTAAAAAATAAAAATCACAGTAAATTTTAGCATCAATAATGCCTAATATTAACTCCTGTATAGCAGTCCCACAACATTCTGTCACTCGATGACACACGAACAGCCTGTAAGAAATTTCTAGTGGCTGTGAATGACCTTTTATATAATGTTAATGTTGTTTGCGCGTGTTTACATAGATGATTATGGCCACGGTGTAAAAGCACAGTACAGTTACAAGCTAATTGCTACATTATATCATTTTAACATAATATATGCCTTCAATGATATGCTGAAGATAAATACCACAAAAAAAACGCAACTGGTATAACTACAGCAGTCGCCTTCATCAATCTCATATGAAGCAAGAGCTCATGATGACGTGTGCAGGTGTTGTAGTGGTGTCCCATTTCTTAGAGATAAATTTTGAAGCCCTTCCCCTTAACACTCTGTTTCAAGGGCCAAGAGAAAGGGGTAATAAACTGCCAACTTATCCAGCATGTTTTACACAGCGGATGCCCTTCCTCCTGCAACCCAGTACTGGGAAACATCCATACACTCTCACATGCAATGACAAATTCTTTCACAAATTAAACTTTTAAATAATATTTTCCTCTATTGAAATATATTTGTTAAACATTAATTCATGTGATAGCAAAGCCCAACTTTCAGCAGGCATTCATTGTTTTCAGTATCACAGGATCCTTAAAATAATGCATATTTTGTAATTATCTATTAAAAAAAAACATGTCAATATCAATACTGAAAATAGTGCAGATTAATATTTTTGGTGGAAAAATACATTTTCCTCAATACAAAGAACAGCATTTCATAGCAAAACAATAAAAATCAAACTCAGATTTTTGAATAAACCTTTCAAAATCTGAACCCAAACTATGAATGACGGTGTAATTTAATTGTTGTTTGTAGACTTTTTTTTTTTAAACGTAATTTTAGCCCCTTACTCAACGCACAAAACTATCAGCAAGGGCTGTTTTGCTTTCACACAGTTACAGTTATGACTCATGACCAACCACTGACCTGTGATGAAAGGTCCTTCCACTCGGCCACTCCCTGATCGTGCAGGGTGACGCTTTTGACTCCACCCAGAATGACATTCTTAGCGATCTCTACCCCTAAACCTCGCAGTCCCGAGATAAGAACATTAGAGCTCTGCATACGCTTCATAGCATCATGACCCAGCACGTACCTGAGAAACGTATACTAAATTTAGCTTCTGCTCACATGATCAGGTTTGCTTGCTCAAAAAAACATTATGATACATCAAACTAAAATGCAGGCCAGACTCACAGCTGTCTGGAGTACAGGCCCTCGTCGATCTCAGCATCATTTCCATTCTTAGCCATGCCCTGCAGAGACCAAAACCACAGTTAGCAGACTATAAATAGCCATGCACATAACTTATGAAACTGGCTGCCTTTCAAAAAACACAAGCGCAGTAAAGAATGAAGATAAAATTCTCTAAATATGTTCAAGCCCCAGTGGTGTTCAAAACAAGTATTGACTTGAACATACGTTAGCTGGTGTGTGTGACAGTTCAGTTCTGACAGAGTTAGAGGAGGAGCAATGGGATCCCGTCTTCGTCTCTGATCCTGACACGCGACGCTTCTTGGACAGCGGCGAGCTGGACATCTGGAAAACAAGAAGAAATATATTTTTCGCAGGAAAGTGCGAGTAGTAGTGCCTAAATACTGTTACTTTAACAGCAATTTTCATGAATTTCATCATGCGAGTTGAAAGCGAGTTTACTTCATAACAAAAAGTACAGTCATTAAAAGCAAAATGTCTCTGTACAGTAAAAAAATAATAATGTTCCAGATAAACTTTTACATCTGGCATCAAAATGTGTTTTATTGAATTGTTTCAAGTCTACAAATGTAGAAATTACAGCCAACACATTTATCCGTCTTTCCTTTCCATTCCTAAAACAGGTGTACGTATTGGGCCTGGGACAAAAAACGCTTTCAAGGTTTCCTGCAGTTTGCAAAAGTCAAAGATTTAAAACTGCAAATATTTTCTGTTTTACCATTCCTAAAGTATATCTAAGGTTTTTATAAAGTATTTTTTTAAATGTGTTGTAAAGAAATCTGTGCTTATGAAACAAATGAAGAGAGAAGTCAATGATAATTTTAATTATTTAGCCTGACATGTTTCCAAAATATTATAAATGTTTCTTAAATAAAATAAAATTTTCAATGGGTAAAAGATTTAGTTTTATACCCAGATATTTAAAAAAATAATTAAAACAACTTATTTTAGAGCAGTAATTACAATACCGTGAAGGTTATCATAACGTCAGGAACTTATACTGGCCCATGCCTAGTATGTATGGGGTTTTCAGATCTCTAACAGCTACAAAATTTTGCTGGTAAAAAATAATCTAATTCTGTAAAACATTATGCTTTTTACATTTTATTTCACCTTCAAATCAAACGTCCGATTTCAGAGAGCAAAGTTTAATTCTTATATGGTTAGTGAGCTTCAGCAACATGTCCTATATTGTTTAAGAATTACGGCAGTAGTCAGAGAATAGGTGGCCTGATTGAGCACATTCAACTACAAGTGGACAAGCTTAAAACCTTTCAGAACTTACTTTGCACTGCTATTTATCATTGTCCACTTGAAGCTGGATCAACAAAAGTGCATCTTAACACCAGATGTAAACAGGCCCTTAAATTTGGCAAAACCACAAGTCTGTTTTCAAAAATGAGAATCAAATTAACATCTTATTAGAGGTTTCATATCCTTTTCATCATAATTGTTTTGGCGCCTGGCAAAAGCATATGTTTCTCTCACTAACAAATTAAACCAGTAGCTACATTTCCATCCAAACTATTTTGAATATGGGCATCAAAATAAAAAAAAATCAGCTGCCGGAAACGCCATGATGGCCATCAATTTTGAAAATGCGCATAAAAAATGTATGCACATAACCGAGTAGAATCAATTTTATTTGACAAGAAAAGATTCCAGAAAAAAAAGGTTGTTATTTTGTTAAAAGAGATCATGTGATGGTTAAACGTGTGTGAACGAACAAACCAGCAAGCTGACCACATCGTAAAGCATCTGAAATGCTACTTTGGTCATTCTAAACAACCCTAAGCTTTTCAGTATTAGTGTTATTATGTTATTAATTACCTCCAGAACTTTCAAGAGCATGTGTGCTCTGCATCTCATGCCTTCAAACTCCACCACGTTTTCGTTACGTGCTGACATTGTCTTCTGAGGCGCAAGTCACTTAATAAGGAAAAGATTTACGCAGCAATATTCGTTTTTACTGTTGATATTTGATGCCAGTTAATCAGGAAAGGACTATTTTGTTTTCTTTGACTAGTTGGATAGAAATGCTGCTTTATTCGCACTTCTATGCGATATTCCAGTTTTGCGCACAAATTTAATTTGAAGTTTTGGATGGAAACATGGCACAAGGTGCAAACAAACAACAATAGCAATATACAGATGATTTGAAGAAATAATTAAGCACATGCACAAAAAGAGCTGTGCTAATTGTACATTTATCAGCAAAAATGTTTTCAATCTTGATATGTAGCCAAATTGGTGCAAAAGTACAATTTCAGCATGCGATTTCAAGAAGAGAGCAGAAATGATCATGCTGAATTATGCCCTTATATGCATAAATGGATATTTCAGCACTGGACAGTTCCTTTAAGAGAATCAAATCAATTGTGCCAGCAACGCAGTGGAGCCAGTGTCATTGAGAGGGGCACAGAAAACTCTAATCATCTAATAAAACCAAGGCTAGTTATTATAATAAAACTATTTATATTTCTCAAATAACGGAATTGAAAAATGTTTGTACAATAAAAACTAAAAAGTACATATGAAAGCACCAAACCACATTAAGATCACTTAGGATTTACAACAATAAGCCTTGTCTTCCCACAGCACAAAGAGAGCCTGATTTCTGCCGCAAGATGAAGCTCTCTGGCTATAAATAGCTTTTTAAGCGTTGTGTTTATGGTGAAAGGCTCGTGCAACTACTGGCTCACCCATTCTGCCTTGACAAAAACGCTGATTCATTAAAACAAACCTGCAGTGAATGCCACAAACAAAACCAGTGCTGCGCTTCCACAGACAGACTATGACATCACAGATGATCATTGACTACATTTATAATCACCAGGTTAAAATACAACAGAGTAAACAGGTATGAGGCTGAATTTAGATTTATAGCGTTGATTTAGACATGATGTGGGTGAAATGGATGAGTTTTGTTTCCCTGACAGACTTCGACACAGACCGTAGATTCCAGAAGGACTACAAAATAAAGAGCAGCGCTCGAGCGGAAATTCCGCATAATACAACCGAATTGCTCTTAACAGTACAAATATCACTAAAAAAACAACAACATTCTCATCATTTACTGGGCTTCATGTCTTTCTAAACCAGTTTGACGTCTTCTGTGAAACATTTAAACAATTGAAAACGACAGCAATATGCACTTTCATTCTTTCCACGCAATGACTGAGGCGGTCATTCTGCCTGACAACGGCTTTTTTCTACACACGGAAGAAAGTATGTCAGGTTTAGAACAACAACACGACGTTAAATAAATGACCGAATATTAACAATTGTCCTTTAAATAAAGCGGTTTCTCCTTTAAAATTGCATTATCGCACGAATAAGTGAACTTTAAAACATTTACGCAATCACGCACACCAAGAACAGACTGTGGTGCCCACCCTCTGATTTAGCGAAATGGAGACATGAATAAATCCGTGCGTGACATAAGCAAATACACTTGATTATTTCCTTATGACTAGTGGCTACACCTGCGGATAGTCACTTCCGTATCGACGAGAATATAAAATTTGCAGTATGGTACGTCCAGATGTCAAATAATACGTGAAACAGGTAAAAATCCAAGCAGGTCCCGCTAATCAGATTTGAACAATTTAACCGTCACTTAGCAGGCTAACGTAAAACGAGAGGATTCGTAGACACTAAACGTTAGCTTGCTAGCTTGCTACATGCTTTGTAATAGTTGGTGCAGGCAGTGTATCGAGCTTGAGGCCTAGCTCACTAACGTTAGTCACAAGTTCGCATGCTAACCAGTGAATGAAAGAACTCCGCGCCTGAACTAACACAACGATCTGATTCATGCCGGTCAAACTGCAAGTAATTATACGACTCCATGTGACTATTGCCGGAGAAATACCCGCTAAAAATATGTATTTAACCAGACAGCTGCTTGCGCAGAGTGCAATGGGTTCCCTCTTACCAATAATCCTTCTCAGTCCACTCTCAGTGTCAGCAAACCGCTCCTCGTGTGAAACTAACTTGGATGGTGCGGATTGCGGGTGGGTGAAGATGCGAGGAGAAAACGAACAGCAACAGCACGAACAGCGCTGGGCGAGATGCTGTGAGAAAGCCCCCTTCACTATCCTGCCGAGTCACTGTCGTTCAGTCTGCTGCCTGCTGTATCGCGTTTCTGGTTTTGTTTCAGCGAACGGAACAAAACCAAAATGGCAGCTGAGGCACAAGGGCGGAGCTGTGGGATAAAGAGGAACAGGAAAGGGTGGTACGCAGAGAGTGCTGCAATCCTCTGCGCTCACCCATTGGCTGCCCTGTCTGTGACTTTACGGAAAACCCGCCCACTTTCAAGTAAGCGCACTACATAACTCGAGACTTCAGGGCTCTGTAATTGATATTGAGATGTGCATAAAGAAGTGAACCACGTTATTCATTGTCAAGAGACTGTTTGTATAGAACTGATCAAACCCATTTTGTTTAAGGAGAGTTATAATTAAAATTTGCATCATTTACTCCATGCAAAAACTGCAAGACTGAACTAAAACAGAAGTTACATTGAACTTTTTGTTCACATAAATTTAAAGCTGACCAAAAATGTTTGGTTATAGACCCTCTTCACATTTCTGGGTTTCTCAGAAGCGGAAGTCGTCATAGTTGGGACAACTTGTGCAGTGATTGGGAGAATACAACAAATGATTTTTTTGCAATCTTATTTGCTTAAATAATAAAAGAAAAACAATGGTGTTATAAAAACTTTCAGATATAGGAAAAAATTTAAGACCGATGAGGGGAAAATAACATAAAATTTACTGTCCTGTCCCATAGACACTGCATTAGAAACGCCTCATGCAAGCGGTAATTAGTTTTTTTGTAATTTAAAGCAAAGATGATAAATAATACATACGTCAACATGCTTGTGAAAAGGGTCCATTAACAATCTTAAAACGATTTTGAAACAACAATAAATGACAAGATGGTGATAACATTTTAATGTGAGTAAAGAATCCAATGAGAAGTTTATATATTTTAAGATTTACAGAAAAATACATGAAATGTAATGTTCTGAAAAAAATATATAGTATGAACAGTTTGTAGTTTGAAGCAAAGATGATATAATACATACATAAATACATCTAAATGTTCATATGTTTTAAAAAAAGAAAATTGAAATATTAAAAAAGTATTTAAATAAATATTTATTTATTTAATACTTGAAAAAGTATTCAAGTATTTAGGATGCTGATGACCGTTAAACCCGTCATAACAGTGTTGTGAAAAGGGTCCATTTACATTCTTGGAATGATTTTATTTGGTTTTGGAACAACGATAACGATAAGATGGTGATGACATTTTAATCTGAGTAAAGTATCCATTGAGAAGAGTTTATTCATTTCAAGATTTTACAGAAAGGTTAATGAAATGTTCAGAAAAAAATACATAGAATGAACAGTTTGAGTGGTTTTGCTGAGAAATAAATTCTTTAAGAGTTAATGTCTTTGCCAATCCGCAGAGCTAAGCAGGTATTATGCTATATATATATATATATATATATATATATATATATATATATATATATATATATATATATATATATATATATATATATATATATATATACACACACACACACACACACACACACACACATCAGTGCATTTATAATCTGATTGTGGATGGACTTTTTTTTAACACATACTGAAAAACTTGTTTTGTATATTAAGGGTATTGTCATATATGTCTCCCAGTGAGTATCAATGACTACGTTACATGGACATAATCAAATCATTTGCCTTAATCTGAATAAGACAATAATATGATTAGGGTGTTTACATGAGTTGCTTTTTAAATGCTCCTTTCATCCTGTTTTAGATGTTGTAGCACATAATTCGATTAACGTCACAGCGTCACCACCCTGTAAACACTTTATCTAGAGTTTCATGTAATTTCAGGTGTTTCATTTTTAATTTCTCAACTTTACCTGCATTTTGGCACTTTCACTTGGGAACATTTCATGCATGCCCCCTGTGATATACAAGATATTGGGTGCAAGTATGAACTGCCAAAAGTGTTTTTTATTGAAATTTGATACAGCGTGCCGTATGAGGAAAAAAGCCTCTGCATTTCGCAGTGTGTCTGTGGTCCTCCACTGACTTGGCAGGTGCAGAGAATACTGTCAAACAGCTGTGTGTATGTAGACTATCCTGTTTTAAAATGCAGCAAAGTCCTACATGTCGGTAATAGCTTGATTACAGTGTTTACATGTGTGTACTGCACTTCAATAATTCGACTAAAATTGGCATACTCCACAGGTCTTAATTTGAATTAGGTTTAGTTCGATTATGACTTTAGTCAGATTATACTAATCAAAAATCACTGTTTACAAGGTAGACTTTTAATCGGAGTATTGTCTTAATCGCATTAAAATCGGATTACTGGTGTCCATGTAAACATACTTTATCCTTCAGGAAAATACTTATATATTTTTTAAAATAATAAAAAAGTCTAAATTATTCTGCATGCTAATGCAAACTACATTCCAGCCATTTTTAACAGCAACATTTTGGTGATTATTATGGTGTGTTATATGATGCAAAAACCTTTTTGCAATTATAAATAATGAAAATGTGCAGGATAATTTATTAATGGCTGACGCATGATCCAAAAAATGCCTACTTGATAACCTAAACTGTTTTACTAGTCAAGTACCCAAACAGTGAAGAAAATCTTGCATTATTCACTCCATCTTACATAAACAAAGACATGCAACCTGCCTGTTGACAGCTGGCTCTATTAAGTAGGTCACAAATATTTTACCAAGGAGCAGACATAACTGACAAACCACGTGGGCAAAATATTTCACCCACACGGATGGGGATAATAAGAGCACAATATTAAGCCATAAGAAATAACCATAGAATAATACCCTGCAAAATAGCCCGAATACACACATCTCTGCGAAGTTTAAATGCACCTTAATGTAATTATACATTCATAAACTCAAAAGAATATCCCTTATTGTTTTGCAAAGAGCAGTTTACCTCCTCTAAACCCACAACCCATAGGAAACAGTGCCTTTTCAAAGCAATGACCGCTAAAATGAGGGGTTAGGCATGGGCTTTCTTGGAATTGAGAGCAATAAGCGTTGGGGGATGGGGTGGTACTTGTGACAAAGGCCCAAGTGGGCCGCTTATTCTCGCATATGGTGCACATAAGAAGCAAATGTACCTTGTCAGAGTTACCTGTACAGCAGGTACAAATCCTGTCAACAACCCCCAACGCATCGCATCATTCTGCCGCTCGCGCACCTGCACTTGAGAGTCAAAAACCGCGTGAGCCACTTAGCTCGCTGCAAAACACATTCATAAGATGAGTTATAGACAGCAATTGCACGCTTACTATAGAGGCAATCGTGGGATTTTAAAACGCTGGAGTTCGCAGTATAGCAAATCGATGCTAACAATGGAGAGGGTTACATAAACAGGTTGAGTGATCAGTGATCTAACCGGAGAGGCAAAACAATAACCGGGTACCTCACACCCCCACGAGTTGGATTCGGCATTTGATGCATTTTTTCCTAGCGTGAATCTTGAGATAGTTTTAAGACTGGGATTTGTGCAGATATGCGGGCACTCAGATTATCTTGCTATCTATCTAGGCTAGCGTTCTAGGAGTACGTTATGTTAGCTTGCCAAAAACGAAGCTTGTTAGCTTAGCGCAACCTTCGTGCAAATCATGAAGGAAGGATGAAAAATAACCCAAACCATATGACGGGAGAAGTGGCCAACTTTTCCGCAAGGATGAGTTGGTTTCTTTTATCCCCGGCTCGTGATGCGCGCATGGAGCGCATTGTCTCGCGCATGCCGTTAGCTGGCTCTTCCTAAAGTGGCCAGATGATATTTACAGGCAAATTGTTGCGCCTGGCTATCTGACTTGAGCGGTAAAAACTTGACTTTAGCTAACAGTGACACTGTTCTTGTGGACACGTTAGCTAGTTAGCATTAGCTAGGTACATAAGTATGCAGAACTCACCACATCCGATATTACTTGGCCTCTCCACGGTACTGAATACAGAAATACCTCGCGGGCAAAAGATAAACAACAAAAAGGTCAAATCAAACCGTTTCTGTAACTTTATCCCTGGAAGTGGCGGGAGCTCCGTGACTTTCCAGTGTGAGGGGAGGCTGGACGGTTGCCTGACCGGCTATTCCCTGTACCGTTAACAGTTCGGCAAGTATTCTTCAGTTCATGAGCGTAGAACCAACATGTGCAGAGTTTGAGTTGAGACTGTGCCACTATTCAAGATACAGGGGAATAACACAAACGCGTGTATGTATTTGAGAAGTCAGATGCTTTAACGCAATACATTACCGGATGGTAATGTTTTATATATATATTTAGTAGCATGTAATGATGTGTAATGATGAAAACCGTTCACAGAACTTGTCGAAAACGTTATTTCGACACTGATATCCCCTATCGACCTATACAATAGACGCGCCCTAAGCTTGGGTCGCGCTATCCACCATGGGAAAAGTAGTTTTTAGTGTATGAAATGTGCGTCAATTTGCTTTTGGGAAGAACATGGAATTTTATCGTCATCATCAACAACAAAAACAAGTTTCATCATCAACAGCAAGTTTTTAAGGTGAATTTATATGAACGCCTAAGGAAAATTACGTACTGTACAAATTAATTAAAAATGTTCTCAGCGCTTTGCATTCACTTTATAATTTGAAATGACTATCAAATTAATAGGAAAAGTTACACATTCAATTGTTTCAATTTGAATGAGCATCAATAGCAGCAAAACGCACAGCTTTGTCGTTGTGATTCCTTTTCAAAGCTTACAAAAGGATTTCTGGAAATATTAATAGTTCAGAAGAAGCTGACTACTTAAGACAGGGGTGTCCAAACTTTTTGGGCCGAGGGCCAGATGCAAAGAAAACAACGTTGTCGCGGGCCAAATTTTACACACATCACACAGACACGCATATATATATATATATATATATATATATACAGTTGAAGGCAGAATTGTTAGCCCCCGTTTATTTTTTCCCCAATTTCTGTTTAACGGAGAGAAGATTTTTTTCCACACATTTCTAAACATATTAGTTTTAGTAACTCATTTCTAATAACTGATTTATTTTATCTTTGCCATGATGACAGTAAATAATATTTGACTAGATATTTTTAAGACACTTCTATACAGCTTAAAGTGACATTTAAAGGCTTAACTAGGTTAATCAAGTTACAAGTTAAGGTAATTAGGCAAGTTATTTTATTACAATGGTTTGTTCTGAAGACTTAAGGGGCTAATAATTTTGACCTTTATGAAATGGTTCATAAAAAAATTAAAACCGCTTTTATTCTAGCCGAAATACAACAAATAAGTCTTTCTCCAGAAGAAAAAAATATTATCAGACATACTTTGAAAATGTCCTTGCTCTGTTAAACATCATTTGGGAAATATTTAAAAAAGAAGAAATAAATCAAAGAGTGGCTAATAATTCAGACTTCAACTGTGTGTATATAGATAGATAGACAGACAGACAGACATAGATAGATAGATAGATAGATAGATAGATAGATAGATAGATAGATAGATAGATAGATAGATAGATAGATAGATCATAACAAGAACTGCTGCTTAATTGAATGCATGTAATAGCGACACCCGGTGGTTATTTATTGAATTACGTTCATTTTTGTATAGCGGGCCAGATGCTATTGATATTTATAAAAAGCCTCGTGGGCCGCCACAAAACTGATTGCGGGCCGCAGATGGCCCGCGGGCCGTAGTTTGGACACGCCTGACTTAAGAAGAAGGTGTAAATAAATCCAAAACATACAGTACTATAAACACCAAGGTAAATGATACTTGGAAGTCTGTAAACAAAGTTTGACAATACTGGATAGAAAAGACCTGACCCCTGACGTAGAGGACATTGTTTCTTGTAAAAGAAGTTAAGCAGGCCTATTTGTTGCAGCTTTTGACTCTGTATTGAAAAGGTATGTCTTGTTCAGCATAGATGAGCTGACCTACAGTACAGCAAGTGACAGTGCTATAAAACATTCCTTTGCATTATTACCCTGTAAGAATAGTGTTATATCTTAAAAATCCTTAAAGGAATAGTTCACCCAAAAAATTATTTAAATTTAAATAACAGCCCTAGGCCATCAAAACTAGTAGTAAATTTACTTGAAGAAAGTGCTGGGCCGATAAATGATATATCGAATCGCAATAACATTTAAGTCAACAACAATGATAACTCTGGACTTTTTACTCTATATTGATGTAAGAGCCAATCACAAAGCAGAAATGTGCAACATTTGGAATCTAGAAGTGTGTTGATATTCGAGATTTACAGAATTTTTGGCCACTGAAATTTACTTGGCCAAAAAAAAAATGTTAAGCAATTGAATGAACCCTCTAATTTTTGTGGCTCCAGTCATTGTTGGGGTACTTTTTTAAATCTGGAAGCATTAACAGCTGATATCAAAATATATAGTTCAATATGAAAAATAATTATCAAGATTGCATTTTTGCCATATCCCCCAGCCCTACTTGGAGTTGTATAAAATTAAAGTAAATGGCAACCAGCACTTTCAGAGAACTAAAGGACCAGTAGCTTCTGACGATACACTAAAGTCTTACAAGGCGAAACAATTAGTCTGTGCAAGAACAGGAACATCATTATTGACTCCAATACACAACCTCTGCAAACAGTCCTGAGCACATTCACAACAGTTTTTGACTCTCAAAATCCAAGGTTTCCTTTAAAATTAATTTGAGGAATGAAAAAAGCCCCCTATATCTTGGACAACCATATCATAGAATAAATTCACAGAAAATTAAAACATTTTGGGTGAACAAATAACTTAAATTTGTGCTGCTTGAACATTCTTGTGAACTAGAAACCACAGAAAAGCATTAAAAACTAAGAATGTGAACCTGACTGCTGCAAAACGTATCTATCTTTTTTTTGTTTTACTTTTAAGCAAACTTCATCAAACTCCAAACAAGTTTATTTTGTAATATTTATAATGCTTTCAAGCTAGTAATGTAACAACTGTCAAAATGTATACCGATCCAGAAGTCACGTAAAAAAGCAAAGCCTTTGAAACAAGATGGTTTGATCTGAATTTTATTTAAATATTTATGTAGAGAGTGCAAAAAATAACTTGGAAGAATATTCACATCACCAAAAACTATATCATATCTGAGGAGGGGGAAGCCACAGTTACATTTCACAGACATTTGCGAGGACTTTACATATAGACATTAGAGCTTAGTTACTCTAGCATATATTAACAAAAGTATTATACATTGCAAAGATATATTAATATGCATCATAAATTAAGAAAAGAGAGTAAGAGAATGAGAATCTAACAAACACATAGATGGACACATATAACTTAAAAAAAAGGGCCAGGATAGAGAATATAGATATAAAGTCTCAAAGTTATGATCAATTCTCGTTATCTGAGCTTTATCATTCTCAATCAATGAAAACCTGTCATGTCTGGAGAAGACTTATAGAAAGCGCTGTACAGTGTGAGAACAAACGATAAGAAAGATAAATTAAATAGCCTTATTGGAAATATTATACAAGGAAAATGATTGATGAGAGTACAGAGATGCGCTGCTTCAACTTCACTATCTCAGAGCAAAAATCCAAGATGGATGAAGTGACAAAAAATGATAACACCCTCCAACGCCAGTACCTGGCGAAGAGCAAACGTGCAGCGGTTCTTCAAAACAGAGCAGGTTACCGACTTGTTTTAAGGGAACAAGTGCCATTAAAGGAGAAATGTTCAAGTTACAGTATATAAACTCTTGTATCCAAACTCTCCACAGACTCTACATTATAATTCTGAAATTATTATTTAGGAAACATAATAGCATTTGCAATGATCTGGTAGTGTAGAGCATAACCATTTACACCCATGTATAGTGGGATAACCTTATCTGTGTCCTCTAATAATACAAAATAGTGTTCCCATATATTCAACTAGCTTAGATACTTACCTCTTTACATTTTAAAAACAAGCTTCTTATCCATCACATACAATCAATAACGAGGCTCTTTTATGTTTGAGCCCACTTGAACAGCCCATAAAGGAATACTGTACTAATGGATCCATAATCCACATCCCAAAGATTCAGTTACAAAGTGTACCTTCATTATTCTTGACTGTTCACATCCTGTTAGCATATTTACAACCCTTTTCCTGACACACTTCCCCTTGGTGACTGGCCAGACCGCTTTGTAGACTTCTGGCCATCACTGGTACTCTCTTCGGGAGCTGGATGGCTGTGACCTTGGATTTGACTGGGTGGGGAAGGTGGTGGGTATGAAGGGGGCGGAATGGTCAGGTGGGGTAAAGAAGGCATTACTGGGCGAGGGGTGGTGGGAAGGGGAGGTGGGGTCGAATGATGGTATGAGCGAGGGCGAGGTGAAGGGGAAGAGCTGGCACTCTTTGCTCTTGGTAGGGTCTCAGGATGGTCACTGATCTGCTCCAGCAATGAAGGCATGTCCCCCTCAATCTTCTCTAGCACAGCAGCCATTTGCTTCTCAATTTGTTCAATTACGCAATCCATTTGCCAGTCTGCACTGGCTGCACTTCCTGGATCGAGACCTCCATACTGCCCGACAGAGTAGGTTGGACAGTACGGACTCCCATATCCCGATGCACCATGGACCATCTCCTGCAGCTCCTGCACGAATACAGTTTGATCTTGGCCAAGACTTGAAGATCCCAATCCTGCATAAACTGACTGGATGTTTTTCACCGATTGGCTACCCTTGTCTGCTCGACCCTTCTTCAACTCTTTGCTCTTGGGATTGACCTCAGAAGGTGCCCCAACTTCTGCTGACCTCTCTGCAACTGCTTCTGGGAGTTGTGTTTGACACCAGCTACTTGCGGTCATATCGTGGACTGTGTCTTTCTTGTCTTCTGATTGAAGAGGGGGTTCATTTCCTGTTGATAGGGTAGCAGTTTTGGCTTCAGAACATGAACTATGATCCATTGAGAGATTGGCAGCAATCTTGCGTCGATTTGGAGTATCATGGAAAGGTGATTTCTTCTCAACACTGCCAAGAGTTGTAGCTTCTGGCTCCACAGGGATGCTGTTCTCACGGCTGTCTGAAGTTTTGATAGGCTGAACGGATGCTGCTTTCTGGTTTGCGCCTGTTGTTGGTTTGTCCTTTATTTCAGAAGTGCCTTCTGTAGTTTCT